CACACAAACCTAAGAACAATCTTCGCAAACCCAAAGTCGGAAACCCAGAAAAATGGAGAGAGAGAGAGATCTAGCAGCTAAACTCGGTTATGATCTAGCTGATGAAATCATAAAAAGCTGAAATGAGCAGAGATAGGCAAAAAAAACCCAGAAACTCCCATTTGCACAAAATCCGAGACAAAAAAAACTACAAAAACCCATGGAGGTCTGTACAAAGTCCCAGAATTTTTATAAAAAAATAAAACTGAGAATTAGGGTTTTTGTGGGAGATAATAAAAGACGTCACCTGTGAAATCGCCATGATCGGAAGTTGACCCAGCCAATCTAATTATCGAGTGAGAGGTCTAGAAATGGATCTTCAAGAAAAACTCTTATCAAGCCACGAAAGAGGAAAGAGAGAGAGAGAGAGCTCAGTTCCGTCCAAGAGAGAGAGATAGAGAGATCCAAAATCAATATATAATACTATATAAATTACATATACATACACATGTATCTATAGGCCCTGAAGGTTATGGGTGCTTGTGCCACCTTGAAAGAGAGAGAAACAGAGAGATAGAGAGTGAAAGTTTTTAAAAATGTTAATAGAAAGTTATTATTCTTTTTTTTTTCTTGCTAAAAAAAACGTCTTTTTAATTAAATTCAGGTTTTACAAAATATCTTAAACCCTTTCTTTATAAAACTAATCGTTATTTCTTGATTCCAAGATAAGTGGACAAGAGAATTATTATTTTAAAAAATTCTGGACCCCTCTCATTGCTTAGGTAATAATAGCACCAAAAATTAGTGTACCTTTTTTTAAAACAATTGCTAAAATCAAATTATTTGTCCTCAACACCCATTCAGAAAATGGAAATAAACACACAAAAATGTTCGTTTATTAGAAATATTCCTTGATATACTAACACTAGATCTTCTTGAGTGTAACTTTACTAATAATAATTTCAATTTGTCAGTTTATCTAATTCATTAAAGCAGATCTAACATCTCTAGATACTTATCAAATCCCTTCAAAACTAACTTAAAAACCTAATTTTTATATATCTAAGTCTCTTTTTCTTCATCAACATGTCATCTCTTTTGTTCCGAGATCAACACAATCGAACCACTCCTAATTACCAGGAGTGTTTTACTGTGATCATCGTTATTCTCTTTTTCAGGACTTTTTGATATCTTACAATAGTTTCATCCTAACTCCAATCTGAGTGATTCATTTTGGCGATGGACATGATTGTGACAACAAAATGCCTGAAAAAATGTTCCATATGATATTCAGCGTTCGCGCAAAAGAATTGATTTATAAACTTACCATTTGTATACATGTAATTGAAAAAACTGAAAAGATGGCTTTATTTGAGAAACTAACAAAAGTTGCCGATACAAAATAGACGTTATCAAAAGGTGAAGTTGTTGACTAATAAAAAAATGGAACATTAAATGAGAGCGTTTATGCCTCTCCATGAACATATAAAATCGGGAAATAAAACAGGATTGGACATTATACTCCATATAATACTACAAAGAATATGTCCTTATATGGCAAGTTCTTTTTTATAACTAATAGATATGAGATATCATATAGTGTATGTATATGATGTATATACATTTATTTATCTTGATGTCATGTGTATAGATATTAGGTCAGTATTAATTCCAGAAGAAAAAAAAATCAAAATTCATGTATGTACCAATTCGGTTGAAAATGAAGAAGGAAGAAAAGCTAAACGGACAACAAAGAAAAATAAAACTTAACCAAATCATAATCAACTAACCTGACCCGTAACGAAACTACGAATACAAACCCAAAACCCAAAAAAAAACGACTAAAGAAGAATTTGTCCTATTTTTAATTCAATCAATCAAATATAATCCACGTGTTCCTAATCATCTCCTACATCAATGGAAGTACAGCTTGGGCTTTCGTTACTCGTATACATTGTACCTTACTATTTTTCCCAATTTGATGTTTTGTCACTATATATTTAACTTGCTCCATCATTATCCATGCTCTTGAGAAACTATATATATAGGCACACACATGTAGATATATATGTACATTGGATAGGAAGCAAATTAAAACACAAGAAACTGAAAATTTGCATCAATGAAAGGAACATGGGCTCCTCTTAGTCCTATGTTGATGTATATGTTCAATGAACCATAACATAGAGACCACACTTGTTTTTATAATAATATAAATATATTTAATCTATACACGGCTTATATTGTTGAAAACAAAACAAATAATAGCTATAGTTCTTTTTTTTATATTCATAACAACGTACACTGTTTCGCTAAATATAGAAACATATTCGACAACACATATATGCTTCAAAATACTTTTTATTACGGAAAAATATATAAGTTCTTTATGACGTAACGAAATTTGATAGTCTCTCTCATTTTTTACAAAAACTGTATAGTTTGTTTCTTATATTTGTGGATTGTTAAAAAAAAAAAAACTCATTTCATCAACCTATTTTACGTCCTTCGAGCAATTCCACTCATCGTACTTGTAAGTCTTGTATAGTCCACACTCTAGCGACGGCCGTAGATTCCGTACCGATGATGACCAAAAACAATTCAGAGTTTGAGGGAATAAAAAAGTCAGAATTCGTAAAAATAGTCAGATAGTCAAATTTCAGTTTCATATGGAATTTATAATATCCAAAAGAAAATTAACTGGAGGAGATAGCTTGACATTTTGACCAATGAATCAGTTTCATTCGTTAAATTTTGTTGTAAGGAAGTTTTTAAAGTCTCGTACTCTCGTTGATGTTGTTTTGGGCAGTTAATTAAGAGTAAACACCAAAAAGGGAACAAGCTACATGGTACAGATCATCCATCAGCTTAAAGAATCTTTCTTGTCTCTCTTTTTAAACTAGATTGTGATCTTTTGGGCTTTGTGTCCACATAATTAATTATTATTGAATTTATTAATAAATGGATTTTGTAACGTAACCTTTCATTAGTGTAAGAGACATTTGAAATTATTTTCCTTCCGGGTTCACTGAATTTCTGGCTTAAACCACATGGTGGGTGGGTTCATAAGAATTAGAGAGATTTGGTAATTTACTAATTAACCTCGAAACAAGAGGCGTAAGTTATTAATCAGAGACTTTTCATGTTCGGTTATTTTGTTGGATTCGTGAAGACAATAAGTCAGTAAGAATAAGATTTGATTCAGAGCTATTGATATTGTAACGATTGAAGATTTGTTGGTTCAGGAGTCGGAACTAGAAAAAGTCCAACCTCCAAATTTGTCGACTCGATCTACACTCAGAATTGCATAGTTTAATATATTACTGATTTAAAGTTAAATGGTCTGGTTTAAAATTGAACTGTAAAGCTAGCCAAAAATCTGAAAAATTTAGACAACCTTATTTATGACAATAAATCAAATCTGAAATTAAACTACAATGATTCTCTACCTCGAGTTGGTATGAACATTCCTCCGGTGTAATAGGAACTAAAACAATAGTGGATAGCCAAGCTTCATAGAAGCTCAAGAATCCTAATCACTTGATTTTATATAACAATCATATGTTAATATGAAAAAACATTATTTCGTGGTTTTAATCAAAATACATCAAACCTCGTCGATAGAGGATATTAGACATCAATGGTCCATGAGCAAGATGTGATCATTTTCTGATGGAGACAACCTTGTTTTCACACACTTCATGTATATGTATGACACCATTTGCACTTTGATTGCACAAACTTTTTCTACTCATTCTTCTATTTGATAAATCTTCTTGTTTTTCTTGTTTTAACAGCTAATTAAGAACTGATGAAGTTTGAAATATAATCTTTAAGTCATGAAGTCATGCGTAGCAGTACTTGCTTTTCGTTTCGTTTTAAATCACACTCTTAAAAACACCTAATACATTCCACATGATCTTGTGGCCTTTTAGGGTAAATTGGGTTTAGCTTTAGTATAAAAATGACATGTCTTATCATTTTAGATACGGGCTTTTGGACCCAAAGTGTTTGATCAGATGATCCAACAATTAGGATTTTGACCAGTCAATAACGTAATTTTCTGATAAATTTATTCAGCAATTTCCGTACTTGTAAATTAAAATACGTTGGTTGAGATTTGAATTATTTAAAATTATACATATGACCTCGTTGTCAAAAAAAATAACAAACATACCAGTCATTTTCCCTTACCCAAAAACATCGCTATACAATAATACAAGTGCAATCAAATATTTACAAAATATAAAATAAAATATACAGACTAAACGAGTGGTTAAGCAACATGTTACTGCAAAGCAAACTCTCAGAAACTAAAATATTAAGAGTAGTCTCTTTTTTCTTTCGGGGGTTGTCTGTTACTACAGAAATATTAGAGACAATTTTCATAATCCATTAATAATTTATCTATGTGCTCATACACCAAGTGTGTTCTCAAAATGTAAAACTCGGTTCTACGATTTAAAAAAAAAAAAAAAAAAAAATCTAGAAACAATTCTTTCTCAAATGCTTCATTTATTTGTTTCCAGGGCTGTTGTGATAACAAAATAAGTATACGTAGGAATCTAGAAAGTTTCTTATATTGGAGAGGCTTAAACCAGAATATTGGTGGTTTATATTTTTTCATTGTAAACGAAAAAGTCAAAAATACTAGTTTAAAGCTCAGATATCAACTTCGAAGGTACTCCATATTATTAACAAACGCTACGCTGATTCCCCAACGTCTTTCAGAAAAAGTTGCTTAAAAGCCTTCTTCTTCGATTGTATACCTTTCAAGTTTTTCTTAATAATGTATTTTAATCCGTTTTTCACATTGAATTTTCTCATTTCTAGACCTAAAAATTATTGTTTTTTATGTATTCTGAGAGACTCACCAACCTTTTCATTTTGTATGCACTATGACACTATATAAGCATTTATAACCAGACACAATAACTTCATTACAAACAGTATCACCAAAAGCAATAGAAGATTAAATAAAAATCTCATCATTGCATCGAAACCGGAATACTGAACCGGGAATGAAGATAATCAGTAACCCCGGTTTTCTCTGTCTCTTCTTTTGTCTTCTTGGGTTCCTTGGCAACTCTCCGGTGGATGCAGCGGTGAAGAAGTACCAATTCGATGTAGGTGTTCAAATCTCCCGGGTGAAAACAAACCGGAGTAAACCCAATATATTTGAGATTGGTATGCTAATGTTTGGAGTTTGAAACAGGTTAAAATGATGAACATAAGCCGGTTATGCAATGCTAAACCAATTGTCACGGTTAATGGAATGTTCCCTGGACCGACGATTTATGCCAGAGAAGGCGACCGAGTCATAATCAACGTCACCAACTATGTACAATACAACATGTCAATCCATTGGTAAAGTCTCTCTTTCCCTACGTCCGAAACCAACCTAACCGGTTTAGTCATTTTTCTGTGAGCTAAAAATTCACCGGTTTGTTTTTATAGGCATGGACTTAAACAGTACCGGAACGGTTGGGCAGATGGTCCAGCATACATAACTCAGTGTCCGATGCAGACCGGACAGAGTTACGTTTACGATTTCAACGTGACCGGACAACGCGGAACCCTCTGGTGGCACGCACACATCCTCTGGCTACGAGCCACCGTCTACGGAGCTATCGTTCTCTTGCCTCAAAAGGGAACACCGTATCCGTTTCCGCAAACTCACCAAGAAACCAACATAATCCTCGGTTAGTGAAAATTGACAAATCGGTCCGGTCCAATCAAACGGATTTTATTAATCATTTCTGCCGGTTTCTTATTTGATCGTAGGAGAGTGGTGGAACAAAGACGTTGAGACGGTGGTTAACCAAGCAAACCAGCTGGGAGCACCGCCTCAGATGTCGGATGCTCATACCATCAACGGGAAACCCGGTCCGCTCTTTCCGTGTTCCGAGAAACGTAAATAATCTAAACCTTATTAAACCGTCTTTTATCTGACCGGATCGTTTCAATTTAAACCAATTTTTTTCCCTGTATAGACACATTCGTGGTAGAGGTCGAAGCCGGCAAAACATACCTTCTAAGGGTAATCAACGCAGCTTTAAACGACGAGCTCTTCTTCGGAATCGCCGGCCACGACCTGACCGTGGTGGAAATCGATGCGGTCTACACTAAACCGTTCACAACCAAAGCAATTTTACTCGGACCGGGTCAAACCACAAACGTCCTTGTCAAAACCGACCGCTCTCCAAACCGGTATTTCATGTCCGCTTCACCGTTCATGGACGCACCAGTGCCCGGAGACAACAAAACCGTAACCGCCATTCTTCAATACAAAGGCGTACCAAACACGGTATTGCCGATTTTACCAACCCTACCGTTACCTAACGACACGTCGTTCGCTTTGGACTATAACAAAAAGCTCAAGAGCCTCAACACTCCCAAATTCCCGGCGCTTGTTCCGTTAAAAGTCGACCGGCGAATGTTCTACACGATCGGGCTCGGCATCAACGCGTGCCCGACTTGTGTGAACGGGACCACTCTCGCGGCTTCGATAAACAACATCACTTTCATTATGCCCAAAACAGCTCTCTTGAAAGCTCACTACTCCAAAATCCCCGGAGTTTTCAGGACGGATTTTCCCGACAGACCGTCAAAGCCGTTTAACTACACCGGCGTGCCACTCACGGCTAACCTCGGGACATCTACAGGGACCAGACTGAGCCGAGTTAAGTTCAACACGACAATCGAGCTTGTTTTGCAAGACACCAATCTCTTGACCGTTGAGTCACACCCTTTCCATCTTCACGGATACAACTTCTTCGTGGTTGGAACCGGCGTCGGAAACTTCGATCCCAAGACGGATCCGGCTAAGTTCAATCTCGTTGACCCGCCGGAGAGAAACACCGTTGGGGTACCAACCGGTGGATGGGCTGCAATCAGGTGGAGGGCTGATAATCCAGGTGTTTGGTTTATGCACTGTCACTTGGAAGTCCATACAATGTGGGGATTGAAGATGGCTTTCGTCGTCGAGAACGGGGATACACCTGAGCTTTCCGTTCTACCACCGCCTAAAGATTATCCCTCCTGCTAAAGCTTCTGAAAATCGGAACACATTACTCGCTTTTCTTCTTCGTATTTGTTTAAGTCGTTGATGATATTCTTTGTCGGTTGTATTTACATTCTGTTGATTTGTGTCTGAGATTGGGTATGCACAAGAACAACGCCCCAAGATTGTATAAGAAGTTTAACTAAATGTTATTCTTGTTTATTGTTTCTGCAATAAGTCACTAAACCTAAAACCATCATTCAAAGAAAGATCTTAAGAACCTTTGAAAACAGAGTATCTTCAAGAAGAAGAAAAACAAAGCTAGACTGTTTGATCGATCATCGAGGTTGTCATCTTACTACCTAAGTGAACAAAAGGAGAAGAAAATTATTAAAACAGAGGAGGTTTCGATCAACGGAACGAGATGGATGATTCTTCTAGCTAAATTGCTGGAGTTGCTTGATCCTTGGGCTTGCAGCATTCTGATTTCTTCTTGAAGTTGAGCTTCCTAGTGAAATTCTTCCAACTTCTCTTGGACCTCACCAGCTTCTGAAGTTCTTGCTTCATGGTCATACACTCTTTCTCCAGCTCAGAAACCCTCTCTCTCACGTTCTCACCTCTCGGTTTAAGCATACCCCCATTGCCTCCGTTGGGATTCTCAGGGTTGTCTAGGTTCTCAGAGACAAAGAACCAGCCCGATACAGATGTCCTGAGCCTAAGCTGCTCGAAAAACAGAACCTGAACAATCACACGTAGAGGCAGCCTCTCGTTCTGTGCAGCATGCGTGCTAGCTTCCAGTGACAGCTTCTGGCAATTCATCAGCCTACATATATGCTCCCTCTCCGAATCCGTAATCCACGGATGCGCCTGTCAAATTTAAAAACCTCAAAATCTCAACACATCATCTATCAGCTAATATTTAAAGAACGTCATTGTTGTTGTTGTTATTACCTTCAAGTAGACATCGATTGCGTGATAAACACCATCATCTAGTGGTCTTGCATAGTCAGGGATCGCAGCAGCGATGGACTCGAACTTTGCCAGCTTCAGGTTAACATCAGGCGCCACCTCCGCGAGATAACCGTCAACGAGAGTTGCCACTAACGTCGACGGAGTAAGCAAATCGGAACCATCCTTCACCAAATGTCCTTCCTCGATGATGCAAGGAGAAGGGACGACCCCTGCTTGCTCCGTCGAAGAAACAAACTGTTCGATCATCCTCAGAACGCATTCGACGTCGTAAAGCGTTTCAGAGTATCCCATGTTTGGTATAAGAAGATCAACCAGAGCAGCTTGGTCCAGCTGATTCCCAATACGTCTCTCAAGATCCTCCCTCGAGGACTGGCTCGCGTGAAGCACCATTGCAGTTTGAAGCAGCCTGAGGAGAAACTTGGTCGGGTTCACACCTTTCTTTCTCGGAAGCAACCCGACGATCTCTTCAAGGGCTTCCTTCTGCTCTGACTCAGAAGGAGTTGTTGTTGTTGGCGTGTCCATCACCTGCTCGTCAATGGTCGCTTGTCTGTTCATCAGAGGAACGTGCTTCCTCGTGTAGTACATAACCGCCATGGCAATGTTCTCGAGCTTCATGCCTCGTGATTCGATAGCGGTGATGAGTCTTTTGAAGAGAGGCAAGCTGAGGAAAGAAGCGTCATCAAACCACCAATCTTCACCCGTAGGTTGTTGCAGCATCTTTCCAGAAGCTGAGATCCCGTTCCATAGATGAGACTCAGAAGCGTCTTCAGTGTTCTTGTCGCTCGTTGCATTCTTCGCTGGCCAGTTGAAAAGGCTCGGGTCAGCGCAAGCTTTGATGGCTAAAGAATCAACGCATCTGGAGATGATGTGGAGATCTTCAGCGTAATCAGTGACTTCCTCGCAAGTCTGGAGAGACTTGATGGAGTCAGTCCAGTTCCCAAACACTTCGTTGAGGAAAGTCTCAGTCATGCCAACGAGATTGCCTTCTCCGTAGTTGTCAGTCATCTCGAGGTACTCAGCTGCACATCTGAGGCTAACAACGTTGAACGCGGTGAGCTCGATCTTCACACCGTAGCAGAATTTCGTTATCAGCTCGAACGTTTTGCCGCCTCCTGGGACTTCGTCGAGACTCAAAACACAGCCTGACCCATCGTCGGTTGATGACTCTTCGATTAGCCTCTCAAGAAGGCCACTTCGAGAGAGCAATGGGAACTACATTACAAATCATGACACACAACTTAGTTCAATCATCATCACCAAGCCTATTCACAGTATGCAATGACGTAAAAAGTCTAGGAGTAAAAAGGTAAAGAAAAGTTTGAACCTTGTGGAGATGAAACTTCATGTCTCCAACTTCGATGGTAACATCACTCACGAGCCCTGTGGTGCAAAGCCTGTAGACGATAGGCATATACATCAACCCCCACAAAACAAAAACCTTAGTTGATGTTGCAAATTGCAAAACCAATCAAAAAGCTAGCTCATTTTAGCAAAGAGGAATCTGGGAATTCCATGAAAAGCTGACGATTCTAAGAAGAACAAATCTCGACTTTGGAGTTAATCTAAAGACCCATAATTCGATTCATCTAATGCAGGGGAAAAGAGTACCAGGTTTGGCCTTCGCGATGGAAAGCTTCGGATTTGGAGCCAAGTCTCATAAACGCCATTTTGGAAGAAAATCAATCTCAGAGTCTGATTGGTTCGTAATGAGAGAGAGTAGTAACAAGAGAGAAGAGAGGGTAGGGGAGAGAGAGTAAGAGGCATGAAGTGTCGGGCAACGATCCTCATCTATATTTAGCAAATTCTACAGAGAGAGAGAGAACGAGTCTCTAGCAGAAGAGTGAGGAGAAAAAGAAGGTCTTGGACTGGTGAATTTTTCGCCTCTTGAAAACTTCAATCATTCATCTGTTTTCAACAATGGAAACCCAAAAAACCGGCGGCATTTAATTTCGCCGGTTGGTCCGTTTCAACATCGTTCGGTTTAATATTACCTTTTGGTGGTTTAACGAATCGGGAATACCAACCGGATTTAATCGTTTTGTTCCTCCTATTGGAGTTCGGTTTTGGCGACACACACAACAATACACCACACGATCAGGCCAAATTCTAAAGTATTTTTTCGAAGTTCATAGAAATCCATATTTGATTGTAGATGAAAACATCCAAAGCTGATCACACTAGAAATTGCAGTGGAATCTTTCAAACTCTGTAAATTAAAAACAGTTAAGAGTAAATCATTCTATGATGACTCAACCACCTCCGCTAGTATATGTGTTACAATAAAAGACATGAATTTTGAGAAATAGGTCAATACGTATATAATAAAACAAATGCATGTTGTTTAGATTCCTAGTTTATGTATTTGTTAGGCAACAACTCTTGGTCATAAAATTCTTAGATAGTACGCAATATTTATTTTACCGATACATTATAATCATCCACGTGACAAAACATATGTATATGTCTATTAACCTCAAGTAAGTAAGTTAGAGGATTACTACCTAATTTAAGTGAGTCACACATTTAACATACATAAACTGATAAACATAAACAGGTTGCTGGTAACTTGCTGGACCAAACTTAAAGAGAAAGAAAGAATCTGCGATTAGGATTAGGTCGGTGAGCCCAATTACTAAAGGCCCTTTTATAAACCGGAACCCGAGTTTCTTCCAATTTGTTTCAAATCTAAAGTCGTCTGTTCTCGGCTTCTTCTCGACGTCACGGCGGGGGCGTTTCCTTGCAGTCTGAGGTACCGTGTTTCTTAAATCTCTCTCTCTGAAACTCTAAGTTTCGGTTTTCCATCGGAATCTGATTTTGATGTGGAGACGGTTCTTGAGAATTGTTTCCATCGTCTTCAAATGGATCGGTCCCGCAAGGAGCGCTGGGAGGAGAGAGCAAGAGAGGAGAGAGCAAGGGAGGAGAGGAGGGCTCCAGATGGAATCAAACTGTTAGCACACTTGTGTGAGATGGCGAGATTGGCTCATGATCCACCACCAAAACCAGACCCAAAAAGACGAAAGATTGACGAGTCAGAGCTTGTTCCAGAAGACCTGTTCCTTGCTCAAAATCCTCCGTTAAAGGTTCTGTAAATGTTTTCTTCCACAAGACAAGAGCCTTGTAGTATATATATACTGTCAGTCATTTCTCTCTCGTTTTCTTTCATCTTGACTTGTAGTATATTATAATACAAGGGTTGTGCTAGAATCTGGATTTATCATCCCGAGCTCGATGGTGGCACACACTTTCAAATCAAAATGCCGTCGTTATCCGAAACCGTGGCAAGTTTGAAGGAGAAAATAGCTCAGGAGGTAAAGATTCTAGTAACCAGACAGAAGTTAAGTGGAAAAGTAGGGATTTTAGATGACAACAAGTCACTTGCGCACTACAACGTGGGAGCACAAGACGTGCTAACACTGTATGTCGAGAGGAGAAAGCTATCCCTTTCTTAATGGATGCTTGTGTTTGGTTTTGTACTCTTTTAATGTATGTATGGATAATCTTAAAACACGGTTCTTATTTGTTTCGAATCTCTCCATACTGCAGAAATTTTGCTTGTGGTCACTGACATGCCATAAGCTTTTTCCTTGAACCTAATACGTGTGTTCTACGTAACGAGACTGGGTTAAGGAGATTTCATTTAAACCGACGATTTTTTTTTTTTTTTTTTTTTTTTTTAAATTTATGCTTCCGCGTCAGATTTACACAAACCGGATTCGGTTTCTTATTTTCTCTCTCTGATCAGTCATCTCTCTGCAAATCTCTACTTTGATTCTACCAGAAACCTTGACAACTTTGACTACTATCCATGTCGCCGCCTTTTACACCGGCGTCATCGGCACTGCAATTACAGTACAGAGCAGCGCTCTACAAGGTATGTTTCTTTGTGTAGATCTGTGGGCTCTTGTCTGATTCTTGTGATTGGCAATGTTAGGGCTCGAAATTGGAGATTCATCTTCCTTGGTGGATCTCCAAATTCGAAACTCGTGGAGTGTGTTCAATATTTTGGCATTCGAGTTAATTTAACACTAAAAACAACTCTATTTACCAATTTATAAAGCCTTTTAATGATTAGGTCGGTGAGCCCAATTATAAACCGGAGCCCGAGTTTCGTTTATATAAATTCTTAGGGATTTCAAATCTTCTCCAATCGCTCTCTGGATTTCAAATCCAGAGAAACTTGTACGTTTTTCTTCTTTCTCCTCCAATTTCTTTGAGTTTTGGTTGAAGTTATGCTCTACTTATACTAACCTTTGATTCTATTCTTGTTGGCTGTAAAAGGTTGAAACCTACGAAAAGAATGGGGCGATGAAAGATGATATAGCATCACTACGTGACCAGAGTGGAAATTGGACAAATGTGTCTAGTGCGTTTCCTTCTCGTTTGGAAGAGGTTTGCTTCTAAAAAATTCTGGACTTGGTTTTGCTTTAATTTATGTTGAGCCTAGTTTTCAATCAAGGATGAGATCTTTTTTGTCAAATTCTGTGAATCAAGAATCTCTTAACATTAAAGTTACTACTTATTGTTTATTCTGCTGCTCATGAAATTAATTCATTCATAAACCTTCAGATAAAAGAATATCATCAAAAGCATCCTTCTGCACCCCTCGTAGACTCTCACGTACACCTCAAGGAAGAACCAGTCATTACCTTCACCGGAAAGGTAAGCTTCTTCTTCTTTTTTATGATTGAGAACATATCTTTGACTCTTTCTAACACTAGTATAAGCCCCTTTCTTCTTCTTCTTTTCTTCTTTTTTCCAATTGTAAAATCCTCTTGTCTGCTGCGCAGGAATGCTTTGGTCGGTACTTGGACTTGCATGATCTGTATAACCAGTACATCAACTCTAGTTGCGGTGAAAAGGTTGACTACTCTGCTTACCTTGATGTTTTTTCTCAACCAGAGAGAATATCTCCTGAGCTTAAGTTGTCTAGGTAAAAACATTTCATTGTATTCTGAAGTAGTGAATCTTCCTGGAATCTTGAAAGAAGAGCTGAGAAAGAATGCCGCTGATGTGGAGACGGTTCTTGAGAATTGTTCCAACCGTCTTCAATGGAATGGATATGGGGATCACTGGGTGAAAGCAATGGAGGCCAGGAAAGCAATGGAGATGAAGAAATCTAGGGAGGCCAAGAGTGCTCTACTTCCAATTCACAATAACAAAAGCAATAATAATTTGAATGTTCTTCATTAGGGTGATATTTTAATTTTTATTATAGACAATGTGGAAACAGAAAACAAAGACAATGTGAAAAAATAAGGAAGCAAATTAATGAAAGCCCTTTTGACGTTACTGTCATAGCGATCAAACTGGTTTTTTTTTTTTTTTTTTTTTTTTTTTAACTCAAGTCCTATTATAACTAAACAAAAATACAAAAGAAATACAATTATAACTCAATTGATATTGTGAAATATTATGTCCTGCAACACTCCAACAGTCCAAAAACAATGTCTCTTTTCATACCAAAAACTAAGGGCGCCGGTTGTTTGCCACTTGAATGCATCTCTGTGTCACTGTGTGAAATAGTGTGATTACCACAATTCCACATTCAACACATTCCATAAATTATTCGATTTTGATTACTCATGCTTTTTTGTTTTCTACCAAACTATTGTTTTCTCAAGTCCCAAAAACTCATTTTTAAGTTTTTTTTTTAATCACTCTAGGTGTTTGAAATCAATTAAAATGTTCTGTAGATATAAACATCAGGTTTTAAATAGTATATGTAACAAATATCAGCATCTGGTTGTTTGAGAAAGAAATTAAATGCAATTACTAAGCTTCCGAAGCAAGTAATGCGAATACTCCATTGACAAAGGGAGAATATTACAACTTTTTAACAAAAAAAAAACAAATTTGTAGTATGGTGATTGGTGGAGAAAGAAAATGATGCCTAATCTTGAACTGTTGTTGCAAAAGCATATCAGAAAGTGGGAGACACAGAAATACAAATTACATAAACTTTCATTGAATGTATCATTATACTTTCTCTAACAATATATTTAAAGAAATAAAGTATCAAATCAACTCTTTCAAATGTAATTATTTTTTTTCTCTTTAACGTTTGTGAAATGGAAAAACAAAATGTACAAAACACATCATTATAGCTGAAGACTTTTATGGCCTATCGTTTAGAGTCGAAGTCTTTATCGTTCAAATCAGGACCTTCAATAGACGTGACACTTGGCAAAACTTTCAAGAGCTGCTGTGCGAAGAATGTAGGACCGCGAAAATTCAGATTGAAAAATACGAATGAAATTCTTATATAATAATAATAATATATAGTAAGAAATCCGATTGAAAACAGACGAATACACAGAGGCGAGATTTTATCTCTTTCCTTAACTCAATAAATCTCCCGCAGTGTGGCGGTTTTGATGAGACTTTTGAATCCCAGGATACAACTGTGTGAGACTATAGTTGCAACACCCAACTACAGAATATGCGAACTAAATAACTACGCTATACTCTCGAGACTTACTTTTAGAGAAGAAAGGAAGAGATGTGAGAGATTTGCTGGAGTGTTTGATTTTGAATGAATGATTGAATGAATGAATAATGAGAGAGGTGAGGCCCTTTATTTATAGGTGATAGGAGACTTGCTCTCCAAGGAGGAAATATCCTTTTTTGATGTTTACCAAAAGAGATAAGGAATAATTCCATTAAAGGATAATGAATAATTCCATTAAGGGATAAGGAAGAATTCCATTATTCCATTAAGGGATAAGGAAGAATTCCATTATTAATTTCTTGTTTATCAAACAGAAACTGAACTCAATCTTTCTAGAAGTTTCTGGAAGATTTATTCTTGACATTATTCCTTTTTTCCAATTTGGGACAAATGAAGTGCTCCTTCATTTAACTCACTTAACTTTCTCATTAATTTTACATGAGCCTAAGCCCATTTCTTTTCACACTTGTCCACAATTTTATTCAGCCCATTTGGCTTAAAAATTTGGTTCCAACAATCCCCCACATGAATAGAAATGACTCTAAAACATATGCAGACTCTACTAACTCGAAAGACTATAATGCAGACTCTAGAGACTGACAGAAGGACTTTACGAGAGTATAAGCGAAAATTAACTGTGTATGATGTAGTAGCATGTTTCAGCCTTGAACTAATCACTGTTAATAACTGTCGGGTTTACTTAGCCAGGAGGTGAACACGATGTCTTGAACCACCCGGATGTTTATGTAAACCGAGACAACAGCTATAACCCAGCTTCATTTTCTCGTAGAACTTAGTTCTCTATTGCGTTCATTGTGGCCTTGAACTTTTCCTGGTTGATCATGAGTGAACTTAGAGAATATAGCCTGACTTCATCCTCCTAGAAACGGCCGCATTTCACACTCACTAGGTGATTTCATTGAGCTCCTGTCATATAAGAAAAGTATCCTGTTAGTACTCCTTGTATATATGAAAGCTACTCATATCATTAAAAGCAACGCTTATCCTTTAAACTTACAGGAAGCACTGTGCATCATTTTGGGAGCTGGGCTCAGACATATTGTCTTGCAGTGCTGTAAACAGATTCTGTTTGATTTAGTTGTCCCTTTGAACCAGCCTTTTGGGATCTCCAATCGCGAAGGTTGGGTGTCCATCAAACATCCTCTTTTGTCATAGGCAAAAGACCCATTCCCTTAGATGATTTCAAAACTTGATCTCTTGTCAAACCTTTTGTAAACGGATCCGCTAGGTTATCAGCTGACTTAATGTAATCGACCGAGATTACACCGGTTGTGATCAAGTGTCTAATGGTTTTATGTCGTCTCCTGATATGACGAGATTTACCATTATAGAGAGTATTCAGTGCCCGGGCTATAGCCGACTGGCTATCACAGTGTACACGCAGTGCCGGTACTGGTTTCTCCCACATAGGAATATCTTCCAAGAAATTCCGAAGCCACTCTGCTTCCTCTGCTGCTTTGTCTAAAGCGATGAACTCAGATTCCATTGTTGATCTTGCCAGTAGAGTTTGTTTGGAAGATTTCCAAGATATTGCTGCACCTCCTAGTGTAAAGACATATCCACTTGTGGATTTTGAGTTCTTTGAGTCCGATATCCAGTTAGCATCACTGTATCCTTCCAAGACTGCAGGTTCTTTACCATAGTGCAATCCATAACTTTTAGTGTGTCTCACATAATTTAACACTCTTGTTATGGCTTTCCAGTGTGTATGACCAGGATTGCTTGTGTAGCGGCTTAATACATTCACTGCATGCGCTAAGTCAGGCCTGGTACAATTGGTTAAGTACATCAGACTTCCAATTATCCTTGCATACTCAACTTGTGACACTCCTTCACCAGAGTTCTTAGTCAAGTGCAATTGTGTATCCACTGGAGTTTTCGCAGTTCCATTCGAATACTTCTTGAACCGCTCAAGTATCTTTTCAGCATAATGCTCCTGAGATAAGGTGATTCCCTCAGAAGTCCTTGTGATCTTAATACCAAGAATAACGTCCGCAAGACCCATGTCTTTCATGTCAAACTGACTCTTAAGCATGTTCTTGGTTTGTTGGATTATATCCTTGTTACTGCCCATGATGAGCATGTCGTCAACATATAAGCACAGCAAAACGTACCCACTGGGAGTGTTCTTGACGTAAATGCATTTGTCACATTCATTGATGCTGAATCCATTTGACATCATCACGTGGTCAAATTTTTCATGCCATTGCTTTGGAGCTTGTTTCAGTCCATACAGCGATTTCACAAGTTTACAAACTTTGTGTTCTTGACCTGGTGTCACAAAACCTTCAGGTTGTTTCATGTAGATTTCCTCTTCTAAATCACCATTAAGGAAAGCTGTTTTAACATCCATCTGATGGATTTCCAGGTCTCTCAAAGATGCAATAGCTATCAATATTCTGATTGAAGTTATTCTCGTCACTGGAGAATAAGTGTCAAAGAAGTCTAGACCTTCAACTTGTCTGAATCCTTGCACCACAAGTCTTGCCTTGTATTTATCAATAGCTCCATCAGTTTTGAGCTTCGTTTTAAATATCCATCTACACCCTAGTGCCTTAAACCCTGGAGGTAAATCAGTGATTATGTAAGTATGGTTCTGCAGAATAGAATCCATTTCACTGTTTACAGCTTCTTTCCATAAGTCTGCTTCTGGTGTAGACATGGCTTCAGAATATGTCCTTGGCTCATTCTCACAGAGAAATACCACTAAGTATTCATCACCAAATGATTTTTCCTTACGAGCTCTCTTGCTACGCCTAGGTTCAACCTCATTTTCTTCTGCTTCAGTTACTGAAGTACCAGATGTACTAGTCTCATTTGCAGGCACAATTGCGTCATGAGTTCGCTTCAGCTTCTGTCTATCTTTACATGGAAAGATATTCTCAAAGAATGACACATTCCTTGATTCAATAATTGTATTTGCATGGATATCTGGTATATCTGACTTGTGCACCAGAAACCGATAAGCACTACTGTTGTGCGCATATCCAATGAAAATACAGTCCACTGTTTTAGGCCCAATCGAAACCTTCTTAGGAGGTGGTACTTGAACTTTTGCTAAGCACCCCCACACTTTCAAGTATTTGTAAGAAGGTGCTGAACCTTTCCAAAGCTCATATGGCGTTTTGCCAGTTACTTTGTGTGGTATTTTGTTGAGGATATAGTTTGTGGCTAGCAGAGCTTCCCCCCACAGATTCTGCGGTAGCCCAGATTCCTGCAACATTGCATTCATCATCTCTTTCAGAGTTCGATTCTTTCTTTCTGAAACTCCGTTAGATTCTGGTGAATAGGGAGCAGTGGTCTGATGTATGATGCCTTTCTCCTGACAGAAAGCATTGAAGGGTCCATCATACTCGCCTCCTCTATCACTTCTAACCATTTTAATGGTTTTTCCCAGTTGGTTTTCAACTTCAGTTTTGTATTCCTTGAATTTTTCCAAAACTTCATCTTTACTACGCAGCAAGTAGACGTAGCAGTATCTTGTACAATCATCTATGAATGTCACAAAATACTTTTTACCCCCTCTGGTTTGTACATACTTCAAGTCGCACAAATCTGTGTGTATTAGTCCCAGAGGTTCAGTTGTTCTTTCGACATGAGGAGATGGTGTTTTGGTGAGTTTTGCTTGTACACATATCTCACATTTGTCTTTGTTTATTTTGCATTTCGGAATTAGGTCAAATTCATCAGTCTTTCAATGGACTTATAATTTACATGGCCTAATCTTTCATGCCAAATATTAGAAGACTCAACCAAATAAGCAACTGGTTTCTTATTAATCAAATCATTGGAAACAGGTACAACAATGTTTCTCTGGACTGGAGATACACACATCTTAATCAGTCCATCCTTAACAAAACCTTTTCCTATAAAAACACCATTCTTCCTGAGAATCAGCTGGTCAGACTCGAAGTTGATGGCAAATCCATGCTTGCTCATCAGAGTGCCAGAAATCAGATTCTTCCTCATGTCTGGAACATGCTTCACATTGTTGAGTGTGAGCTCTCTTCCAGATGTCATCTTCAGGACCACCTTTCCAGTGCCTTCAATCTTGGAGTGGGACACATTTCCCATCAGCAGACGAGCATCTTCCTTGCTTTTCTGGTAAGTGCTGAACATCTGTCTGTCAATGCAGATATGTGTGGTAGCACCAGTGTCATACCACCATAGCATCGGATTCTCTTCAACCATGTTAGCTTCTGTAACAACAGCCACCATGTCATCCTCTGTCAAGTTGGCTTGGTTTTTCTCCTTGGCCTTGCTGCGACAATCGGCTCCGCGATGTCCAACCTTGCCACAGTGATTGCACTTCCCTGAGAATCCAGATTTCTTCTTTGGGAATTGGGGGCTTGGGCCTGTTTCTTAAAGCCCGTGGAAGCCTGATTAGCAACCTTGTTGAGCGGACCCTTGTTAGGGTTAAACCTGCCTTTTGGTTTGTTGCGAAATTCAGCCACATTCGCATCATGAGTCTGAACTGTTTCAGCTTTTTCACGCTTCAGTGACTCATTCTGCAGCCTAGAAATCAAGTTGGCCAAAGTCAAAGCCTTCTGCTTGAATGCAAGATAGTTCTTGAAGTCTGCCCATCCAGGGGGAAGCTTCTCAATGAAGCAATTCACTGTGAAAGTCTCACAGATCTTCATTCCTTCATCTGATATCTCTTGGAGTATCATCTGCAGGTCATGCACTTGGTCCATGATGGGTTTTGAGTCCACCATTACGAAGTTGAGAAATTTTGCAGCAGCAAATTTTCCTGAGCCCACATTGAACGTCTTGTACTTCTTATCCAAGGCTTCCCACAGCTCCTTGGATGTTTTGACCTCACTGTACACATTGAACAGTTGATCCACTAGGCGACTTTGAATGTAACCTCTGCACAGGAAATCTCCTTGCTTCCCAGTTCTCCAGAGTCATATGAACTCGTGGATCTGGGTTTGCCTCTTGTTCAGCAGGCACCTCAGGTTTGTCTCAACGATACTTTGCCAGATTCAGCGTGGTAGGAAGAAGTGCATCTTCTGCTGCCACTGCTTGAAATTCGTGCCATCGAATTTGTCAGGCGTAAGCGCTGCGCTTATGTTGCTAGGCAAGTTGGTGCAGCGAGTGCAGCCAGTTGACCCGTGACATTAGCCGCAGGCTGATCCCCCAGTCCCGTTGGTTCCATTAGCAGTACCAGACATTATGGATCTGTATCACAAAGACAGATTTTGTCAGTATTGTGGGGTGTGCGAAAATATTCGCTAAGTTCACAGAGACTTGCTCTTAAACGTTATATTAGATCAGAGATCAGATATAATAAAGTTGAAAAAACGTTTTCGCGATCCTGCTAAAAGCTGTCGCGTAAATCGTTTTATCAAGTAATGATATTCGTCTTTTTTGAGATCGAAACTTTCTGCTGAATAGCTAGAGAGCTTTCGCAGAACTGTTTTAGATCTATAAGCAAACCGTTTTATATATCATATAAGAAAAAACTGTTTCGCTATATTCCAATCCGATTCAGGCGATAAGGAAGATCGGATTTATTGAGTTAAGACTGTAGGACCGCGAAAATCCAGATTGGAAAAATACGAAATAAAATCTTATATAATAAATAATATATAATTAAAAATACGATTGGAAATAGACGAATTACGCAGAGGCGAGATTTGATCTCTTTCCTTAACTCAATAAATCTCCCGCAGTGTGGCGGTTTGCATGAGACTTTTGAATCCCAGGATACAACTACGTGAGACTATAGTCCCAACACCGGACTACAGAATCTACGAACTAAATAACTACGCTATACTCTCGAGACTTACGTTTAGAGGAGAAGAGATGCGAGAGATTTTTGATGGAGTGTTTTGAATAATTGAGTGAATCAATAATAATGAGAGGGGTGAGGCCCTTTATTTATAGGTGATAGGAGACTTGCTCTCCAAGGAGGAAATATCCTTTTTTGATGTTTACCAAAAAAGATAAGGAATAATTCCATTAAAGGATAATGAATAATTCCATTAAGGGATAAGGAATTCCATTAAGAGATTTGTTGGAGTGTTTAATTTCTGAATGAATTGGTGAATGAATGAATAATGAGAGAGGTGAAGCCCTTTATTTATAGGTGATAGGAGACTTGCTCTCCAAGGAGGAAATATCCTTTTTTGATGTTTACCAAAAAAGATAAGGAATAATTCCATTAAAAGATAATGAATAATTCCATTAAGGGATAAGGAAGAATTCCATTATTCCATTAAGGGATAAGGAAGAATTTCATTATTAATTTCTTGTTTATCAAGCAGAAACTGAACTCAATCTTTCTAGAAGTTTCTGGAAGATTTATTCTTGACATTATTCTTTTTTTCCAATTTGGGACAAATGAAGTGCTCCTTCATTTAATTTACTTAACTTTCTCATTAATTTTACATGAGCCTAAGCCCATTTTTTTTCACACTTGTCCACAATTTTATTCAGCCCATTTGACTTAAAATTTTGGTTCAACAAAGAATTTAGTTAACTGTTTGAGTGAATAATCCGGTTTTTGTTAGTTGGTTGGTTTCTGGATTTTGTTTTTAGAAAAAAATAATATGTTGAGTCTAAATTATGATCTGTTTACAGACATTACATATAACAGAGTGATGTATAAACCTTTAACATTCAGCTTTTTCCCTTCCTTTACATGATTCTGATATAAGAGTAAGTACAATCAGATGAAGAGTTTTAACGCAACTTTGGTTTTTGTTTGGGTCACCTCTTTCAATAATGAATATTTGTGTGTGCGTGTGTCTCAAAATATATGCATAACATTTTACTGATCACTTTGGAATTTAATGTCTTCGATTATATGTATTAGCTGAATTTGTAACAAATATACAGAAATTATCACTTATATTAAGGCGAAATTACATAAAAAAAATTCATTTATCATACCCAAAAAGAAATGATCAAAAACTCCACAAAAAGGAAAACAATAAGAAGAAATAAGCAAAAAGGATATCGAAAAATTCTCCTTCGGACCAAAACTATAACCGAAGTCCACCTTAAGATCGAAAGTAATTAATAGATTAACATATCTATATCACCCTATAGAGTTATAATTAATTAAACTTATCACACTAATCCTGAAATCCAATCTTCTCCCAAATCGCGTTCCTCAATCGCCTTAGATCTCTACCCTTGGCCGTTCCACCGATGCCCTCGTGCACCGTGAACGAAGATCCTCTCAGCCGCGCTAAATACTCGTGCGGCGGAATGATCCGTCTACCTCCCTCTGTATCGCCGTTGTTGATGTCGTCGTCGTCATCGTCATCTTCGTCGCTATCGTCGTCTGGTACCACATGGCCCCTATACTCACTCTTCAGAATCTTCGACCAGTCGGGGATGTTAACCGGGAGAGAACCGGTCTTTGGCGCTATCCGGTTATCGACTGAATCACCGGTTTTCGTCGGTTTTCTCCGTAAACGCAAGATTGATATCGACCGCTTCGCGTCAAATGAATTCGGCAACTGGTGATCGCCTAAACTATGAATATCAGATTCATCGAATTCGAAGACATTCTCGTCGTTTTCGGACATCTCTGGTTCTGGCTGTGGATAGATGTACTTAGGCTTGACAAAGAAAAGCTTCCTCGACGCCATTGATGAAACAGAGAAGATAGAGGGAAAGAGATGGGATTTTTTTTGCAGAAAATGGATTTCTGGGTTTTGATCTGATTGTTGTCGAAGAATCTCAAATGGGGTTTGTGAAATTTTGATTGAAGGAGTTGAGATCATTTTATAGAGATAAGTGGTAAAGAGATAAGCTCATTGGTTATGTGAAGTTACGACTCAAACAAGTAAACGACAAACGGACCAAAGCAGATAAAAAAAAAAGAGAAAAGTTATTAGGTGTGGCAAGCCTCACGTTCTTATTGTGAGCTCTATACCTCTTTCTCGTCCATTGTTTCTCTTTAATAAAGTTTTTCTCTTTAACCCAAGGATAAATTATGATTTCACTATCTATCAAAACTCAAATCAAATAACTGCATTTAATTTCTTATTTGAAATGTATCAAAAAGTTAACAAAAACGATTTTGAGTAAATCTTGAAGTTTTTATATCTATAGTTTAGTGCTATACTAATTTTTTTGCATATAGTTGTGGGTTGATAAATGATTAATCAAATCTACACATCAGAAATTGAACGTCGCACGTGAACGTAGCCGGAATTCTGAGAAACTAACGTCTAAAGTTTTATTTAAAAAATAACCAATAATCCCATTGCAATTTTGAAGAAAAAAAAGCTGAAATATCTTTTTTTTTTTGGTCGGCCAAACTGAATATCAGATTTTTAATTTATTATCTTGTAAAATAATCTAAATTTATTTCAAAGCCGTTAATATATTAAGATTTGATTTCTATAAAAGAGTGTATTTTATTTTTATTAACAGCATGCACCACTTCCGGAAAAAGCCAATGTTTTAGTTATAAACTGAGCCAAACCGACTCTATGCGAACCGTCCGACGAAACCAATTTAAACCGGTAACCCATAAGGTTTACGAAACACTCCAACACACCTCCGTCTTCTTCTCATCTCTGCTCTCAAGCGAAGCAAGCAAGCTTCTTCAATCTTCGATCGTCCTCGTTTCGTGTGGGATTTTCTTCCTTCTCAAAAGGTTTGTATCCATGTAAACCCTAGTTTCTCCCTTTCAATTGTCACAAATTTCACTCGGATTGATTAAAATCGCTAAGTCTTAGATTTGGGAAAATCGAACTTTTATTGTGAATGTTATGGAATCGTTCGTTGCATCGATTAGAGGCCCTAATTTCAGATTCCTTGCGATCTGCGTTTTTTTAATTGAGATTTTGCTTACTTGTTGATTTGGATCTGTAGAGAATGGCTACAGCTTTGTATCCGCCTCCTCCTCCATTTTACAGACTCTACAAGGATTACTCAGAAAACCCTACTTCTGCTCCGGAACCTCCGCCTCCGATTGAAGGAGCCTACGTTTGTTTCGGAGGAAATTATACAGTGAGATTCCCCTCTTTTCCTTCTCATTTCCTCTTATTAAATTTCCCAATTCGTCATCTTTGTGATTTATACTTTTCAAAAAATTTCCTTGTTGCAGACTGAGGATGTTCTTCCGAGCTTAGAAGAACAAGGAGTGCCTCAACTTTATCCCAAAGATTCAAATGTTGGTATGTCATTGTTGATTGTTCCAAACTGAATCATATTTTACTAAAATGCAAATGCTTTGGCTTCAAGAGTTGATGAGGATAGTGTTGGCTGAAAGATGTTTTCTTCTGATCTCAGCCTTACTCTTTTGCAAGTTATCTTCTTTAGTTGTTTTGTTGAAGAGATTTCAAATATCATGATGTAGATTACAAGAAGGAACTCAGGTCGCTGAATAGAGAGCTGCAGTTACATATTTTGGAGCTTGCTGATGTTCTTGTTGAAAGGCCTTCTCAGTATGCAAAGAGAATCGGTGATATATCTTCAATCTTCAAGAATTTGCATCACCTTCTCAATTCCTTGAGGCCTCACCAAGTAAAGAAAATCTCTTTTTTTCTCTTTCATTGTACAACATGTTTTGATCGGTTTTTGCTTTACAGTTTTTCTTTAAAATCTATCTCTTATGACCAGGCCAGAGCAACGCTTATTCACATTATGGAACTTCAGATTCAACAGCGAAAGCAAGCTGTGGAGGACATTAAGAGGTTTGTTTATTATGGCTCAACTTTTTTGCTCTCTTAATTTATCAACATCAACCTATAAACCCAAAAAGATTTTTCAAAAGCTTGTTGGTTAGTTCTTATGGGTCCTTTTGATGTGTTGTAGAGAATCTAAATATCAGAGATAAGCACAATTAAATGGCAATAGTGTTGTTTTTGTTGTTTGCAGGAGGAGGGAAGAAGCACAGCGACTCCTAAAAGATGCTTTCGTCACTTTAGATGGACATTAGAACTTTTGTCCATTTGTGTGTGTATAATGATGTTTTGTTATTGACCCTTGAAGCTTATTGTAACACTGTGCCAGAATTATCCGGTTATCTTAGTGAAAGAAAAACAGAGAGGAATAAACCGGTGATACTATTACTACCCAAAGTGAACATTAAATTCCCTTTTTAATGTTCCAAAGAAAATCTTGGAACATTAAAAAGGGAATTTAGTCATTTACCCCAAATTATTTATTTTAATAAAATAGATTGTTTGGTAATTTAACAACCTGGTGGGATTGTCCGCAGGGGAACATAACCCAGACTGTAACACAAACTATTGGATTGTCCAAAGCTGAATGACACGTCCGATTATTTCCTTCTCACATTCAGTAAAACAGCCACGTCGGATCACTTCACGTGGACTAATAGGGACATGACTTGTTCACGTCATAGTTCTATTAAATTAAATAAAAACACTGTCAATATGTGGGATTCATTTGTTTCCACTATATGACTCATTTTCCTTATCAATAGTTTCTTTTAGTTATAAATATTTGTCTTTGTCAACCATTTTCTTTAGCAGGATATAACAAAAACTCATGTCAGAAAATGGAAAAAAAAAAGAGAGAAAGTTAAAAAAAAACTATGTTTCTTAAAAAATCACGACTAAATTTAACTTTCTTTTAGATTTGAAATAAATATAATATTTTCAAAGGTCTAATTATAAAGTTTCAGACTGAATTGTAGAGTGTTATTGTAGGGAGGGATAATAAAAATACAAAGACACGTTGGCCAATAATAGGTGTCAACAAAAGCTGGCCCACTAGACCTCATCTCATTGTGAAATTACGGATCTTTCAGTTTCAGGCGTCAATATCTTGACACGTCACTCAGGTCCCCCAACCTAAATTTTTGTTCATTCTCTTCATGTGAAATACGACAATGGACAAAAACGATGCCAGATATTTGCAAAAGCTTTAGACACATTGTTCTTCTTATACCCAATATTTTTCTTATACCTGTCATGTTATGTAATGAATACTATTAATTACTAATGCATAATGGACAAAATGAAAAATGCAATAACGAGTAAACAGACTAGATTGATAGATAATATATTACTTGAAAAAGCAAAAAAAAATTATAGTAGGTTAATCTTTATCTGATCATAATAAAACATGTAGGGTCTCGAATAAATCTTCTAGCCAGGGTATATATTTGGACTCTTAACTTATTTTAGATATATGCTTGTATAGACGTTCATTGTATACATATCAAAAAGAAACGAGCGTATATCTGTTAAACCAATCGCAAATTAAATAATGGAGTAGAGTGGCCAATTAATTATTGGCCGATAAGACCTCTCCATAATTGGAGCTTTGGATATATAATATAACAAGACACAAGTACCAACAAAAAAACAAATCAAAATAATGCTGGCTAAGTCAATAATCGAGCAGCTTATTAGTACTACCTTATTGAATTACTATTTTTTCGTCTTTTTGTGCGTTATATATCATATATATATATTTGATCTAAATATGTATAGTATCCTATATGATAAGCAAACATCACACCTTCCTCATTCAGCCGTATTATCGTAATCTTTCTCGTTAATTATACATATATTATAATTTTCGGGGTTTCTATTATTGTTTTATCACTTGGAAAATAATTGTTGGAAATGGTCATATATTTGCCAAGCGACCATCTCCGTATTGTATCTACTAATAACATCTGTTATATTGTAAAAGGTTAAATCCTAACAAACCAGCTAATCGGTCATTGTATATCAAAAAAATCTTTTGTAACAAAATTGATGAACATAAACCAGAAAAACACATGACATGAACAAAAACTGAGAAAAGCGAACTAATCCTTACTCTCGACTGATGAATCATTATTCCGTCGTATATTTAGAAATTAATATGAGAATATTTAGTCCAATTTGTATGCAATGTGATTAGTTCACTTTATAGGTGGCAGGTTCGATCAAAATGTTCCAATAATTACTATAAATGAATTAATCTTCAACGTTGAAATAGAAAATCGAATTGTCTAGTGACAACATGGTCACCTATTTCTTCAGTTATTATTATAATATCTCAAATGCAATCTGAATTATAATATCATATCTATTTACATAGGAAACATATAAACTCGGGAAAAATATTATATGTTTTATGAAAAAAATAAAACAGTGGAAAAGAAGAGCAAGAGGACTGATAGCAATCTTTCAACTATCCTTATCTTATCCAATCTTTTTCAGGTCATTGACTAATTTGCCAGTTAATCTAATTATATAAATCGTCAAAGCATCTTATAGTTATAAAACACGTATATCACCTGATTGCTCGTGTATCTTTACTTATAATATCTGATTAACTTTTCATGTGGCATGTCTTCCAAGTTCCAACGATCGATCTAAACCCAAAAGAAGATAGTTTAACACCACTACAAAGTCTAAATTCTGTACTAACTTTCCGTGTGATTCTTAGTTCCGATAACCTCCTTTTTATCACTTCTCACTTTTTGTTATTGTTTCGTGCACTAAACTATTAAAATCTCACGGGTTTTGCTTTTGCATCCTCTGATAAAATATTGAAATTTCATCTCGAGAGCCCATAAGAATATAGTTATGAACGAGCCCATGATGCTCTAATTCAGGCCTAATAATTGTCTACACTGCTTATGCCTAATCTTAGCATAACTCTATTCAGGCCTAAAAATTTGGTCTTTAATTTTCTTTGTAATGTAGCTTAACAGTAGAAAAGCGACAGACAACGACATAAACAAATATCTTAGCATTTGATTGAAACGTGTACGAACACAAAGATACACACGTCTTACACATGCGACATTTGCTTATTAAAAAACAACAAGATGTTCTAGAATATTCTTGTTGGTTCCAGTATTTTATAATTATAGCAAACAAGACCAAGTCGTCAACAACCAGCTTCATTCATTATGGATCGTCCACTTGTCCAACTCTCACATCAACCAATCATTCTGCTCATCTCTCTATATGGACTATATATATAGCTAATTCAAACATTAACACGTATCATAATAATATTGAATCATTTCTGCAAATTAATAATATCTATCGATTCGAATATGTGTTTCTTCGATAATCGGTGCGATCAGAACCTTATGGTGGTGAAGATGGATGTGGCGTGGTGGATGGAGGCGGCTCCTCCGAGGATAATTTCTCCTGAGAAGCCATCGAGTTCTCCGGTTCTTGAGACGATTTTGGAAGGAGAGACCGAAGAAGATGATCACGAACATGATAACGAAGACTTTTAATGGTCGTTTGGATCTTTCGTCTTGGTTTTTAGATAGATCTTGTTGTTAATTTTCTATAAATGTAAAACAAAAACATGAGATTTTGTATATTTTGTATAGAGTCATATCTCATGATATAGTTCTTTAATCTATTATCTATGGGACTATCGCATAATGTAATTCAATTATCAGGTCCTAGTAATTCTATACACATGTCTCTCAACCAGAGAACAATTTCGATGTTGAAATTAAAGTTATATTTTATCAACCAATTTTTTCTCATTAAGTTAACCGAAAGAGATTGCAAGAAATTACAAACACCGAGTGCTAATTCATTCGCTTTCGAGTTGTTGCTTTTTATATAGTATGTGATGACAAGTGAATACTAATCGATATATTAACATGTGGTTATTTACCTGATTTCAATCACTCAAAAACGGGATGTTATTGATTGATTTCTTAACATTTTATTTCTAACTAAACCGGGACAGTGTAAGAATTCCGATCGAAAAGACAAAAATAAGAAACTGAAAAAAGAAAACAATTGAGTCTGTGTTTCATCAAATTATAGACCGAATTTCTTAAGAACCGGACCACAAACAAATAATCAAAATCTTTAAAACAATCGAACCAAAATTGGCCGGAAATCGGACGAGTCACACCGCTAATTCGGTTTGGTGAGATGATTTCTCAACCAAGAGAATATAATAATTTTATCAATATAATTTAATAAAAGACACATCACACGTGTTAGTAAAATAAGCAGTATACGCATCACTCTATCTTTTTAGTCAGAAGCGCGTCGTCAATCATCAGCTAAAAGGTGAAACATAAATATCACGTGTGATATCTTTCTTTAAATAATAATTTTAATATATATCCAATGAGTGATTACTTGTTTTTAGCTCTCTATAAATGTCACTTTATCTCAATCATTTCCACACAGATCAGATCCTCACAATCACAAGTCTAAATCGAAGAGCGAGCGTTTTGTGATTTAATTTTCTACTACTTATACCATATGGCGAGGATGATCGGACCATTCGAAGTTGTGCCAGCGATTCTTGTTTTTCCGGTGAGAGTTTCAGCTTCACCTTCGTTGGGGACGATTTATGAGGACAAAGATGAAGACAATTTCATCCAACAGGATCTCGAGACTCAAGAGTTGTAAATTTGGTTCGGTTTCAATGAAATATACAGTTAAATTTTTATCTTTTTTCTTTGTTGTTTTCCAGCTCAAACTCATTTTTGACGTGGTGAGCTCTTATATATCTCTCTTATAGAAGAAATGTCCTTAACAACAATATTTATAAATGAATCGATATGTTATTGATCAAACTGAAAAGAGTCTAAACAGTGAACGAAAAGGTTGTTTTAAGATTATCACAGATGACAAATAAAAAAGAGTTGTTTTAAGATTGTCACACAATAATAAAGAGATGAAAAGAGTAGAGAGCCAAAAGTAACAACCAAAAATCTAAAGATAACTATAGTTCCCCTTTGGAAGTGGAGCAGTCTTGGCCTCTCTTGCTTTCTTGGCCTCTCTTGCTCTCTTGGCCTCCCTTGCTTTCCCCATCTCAACAATGTATCGATCCCATTGAAGACGGTGGAAACAGTGCTCAAGAACCGTCTCCACATCAGCGGCATTCTTTCTCACATCTTCTTTCAAGATTCCAGAACGAATTAGTACGTGAGTATACGCTTCAGCAAGATCACAGAAAAGAAGATGGGAACGTTGTTGGGTTTGGGTTTGACCACCGGTTAATGTCATAAATTCAAACTGAGGATCCTTTTCCCTTCTTTCCCTACACTCCTCCAAGAAACCCATCTCGTACAGCGCACAAAACTGCGCTGTGAGCTTAATAATATCAACCTCCTTGCCTGTGATCCCTTCAGGGACTCTGCATGTAAACATGTGATATTCAGGACGCCGAGGAGCAGTCAGTAACAAACCTTTATCATGGCGGTAACTTGTAGCTGCCGCACCGAGTGGCCTCTCTTTGGCATCCCTAAAATCTCTCTTGCTTCCTGAAACAGACCAATCTCAATTCATTCAAACTCCACACACCTATCTGCTTAATTCAGCTTACAGAGCAAAAAAACATACCTCAACCGAAGTGACTCCGTGCAACTTCTCTGCGTTTGGGAGCCCTTCCAAACAGTCATCATGGCGGCAACTTGCACCTGCCGCACCTTCCGAGTCAGGAGCATGAGCTCGTTGTTCAGCAAGCCTGTGCTTGTAAAATTCGTGATGAACATCACCGCTTTTCAAGAACTCAAATCCTTCTACTTCCCTATAGTGGTCTACGATCTTCCTCTGAAACTCCAACCCTTCTCCTAAAAGGCTGCCCACGATAGCCTCCAACGCACCTCTGATATCCGGAGGTGGAATTGCTACACCCGCCGGAGCCTTCCATTCGGTTCCCTGATCCCTTCTCTGCGGAGGAGCATGTCGTCGTCCGGATAGTCCAAAGCAAACCAGTCCCCTTAGGTGGCGCTCCTCTTTAAAATGTCTATCAAAAGCCCTTTTCCCCGCATAGCTCTCGTTCCTACATATCTCGCATTTATACTCCTACAAGCACACAACAACCAAAACAGTCTCAACAACATTCTTTCTTCTCTCTTCTTTTACATAACATTACATAACATCAATCACCAATTGGCTACATTACCTTGCCAAGGCCCAGTTTGTCCAGCCAGTATGGTATAGGCCTCCCATCCCAACCCATGGAGCGTTTCAGGGAATTCTTGTTGCAACCGTCACCACTTTCTGATATATCATGCAAGTCCAAGTACGAACCAAGGCATTCCTGCGCAGCTTATACTAGCTAGTGTTAAAAGGAGTCAAACATGTCTTGTCAATCATAAAACGGAAGCTTACCTCTACGGTGACTGGTTCCCCCTTGGAGAGTGACTCATAGTCTGAGTCTCCCAGGGGTGGTGCACAAGTATGCGTTCTATGATATTCAACAATCTGCCAAACAAACAAACAAAACCAAAGTCATTGACAAAGAAACATCATTCTGTAAAAACCAAAGTCGTGAGTTTAGATGCAAACCTCCTCTAAACGAGAAGAAAAGGCACTAGACACATCAGTCCATGGAGTCTGGAAACGAGAAGAAAAGGCACTAGGCATATCAGTCCATGGAGTCTGGAAACGAAGCGGCGCTATATCACCTCCAATCTTTCCATAGGTTTCAACCTTGCAGCCAACAAGAATCCAAGGTTAATTAGTAGGTAGCATATAACTTAGTCCAAATCATCTTTGACCTTTTCATAGGTTTCATAACTTCAACCAAAACTCAAAGAAATTGGAGGAGGAGATGAAGAAGAACATATTAGAGATGATGAGAGTTTAGGATTGGAAGAATTATATTTTTTACTCTCATAAAGATCAATATACAATGTGGAAACATTTATATTGTGACAGACTTTACTTAATTAAAAATCTAATAGTATCTTTTAACATAAATACAAATCCCTATAATAATATTCATAATATTCACACTAATCACATGGATCTTCAAGATCCTTCTATACAAAAACGTACAAGTTTCTCGCTCTTAAGTACAATAGACTTAGCCAAGCTTCGAAGACGGTGGCCTTGCAACAATTGCTTCATCGGAGACGTCTCTTCTGTCTTTAGTTCTTCCACAACCAATTTCTCCAATCTTTCAATTTCCTCGTGACCGGAGCGAATTTTCTCCAGCATCATACCGATATCCACCGGAGAGGCAGGAGGAGCCTCGAGTGACGTCGAACCAGACATTCTCCACTAGCAGATACTTCGACTGAGATTAAGAAAAGCATGAAACTTCAGAAACACTAAAGACCAAGAAGCGAGAGAAAGAGATTGATACGAAAAGGAAGAGGAATCACCGACGCTAAACTTAGGGTTTCCGAGAGAGATGAGCTAATTAAGAAACACCGTACCTCTCAGCCTGTAAGGAACGCGACGTCGAGAAGAAGCAGAGCACTAACAAATTCGAACGGACAAGACTTGAAAACCCTAGACTTTATATACACGAAACCCGGGCTCCGGTCTTGATTAATTGGGCTCACCGTCCTAATCATATTTGGGCTTTGTTAATAGTGTAAAATGAATAACATTGGGCTTTGTTAATCGACCATTAAGAAGTGACAACTGTGGTAAATAAAATTACAAGAAGCGCAATATTGTAATAAAAGAATTTTCTGTTATTTATTTTTTGCATTCAAAATTACAAGAATTTTTTATCAAATTTGACATGTATAATTATGGTAGTATCATAAAATTTGTTGACATGTTTAAGGAAGAAAGAAATTACGCTTGATCCCCCAAAAATTACGTTTATGGTAGAAAGAAAGAAAGAATGGAGTCAAACACTGAACCGAATGAAAGAGCACACCGAATTGAAGCAAACAAACTAGATGAGTTTTCCTCATTAAATTCCTAAAATTTTGTCTTTTTCTATGATTTATTAATCTCAATTCTCAGAGATCAATACAGTAATTTATTTTTCCGGGGACTCTTTACTACTGTTTCTGGGTTTTGTCTGAATTGGATGACGATGGATCATAAAGATAAAACTCGCGAAGTAGAACTTGGGTCCCGCCAAGATATTTCTCCTTCTCTAATGGTGAGTTTTTATGATATCTCACTCTCAACTCAATTCCACTAGATCTTTTTATTTCATCAAAAAATTGATCTTCTTCTTCTTCTTCTTCTTCTTCTTCTCTTTCCTTGATTTAAGCTGAGGGTTTAGGGTTTATAAGTTTAGGTTTTAGGCGATTGTTTTAATCCTCTGCAACTTTTTGAACTCTCTCACTTGCAAATGCTTCAATTCTGCTTTCTTCGCGCTATACGGAGAGATTCCGGAATTCTCGTTCGAATTGCGACATTTTTGAAAACCAATTCGGAGAAATTAGCTAAATTAAAACTTATAACAATGTTTCTGTTGATTTGTGTTACAAATTCTGTGAAACATATTCATAACTCAGGCTTCTATGATTTGTCAAGAACCGAAATTTGTGAGGAAAAGTATCTTCAATATTGAATTTTGGGTGTTGCAGGATGGTGAGATACGAGACGAGCTATCACCGAGCCAACACCAAAGATGGCGAGGCCTTGTGTTAGATATAGAAGAATCAAGAGGAGCACAAGAAGAGGAAGCTCATGGATCCTCAACTCCAAGTCCTGTTTCCAAAAGGTTCAAGTTCTCTCCAATGTCAAGCCCTAGAATCGGGAGACGTGTTGCATCCATGAGCCCTTGCTCCTCTTCTTCAAGACACATAAATCTCTTGAACTTGAAAAACCGGAACAACAACAATGCAGATATTGAGGAAGGTGTGGCTTCGGTTCCAAGAACATGGTCCCTCACTAATCTCTTAACTCCTAGAAAATACAGAAAGACAGAGTCTTTACCTGTTACCCCTGTAGCTCACTCAAACCCTGAGTCCATGCACGGAAGCTATGCCGTTACTTCCATGGTTAGTTGTCTATCTTCAAAACTTGAAATGATTCCTTTTTCTTGATTACTGATTTGAGTCTTGTTCTTGCTAGAGAAGAGAGCGTGCACTGCCTATTCGCCGTTCACGCTCTGTCCCGGCGCTCATCAACAAAGATGGCAGTGTAAAGGCGTTAGGATATCTCCGTGTGATTCCGACTCCATCTCGTGGGGATAATGAGAGTCTAGAGATGAAGCAGGCGACAAAAAAGGGTAATTCTCAGATCACATTTCAGAAATGTCATTGTGAGTTGTGAGAGCGACATTTACAAAACTCCACCTTAATTATATTTAGTGATGTGTGTTCAGATGAAAATGGTGAAGATGTTCCTGAAGAAGAAGCTGTGTGTAGAATCTGTATGGTTGAGTTGGGACAAGATTCAGAAGCTTTCAAGATGGAGTGTATGTGCAAAGGAGAGTTAGCTTTGGCCCACAAAGAGTGTACGATCAAATGGTTCACGATTAAAGGGAACCTAACGTGTGATGTGTGTAAGCAACAGGTGAAGAATCTCCCCGTGACGCTTCTCCGTGTCTCTCAGGGTGATCAGTCTAGAGAAGCCGATGGTAACAACGAGCTTTCACGGTTCAGTGAGTGGCAAGATGTGCCGATTCTTGTCATCGTGAGCATGCTTGCCTACTTCTGTTTCCTCGAGCAGCTTCTTGTCGTGCAAATGAAATCTAGCGCCGTCGCAGTTGCTTTGCCCTTTTCCTGCGTCGTTGGTCTTCTTGCGTCGATGATATCAACAACGATGGGTAATTATATAATAAGAGTTCTCTTGAAGTTAATAGTAATCATCAGTCTTAACTTTTAAGTGATGATTTTGGTGCAGTGACGAAGAAGTATGTGTGGATCTTCGCAACCATTCAGTTCGGTTTTGTGGTCCTTTTCGCTCATCTTTTCTACTCAGTTGTAAGATTTGATGTCATGTCTCAGACTCAGAGAGTATTTTTTTTCTGATTTTGTTGAAGCTCTTCTGGTTCTTGATTTCTTACAGATTAGTTACTTGTGTGCAGGTTAAGCAGGCGGTTATGTGTATTGTCTTATCCACTATGATCGGATTTGGACTGACGATGTCCGGCACAACGGCTATTAATGAGTATAGGAAATGGAGGAGAAATCATACTCACGCGCCACCGAGCACTCAGGTGGATCCATCACAGTCTCAGACAGCAGAGTAGTGCTTGACTTTGTTGTTGTTGTGGGTTAATTGGATTTTTCGGTTTAGATGTGAGAGCAGACGATGGTTATTTGGTGTGTCAAAAGAAGACGCATAACAAAAAATTTAGGGTGTTGGTTGTAATTTTAGAAGAATAAAATTGGGCTAGATTAAAAATTTATTTTTTACCAATTACAATGAGAAATCTCATAGATGAATGGGCTGAATAATATTTTTTTTTGACCTTTTTTACAATACAGAAACAGAATGATGAGCACACATGACATGACACATAAATCACATAATGAACAGTATGATTAGTAATCCTACATTTCTTGAATAACACTTCTTCACAGCTTTTGACAGATCACAAATTCACCCTTTTTCAGATCATTCTTCATTTTCAATCCTCACCCACCCAACCTCTCCCTTCAAAGCAATCTCTCTCCTCTCTCAATTTCAACCAAAACTTTCCTGTGATTAACTTTAACCTAAAAACATTTCCAATCTCACATTGCATTAGTTGAAAGAATTTTGTTTTAGTTCCCAAGTAATAATCTTAACACTAGCAAGCGAATCCTACTCTTCACCAAACTACATCTCTCTATATAACCAAACCCAAAATCCTCTCGTCACACACACATACACAGCAATGGCTACTTCAACATCATTCGTTTTCTCTAATCTCTCCATCTTCTTCCTCGTGATGGCTACAACCAATGGTCAGGCTCCAGCTCCAACCCCTTCAGGTCCAACCAACATAACCGCAGTCCTTGAAAAAGCCGGCCAATTCACAATGTTTATAAGACTCCTCAAAAGCACGCAAGCCTCAGACCAAATCAACACTCAGCTCAATTCTTCTTCAAGCCAAGGCCTAACCGTCTTTGCCCCCACCGATAACGCCTTCAGCAGTCTCAAATCAGGAACACTGAACTCATTATCCGACCAGCAAAAGGTTCAGCTTGTTCAGTTCCATGTCCTTCCTACACTCTTGACCATGCCTCAGTTTCAGACCGTTAGTAACCCCTTACGCACGCAAGCTGGTGATGGCCAAAACGGTAACTTCCCTCTTAACATCACCAGCTCCGGTAACCAAGTCAACATCACCACCGGAGTTGTGAGCGCCACCGTGGCTAACTCTGTCTACAGCGACAAGCAGCTCGCCATTTATCAGGTCGATCAGGTTTTGCTGCCGTTGGCCATGTTTGGTTCAAGCGCGGCTCCTGCTCCGGCGCCTGAGAAAGGCGGCGGCTCCGTTTCGAAAGGTTCACCTTCCGGTGGCGATGATGGAGGAGATTCCACTGATTCATCTGATGCAGAGAGAACCGGATTCGGTTTAATCGCCACCGTAGCAGCCATTGCTGCTGCTTCTTCTCTGTGGATATAACTCGGGACAGAGATTTTCTCGAGTTTTCCATATTGGACTTTAAGAATAACGACGAGAACTTAAAACATTTTGTTGTAATTTGAGATTGTGTTATAGATTGTATTATCATGTTATTGTTTTGATCCGAATGAGACAATTGCGACTGAACAAAACTTTTTGATGAAAAGAAACAAAATGTGTATTTTGAGAATAACTTGAAACTGTTAGTCTTTAAGTTACATGATAGCAAATTAGAAACCGAAACCGCCAAAGCCTCCGCCACCACCACCACCGGGAAAACCGCCCTCGAAATGGAAACTGTAGCCACCACCGCCGCCACCACCAAATGGATCAAATCCTCCTCCACGGCCGCCACCTCCACCCATATCTTCAAGATCTTCTCCTCTGTCAAATCTTGCTCGCTTATCGTCATCTCCAAGAACCTGATCAGTTTACCTGGTTAGATTTTACCCTGTGTGTCAAAATGAAAGGGATTTGTAAGAAAATATTTGAACCTCATAAGCTGCAGCGATTTCTCGGAACTTGTTCTCAGCCTCTTCTCTGTTGTCGACGTTTTTATCAGGATGCCATTGTAAAGCAAGCTTCTTGTAGGCTTTTTTTATTTCAGAGATAGAGGCGGTTCTGGAAATCCCAAGAATCTTGTACCAATCTTTTCGTTTGCTCATCTTCAGTGCTTTCTCTGCTTTACCAAGTGCTTCATGAATTTCCATGTCCTGATACAATTACATGTGTTTTGTAAGTCTCTAAAAGATCCAACTTACATTAAGAGTATCAGAAACATGCAAACTCATCTTTAACCAACCTGAGAGTTTTGAGCGGCTTGTTTCAGATCCTCCACAGCTCCTTCCCAATCTTCAAGCAACAGTTTAGCTTCTCCTCTCTGAGAAAGTAGTAATCAGAAACCTGTTTGTTCCATAAAAAAAAGTTTTTGATTTAATAAGTAATGATAACGAACCTGATGTAAAGCTTCAGTTAGTTCTGGATCTATGTTGAGTGCTTCATTGCAACTACTTAAGCCGTCTTTGCCACGACCGAGCCTGACAGAGACTTTGCATAGTCCAAGATAGAGATGGACGTTATGTGCAGTGTGTTCAGGGTCTAGAGCAATCGCTTCTTTATAGTCCTCTGTTGAGACTCTCAACTTTCCTTTGCTTGCATTATCTTCTGCCTGCAATAGAGCACATGTTTTTTTCAAATTGGCTGCTAAAGTTCTCAGTGTTAGAGGAAGACAAAGAGGTTTGTAGAACTCACGCTTTTTGTTTTCTTGATCAGTTTTTTCAATCCGAAGTATGCTTTCTTCAGTGCACTGTGTTCTGGATCAAGACGAAGCCCTTTTTGGTAATGCCTGAAACAGAGAGTTTATTATCAGTTTTGGATCCAAACTCTCTCTCTGATAGATACTGGGTTGAAGTTAGACCAAACCTTTGGGCAATATCATGATCTGCTAAATAATAGTAGGCACGGCCACGAAGGAGCAAGGCCTCAAGATTATTTTCATCTTCCTTGAGAATATAACCAGTCTCGGAAATTGCAGCAGAGTAGTCTTTAGACACCATAAGGAGCTTCACTTTGAGAAGCTTTGCCTGAAGTGAAAAACGATCAGAAACTGCATGGCCAAAGAGTACAAACTATATAACTGCAAATAGCAATCAAGAAGAGAACCTTAGAGCACGCTGGGGAGAAGACAAGAACAACTTTATCAACAAACTCAAGAGCCTTCCCAATGTCATTTGATTCGTAGAGAGTGGAGGCAGTCTCCAAAGCACTCTTAGCTTGATGAAGCTGAGAGAGCTCTTTCTCAGCATTTGAATCTCCTGGTCTTAATTCTAAGTATTTCTGGTAGCTATTTTCAGAGTCTTCGTAACTACAACACAGGAAAAGAGCATCCAAAATCAACTTCAGTGTTTCAATGAAAACGAATCCAAACCAAGATGAAACCTTTTGCCATTCCTATACCTGCAAAAATGACGAAGCACAGACGCACGCCTTAAATAAGCTTCTGAAAGTGCAGGGTCTGCTTCAATGGCTGCATTCAGATCATCAAGGGCATCGCTATAACGCTTGACCTTGATACTTTGTGAAGCCCTCTCAAATAACTCAGCAGCATCTACTGATTGACCATCTGTACAAAATAAGAGATTAGAAAGAAGCTCAATGACCATACCAAAATGCATCTTTGCTTCACTCTCACACCCTAATGGAGCAGGAAAGTCTGTTTATTTTCACTCTGAGGGAATTCACTATGAATCATAAAAAACAGAGTCCTAATCTCAATTCCAATACGTTCACAGGGAATCTCACTATCCACAGAGCGCCTGAGATTGGACAAGCCCACAACCAAAAAGAACAAATTCAACACAATTATAGAAGTAATTCGCCATCAAAGTGCGAATTTTTAAACTCTAAGATTCCCAAATCAGCTAAATTTTAAAACAACGAACATCAATTTTACAACAGGAAAGCGAAGCGAGCATGGGACAATCCAGAAAGAATAGAAATTACCTAAAGCGGAAACGAGAGGTTGAAGAAGAAGAAGTTGGCAAACGAAGACAAAGTTGAGCAGAAGAAGTGTGTAAGCAAATCCTCTCCAGGCTAAGAAATCCATCCCTGACCAGACTCGGCACAGATCCATTCGAGATTTCAATACATATACTTACACGTGCGTATACGCTAAGCTACACCCACGAATTTGGAATGTTCAGAATCAAAAACACGATGGAAGAAGAAACTTTGATTCAAGCTCAAGCGAATTCGTGTTTTCGGATTTCGTCCTCGATCGAATTCGAAGCTTTTCGTTTTCGATTTAAATTTGCATGTTTTAAGTGTAACTAGTAACAACACGTTGATCTATCCAACCATTATCCTCCACGTGGAAATTGTTTTGGGTAGGTCCCTTTTCCGCATACACTGACCAATGAAAATCAGACAGCCATGACTAACTATTGCCACGGTGGTTTAGCCCTGCCACGTAAGAGATAAAGGTGCTGTAGAACGAGCTGAAGAGATCAATATGGGCTTAAGATCAAATTTGATGGGGCCCAAACTTAGATATCGGATTAGTGCTAGTAACCTCAAACGGATAAAGGGAAATTCTGGTTAACAAAACCGTACGAAATGTCGAAATCCATTACATAAACCGAATTTCTTTCATCCAATTCACTCTCTCATAATTATCATGATTTTTGTTTAAAGTCACAATGAAAAGGAATAATGCATGGATCCACAAAACGACACATTTCATATTTTATAACTCGTGTGGAGTTGGAGTCTTGGAGATAAGTCAAAATAAAGACAAGGCCTATCAATCTACTGAAATTTCTAGCTGATATAACAGTTAAAATATTTTAGTTTATGCAGAATCCGAAGGAACATATATATTGACTCACATCTCGAGAACTTGGGTTTGGGATCAAGTTCCTATTGAAAGGCAATTTTCAACAATGTCGTTGAGTTTTGTCTAGTTTTCTCAGATACTTTGTGTACGAATTTAATGTTTTAAAGAAATTGTTTGCTTTTGTTTGAACACACTCTTGAACCGGCGGCTTTGGGTTGTATTAGACAACAATTTGTAGGTTATGGCATAAATCTAAATGAAGAAATCAATAGTATTACATCTTTGGATATGTATAAATCTTGTTTGTGGAATCGAAGTCCCTGACGTACGAATTTCGGATTGGCAATGAAAACAATAGCTGTATTAAAAAGCTTGGAAAAGCCTGACCAAATTTCTTGAATAATCCCATTACAATAACGAAAAGAAAATAACATTTACAAAACGACATCGTCGCAAGTACATACCCATGCATGTCATGGTATACATGTATGATGGCGATTATCACAAACATAGTAAAAGTACATAACATTTAATGCAGATTGACATGATGATGTCTTGTCAACCTTTGTCCCCACATTCCGACCGCTTCACAAGGGGGTACGATTCTTAGACTTGTCTCCTCGAAGAAACTTCCAATCCTAAACCCAAATTAAAGAAACTTGTCCCCCCACCTTTCTCTTGATACGGTCGGAACATGTACTCGGTAAACGGAATTTGAATTTTTAAACAGATGAGATAATCATTCAACCAAGTGGAGCAAACCTTGCGAGTTCTTGAGGTAAAAACGGACGACGACCCGTTTGGTGAGGCTGATACTCGTTGCTCACTCCAAGAAAATCCCGGGTTAAGCCCATCTGTTGAACCGGGTTTAGTCCTGACCGGTTCGGTTGAAGCGGATTATTGTTATCCACACTACTAGTGGTTACACCACTAAGAGGAGCAAGATTGTGGTTCTCTCTTGAGACGTTGGTGTTGAAGTTGTGGTTGAGTTGTTGTTGGGTCATCATTGGAGAAGAAGATCTAGGAGGAGGAGGAGAAGCGGCGGAGGAGGTTGACGGCATTGTTGGGCCGGCGAAGAAGGACGGAGTGGTGGTGGAGTTGCTTCTTGTGGAACCCATTTGCGCAGCTTTTTGTAAGAGAGCAGTGGCAGACATTGGAGAGAGAGGTTTCTTGTTGTTGTTGTCGGAGGAAGAGGAGAATAGTGGTGAGAAAGATGAGTCTTTTAGGGTTTGGTGGTGTTGTTGTAGTGATGGCAGCGAAGCTGAGGACTGTTGTGATGTTGAGGATGATGATAAAGTGAGATTAGGGTTTGTGGAAGTCGTCGGAATTTGGAATTGTTGGTGGTTGTGATGCTGGCCGGAGAAATCCGGGAGGGAGGATGATGAAGACAACGGGAAGAGATGGTTATGGTTGCCGGCGGAGGCCATTTGAACCATCTCGGATAAACCTAGGAATTTAAAACGGGGATAATATATGAAAATAATCTAAGTCTAATCGTTTATGTTAAAAAAAAAAAAAAAACATTATGAGATAGGTTTACCTTGCGCATGCATAGCACTTAGGTCATGTCCGAACCCTAAACCGAATTGAGAGATAGCAGCATTGATGTCGTGATGATGAACTCCTCGGTGAACGAATCCATGAGGAAGATTAGGATTATTCATAACTTGTGAATCATTTCCAAAATTCAGATTCGTTGAAGAGATTGCCGGATTGTTATTACTGAGTGAGCTCATCCTCGCACCTTCCTCAGTCAATGCGTCGCAGAACGCTCTATGTGTGATGAAGCTATCTTTCCTATAATACATAGATGATCTATTAGTAGAAAGCTTTTTAGGTTTGCACATACATTGAAAATAACGAAACGTGGTAGTTACAAGAATATTCATTATCAATTTAAGAACTGAGACAATGGCATTGATTATTAAACATAGCATTAAATTTGAAATCATTAGCAAAATAAGACATTCTTGGCCGGAGTAAGCATTTATTTCTCCTATGCAAACTCTCGACATGAAGACAGAAACAAACGTCAAACTTAATTATTATATCCAAATTCATGTGTGCTGACAATAGATATGTATGTATAGCTCATTGCCATATCATATGAATAAAAGAAGAGTGAAGCCAAATAGACATGTACACATACAAACACACAAAATAAATAGATGCTCATACCATCAACAATCTCATCGAATATCATATTCATAAAGTACGCAGCTTTTAATATAAGATCTTAAAACTAAAATAAAAATACTGCTCCCAAAAGTCAGAATGTCTTCATTTAATGCCTCTGCAACCTCTCAACAGTTATATCTAATGACAAGACATTGCATACACCTATCTCTAGATTCTATAAACTCTAGCAGTTTCACATGAACTCTATGCCGTGGTGTCACCCGATTGCTATAAAAAGATCTGTTACCCAGTTTTGATACTTCACATAGTACAAACTTAACTTCTTCATCAACAAATACCAAATGTTGGTTAAGTGAATATATAGTACCTGGAGAACAACGTGCCACAGTCGCACTTATACTCACGAGTGCCACAAGTTTTCGCGTGGGCCTTCCAGTCAGAATGAACAGCATATTTCTTTGAACATTTTTCGCATTTCCACTTCTTTTCTCCGTGCTTACGGCTATAATGCTTCTTGATCCCGGTGAGGTCTCCAAGGGCCCTGGAGGCGTCGTGATGGACACAAGTCTTGATAGGACAGATGTATACTTTCTTCTTTATCACTTCTTTGTTGGACCGTTGCTTCAGCTTCCATGGAAGGTTGTGGCCACGGCGATGGAGTTGTAAGTTCTGGTCCCTTTGAAACCCTTTGTTGCAGATCTCGCACACAAACCTGTTTGTGGCCATGAGGGTTGTTGGCGATAGAGCGATGACATCAGCATCTGGATCTGTCCATATATAAGTATAAAACCGATGTTATCATTATTTTTTGTTACGCATATTTTGTTCTAATGACTTCAACGATGTTTACTTATAGATTACAAAAGAGTACATATGTAGCATAGAGTATCCGGATATAATCAGAGGAGGATAAATAAGATATATAGAGATGTATATGCAAATGTGAATACTGAGTTCTGATACTTGAGCACAACATATATGTGCATATTTTTTGGTTGAAGGATATCTATGCATATTATGTTCGATGTGTGGTTATATATATGTAAAAAATAAATATATACACATGCACATATATATAGATATGTGCGTATATACTATGGTGATGAAGGTGAGTACCTGGGGTGCCAGGTTGATTTCGCTTCTTCTTGGCTGATGAAGAGTTTGGTTTAGCACTAGGGTTAGGGTTGGAATTAGGGTTAAGGTCAGTGATCTGCTGTTGAAGATGATGAAGGTGTGGTTCTTGATGAATAAACCCTCCCATGGAAGATGATATAGAAAATGGATCTCCTGGAATCATCTGCATATTTTTGTTTTGATTTAAAACAGAGCTAAAGAACAAGAACTGGGTTTTGTATTTTTTTCTCTTTATAAAATCTTGCAAGAAAACAAGAAGACGATCAGGAGATTTAGAACAGTATACAAACAAAAGAGATTGTTAATTAGGGTTTAATTTGTAGAGGGGAGAAGAAGAACAAGAACAAGAGCATATAAGTTTCTTTTGGGTTTTAGGGCTTGAGAATGTTTGAATGTGCTTGACTCTTTGGTTATGCCAAATGACAAGAAAAAACCAAAGAAGATGAGGAAGACATTTTCAAGGCACGAAAGTATATGTTTATATAAAGATTATATTGAAAGAGGATTTGATATTTTATTTTTAACTACTACAGGAATAAAGATTTATTTTTGCCTAAATAACGTCGAGAGATCTGGGAGATGTTCTTATAGAGATCTACTTTTTTTTCTTTTTGGCTTAGTCGATCTGTGAATTTTTTCAAAAGGGAAAGTCATTTCATTTTTCAAGATAAATAATAGTAGTTTATTCGAAAAGGCCAGTTTATCTTCCTTTCTCGCAGTTACATAATCACACGTGCATGTGTGCATATGCGGTGTGTTTAAAAGTTGGGAGATTATAAAAGAAGTAGTACTCCCTCCGTTTCAAATTAGTTGTCGTTTTGGCAAAATATATCTGCAAATTTTTAGATGTATCTGCAATGCAAAACACGTCCGGATACGTTCAAAAATTTACAGATACATTTTACCAAAACGACAACTAATTTAAAACGGAGGGAGTATTAGGGAAGTATCCTAAAATAAGATTAGTGTACATGTTTATACAAAATCATATGCACGATTTAAAAAAATTCAGTATATTAATCAAAATCAATCGTGCATATTTTTTATCACCAAAATTTCGTAAACCTATATACAGATATAAAATTATATTGTAGATAACCTGAGTCAATTTCGTATATAAAATCATTGTTGCTACATGATAAAACACAATTGCTCTGTTATTTTCATGACAATATCACTTTTATAAGGTTTAACCGTTTAAGACACCAATAATTTTTTTTACAGAATTAACTAGTGGCCATTGCCAATGCCATATACCAGTCTCTATTATTTCACGACTAAAAAAAATCTACGTTTAATAATATGTGGTTGCTCTGTGTAGGACATACAGTATATATGAATTTAATTGGACATAGTTTCAACTCCTATTTTATTATAAAATGAAAGTTAGGCACCCAAGAAATTGTATTTGGCAAACGAAAATGTTCTGTGTCCCAAGAACAAAGCATATAGGTAGATGCAAAAAGTTCCTGTTTTAAAAAGAGAGCACCATCTTTGACTCCCAAAAAGTTTTAGGAACTCAAAAAAGCCTTTTTGTAATTTGTATTTCTTTTCAACTTTATTTATATAAAACTATTTTAACTGGAAGTACAAGTTATTCCAAGATAAAAGCCAAAAAGTAGTTTTAGATTTAAATGTAATTAAGTGTACACTCAAAGAGAAGTCAAGACGTGTATCATTCAATCTATATATTGACACTAAATCTAAGTTCCATTGACAATTTTAAATCCAGTAGTGGTCAAATGATAGTCGAGGAATGCTTCACATAGTAAAACATGTACAGTTAAGTTATAACTAAATGTATATAAACAAGAACAACTATAACTGAAAGTGTTGGTAGAGTAAAGCATGGTTCAGAAAATTTTCCATTTTGCTATGAATTTGAGCGTAAGAAGTACAAACAAATCTGAAATATTACGATTCGGAAAATTTGATCATGCGTGTAGACAAAACTAACATTATTGGATTTTCTTGAGTGGACTATAATTTCACTTACACAAGTTTTGATTTCTTCTCTCTTTTTTCGTTCTCTTTTCGTTTTGTGCTATCGAGGAAGTGAGAAGAAAAGGGAACTACCTTTAAGGAAATAGATCGAAAGAAATGATTAAGGCATAATTACAAGTTGGACCAAACATAGCATGTTGCAATGTGTGTGAGATAGAGAGAGGATCTTTGGCATTTCCCGATGAAGACGATAGGACAGTCCGTGACGCCTGTCTCTCTGTCTGTGGGCCCTCTATATGAAGCTATGATTCTCATGCACATTGCTCTTCTATTATCGTCCATAGTTTCTTGTTTTTATTAATCATCAGTCCTCATTCATACTAAAGTTCATGAGCATAGTGATTTTAATGGATGATAACAGAATGATTGTGACTTACAGTCATTTACTCTTTAGATTTGGATCCAAGTCTAGTATAGCGATGGGTTTTTAGGATATGTGCTTACATTGGTTTAAACATTTGATATTTTTGTTTGCATTACTTTTTTGAATAAAGAAGATGATTGAATTTTCTCTTTTAGCAAAACAAAGAAGATGTTTGACAAAAATAAAATAAAAAGACATGCATATACGAAGGTCGACGGTAGTTGTAAATCTATTATTTTGAATAACTATACAGAAAATCAACAAGTAGTACAATAATTTTACATATCTTATACAATAGATTACATTAAAAATTCCATAAATAATGCAACTCAACCTCTCTTTTGGCTTTTTGTGTTTGCCTTCTTTTGGTCCATTGGATACTTTCATATTCCCCTTTTGGTATCCAAAGTTTGTGTCTACGGTTACAAAACTTAATTATATAGTTTAATATTTGCCTACGAAGTTAATTATTTGGGGGTTCAACCGTAAAATCTGAAACTCCAAATTTAATTCCAAATGTGGGTAAACAGTAGTACAGTACATTGTGTATTGTCCGATTGTAGATCTAATGAAGAAGGAAAAAATCATGAGAAAAACTGTCGATCCAGGATTGATTGAATAGCTAATGTAGATAGATATCCAAGAAAAAATGGTATATATCTCTCTATATATTCAGTTAGATTTGCATATATGGTTGTGAAAACAATTTGTTGGGTAGAAATGTATGTGTACAAAACATTATAAACTGAACACTACTGCTGTTATTGTAATAATAAACTTCATATTACTATCGCTCCACTTGTACCTTGTTAATTATTACTTTTTGTAACAAATCTATTTGAATATGGACGCCGGTCTTATTATAAAAACTCACTCGGTCAATATTCAAATACGTTAGACGTCACACATCCTAAAAAGATATGATCTAAACGTTTCAAACAATATGATTAACATATAGCATAGCTGCATAAGCTGGACAAAATCCACACTCGGCTTCCCGCGAGATAACTTTTTGTAGCTTTTGGGCCCAAATTTGTTGTAGCCCAAGTCCATAAGATATACCTCAGCCTTTTTACATGTGTTGTTTTCCGTTTTCCTTTTTTTTCCTTTGGTTGGATAGTCCAATTTGAGAAAATCTTATCACATACAGTATCATACACCAACCAAAATTAGATCATAAGCTTAAAAGAATCAGCAAATGAAAAAGAGATCTAAACTCTTATTGACCACAATAAACATACGCGAGTGAGACATATATACTTCATCTTGCAACACAATGTGACTCTTACAGACGAAAGTCGAGTTTTGCTTTTATTTTGCTACCAACCAAGTAATTAGTAGGCGCTTGTACATTTGGCGATAGAGAGAGATATACACATCGAGACAAAAGCCAAACAAAAGGGATACAACAACACACATGACACATCAGCACGAGCTGGTATGAAAACGAGTGGCTGCGTTGTGAACTTGTGGATTAGTTAGAAATAATGATTTAAGATATTGAAATATTCTTTCGTACGTTGATTTAACATATCCATACGAACTTTCCTTTCAAGAAATTATATGAGAGTATCTTTGAAGAAAACGGGCACAACATGCAACAAAAAGTCAAACAAAAAAATCATGTGACATTATACTTTCGCAACGTTGTATATTCCCTATTTTTATATGTTTACATTTATTTTTGTTGCTACATCAAATCTAAAAGTAAGATTTCGATTCAAACTGTTCCCACTTATTTGAATCCATTTATTTTAGTCGCTTTTTGTTCGATACCAGTATTTAATGATAGTTGTGCCAATACTTAACACTAAACAAAGAGTTTGATATAGCATGACTTATGAGTTTCATTACTAAACCGATCGATGATTCACTTTTGGAGATTAAAAGTCCTTACAAGATTTTACTATCTTCATGAGTTTACAAACTTTCTCTCGTTCACAACAAGAAGACGAGCTTTGAATCCTCTTAAAGTCTCAGCTAAAATTAACGTCAAGTCCTCCACTCGAATCACTCGGATCCATCAACTTTCGATGAACCTTCAACAAATTCGGTAGTTACTTGCAAACAATCGAAATCAACAAATGTATATGATTGTGATGAAATAAGTGTTTCGTCAAATTAAACAAAAAATAAGTACTTTGATCATAACATTAGTACTCCATTACTACAACACTACTTTGAACGAAACAAGAAAAAGCAGGCACGCGCTTGCACGTGAGGAACTGAGAAACTTCTCCATCGCTGGAACTTTTTTTTTTCTTTAATCAGTACAAAAAAGGATCAGCTGTTACCAGTGCCACGTGTCGATCAGCCAGATCCACCTGTCTTGTTCACTTGTGCCTTTTATCTCCACTCTCTTCTGTCGTCTTCCGTCTTCTTCTGTCTGATTCAGTAACTTGTCTTCGTCTTCTCTGTATGATTGTATCAGTGAATCCAACAACCCCAAATCTTCACTTCCTCAGACTGGGAAGGAATCCAATGAAAAATATATACTAATGTTGAACATTCCGCCGAGATTCCTTCCCGTTTACTCAACTCTCTTCCACATTCTTGCTTCTTTCCTCTGCTCCTCCGACGTCAGAGGCGACTTTCCGGCGACTAGATTCGATCTCGGAACGTTGACTCTCTCAAGCCTCAAGCTTCTCGGCGACGCACACCTCAACAACAACACCATAAAGCTCACTCGCGAACTCTCTGTTCCCACTTCAACCGCCGGAAAAGCTTTGTACGGAAAACCGGTTAAATTCCGACACCCGGAAACTCAATCTCCGGCTAGTTTCTCGACTTACTTCTCTTTCTCAGTAACCAATCTCAATCCAACCTCAATCGGAGGTGGATTCGCTTTCGTAATCGCCCCCGATGGAGAATACATCGGATCCGCCGGCGGATTTCTCGGTCTCACCGGAGAATCCGGATCCGGGTCGGGTTTTGTGGCGGTTGAATTCGACACGCTGATGGATGTGCAATTCAAGGATGTAAACGGTAACCACGTGGGATTGGATCTAAACGCGGTCGTTTCAGCCGCAGTGTCCGATCTAGGAAACGTCGATATCGATCTCAAGAGCGGAAACGCTGTGAACTCGTGGATTACTTATGACGGGTCGGGTCGGATTTTAACCGTTTACGTATCCTACTCAAACGTGAAACCCAAATCGCCGGTTTTGTCGGTTCCTCTCGATCTCGATCGCTACGTTAGCGATTCCATGTTCGTCGGATTCTCTGGTTCAACGCAAGGAAGCACAGAGATTCATAGCATCGATTGGTGGAGTTTCGCTTCCTCGTTCGAATCATCGGAATCTCCGCCGCCGATGTCCGATTCTCCTCCACCGTCGTCTTCATCGTCTTCCCTTGCACCCTCTGTATCCACCGTCCGGAGGAAAACCGCCGATCCACCTTCATGTCGTAATAAACTCTGTAAAAAATCCCCTGCCGCAGTCGCCGGAGTTGTAACCGCCGGAGCATTTTTCTTAGCTCTGTTCACCGGAGCTATAATCTGGGTTTACTCCAAGAGGATCAAATACACTCGAAAGCCTGATTCTTTCGCATCGGAAATCATGAAATCGCCGAGGGAATTCACTTACAAGGAGCTGAAATTAGCCACCGACTGCTTCAGTTCATCGAGAGTGATCGGAAACGGCGCATTCGGCACCGTCTACAAAGGAATTCTACCCGATTCCGGCGAAATCATCGCAATCAAAAAATGCAGCCACATTTCTCAAGGAAACACCGAATTCTTATCGGAATTGTCTCTAATCGGAACACTTCGTCATCGGAATCTTCTCCGTCTTCAAGGCTATTGCAAAGAAAAAGGCGAAATTCTTCTAATTTACGATCTGATGCCTAATGGATCTCTCGACAAAGCATTATACGAATCTCCAACGACGTTATCGTGGCCTTACCGGAGAAAAATCCTCCTCGGCGTCGCCTCTGCTTTGGCTTACTTGCATCAAGAGTGCGAGAATCAGATCATTCACCGTGACGTCAAAACAAGCAACATCATGCTCGACGCGAAATTCAATCCGAAATTAGGCGATTTCGGACTCGCGAGGCAAACAGAACACGATAAATCCCCGGACGCAACCGCCGCCGCGGGAACGATGGGGTATTTAGCGCCGGAGTATTTGCTCACCGGTCGAGCGACGGAGAAAACCGACGTTTTCAGCTACGGAGCTGTTGTTTTAGAAGTATGCACTGGTAGAAGACCCATTACCCGACCCGAGTCCAGACCCGGTTTGAAAGCGGGTTTCAAAACCGGGTCGAGTTTGGTTGATTGGGTTTGGGGTTTGTATAGAGAAGGGAACCTTTTAACGGCGGTGGACGAGCGGTTGAGCGAGGGAGAGTTTAACCCGGAGGAGATGAATCGGGTTTTGATGGTGGGCCTTGCTTGTTCTAAACCCGACCCGGTAACCCGGCCCACTATGAGAACTGTGGTTCAGATTTTGGTTGGGGAAGCTGATGTGCCTGAGGTTCCGACGGCAAAACCGTCGTCGTCGATGAGCTTTAGCACGTCGGAGTTACTGCTGACGTTGCAAGACAGTGTATCGGATTGTAACGAAGCTTTGGCTCCGATCTCGACAACCTCTTGTTCCTCCTCGGAACATGACATATTCATTGTGGGCAAGGATCGATCGGTTTGATATTTATTCAAAATTATAGTTACAAATAGTTATAAACTCGAAGCACAATTTTGTACGTAAATTTGAAATAAAGAAATACCTAAACTTTCACTGGTAAAATATGTTTGATATGTAACTGTAAAATCCCAATTCGATTTACTAATTCTTAGTTTTGGAACCTCAAGACTGTAGTTTGTAACATTAATGTATATCAAATAATTCAATTATGTATTAGAGATACAGTATGTTATTTACTCTAGTAGTTCAGCTAGATGGTAAGTTTGGTGAATGTCGCTTTCATATGTTTCTTTACTTTGAATTTGGTACGAATTTCACTTTCTACTGTCCAAGAAAAGACTTTGAGTTTGGTCCACATCTATAACTAGAAGTGGGAGCATAAATCAGTAAAATGTATAACCTATAGTTCTTTGGTCATCATTATCAATATATATCATATAGACATTCTATGAGATATTGCTGGCACAGGTCAGCGCAAATAAGAGATAAGAGTAGAAGTATGGCAAGGTCTAGAAAAACAAATAGATAGATTAATAAAATATTAGAACATGGTAGTTGATCGTAATCATAAGAAAATGGCATACGCAAAATGGGAATCTTACTAATTTCTTACATCAAATCAATACTTTAACGAACCTTTTATAGTGGTGAAGCATGTCCTTACACTAATTTATGTATTGCATAGTTGGGGATTTGTCTTTTTTTTTTTTTTTTTTTAAATTGTCTAAAACCTAGATGGGAATCTAAGTCAGACTAATTCAGATAAATAGTTTTTCCCTGAGATATTAATTTTGCCTTTTAAAATGGCTAGCACAAAAATGGTCATAATTATTTGAAAGGCATTCACACACTTAAAAAGAAATTAGGGACAATTCAATTTTGGAGATTTACTCGAACTTGGACGCCATTTGGGTTTTAGGGCTCAACCCAAATGTGAAAATATCTAATTGGGCCAATTATTAAAAGCATTTCTGTATGCTTTAAGGAAAATATAGAGCTCTTCTCAACTGTTCGGCTATATCGTCGAGAGCGGACAATAATCAGAATGTTGTGCTCTCAAATCGTCCTAACGGCTAGATGGGTTAGGCCATCTTAGTATCTTACCCAATTAATGTAAGTTAACGGCCAAACATATGAACAGAATGTAAGTTGAAATTTACGGAATATACATACGGTCCGTATTAGCAGAAACCAGAATGTGAAACGCTGGATCATCATTGTTTTCTTTTCATTTCTTGCTTCTATCTTTTTATGCATTAAATAACATTTATTTCGTGTCGTTAAAGAGACGTGTTTACAATATATTCCAACTTTCGTAGAACTAATAAACATAATCAAATGACATAATCATACATTACACATTTATCATACTCTTAAACTATCCTTTAATATGATTATGAGAGAGACACGGTGTGGTTCTCCAAGTTGTGATAAATAATACACATGGTCCAAACTCGAAATGAAATGAAATGATTGAGGTCTTGATTAAATTGTGGACCCTACGGATCCAGTGTCTTAGATTAGTCGATATGATCAAATGTTCTGAATTTTGATTTTAATATCACATGCTAACAATCACGTAAATTTAACTTTGTGTTCATTTTCAACTACTATAATAATAGAAGACAACAAAAAACGTCGTCAATGAGGAGAATTCTTTATCATATCTATTCGTATTTTTTTGTCCATGATCAGCCCCAATCGAATAGACAAGGATTCAAAGATTTGAGAACGACACTGATATCCATCTGGTGACACATTAGCTGAGATTAATTTGAACTTTCTTCCAAAATATTCAGACCGAAAAAAATAAAATATATAACGGTACATGAAGAAAAGTAGGAAAATAGAAATTACCGGACATGACGTGAGAAGAGTAGTGACAAATTGTACAATTCTCACATCGATGATCATAAAATAAATGATCACATGATAAATATACATTTACTTATAAATAACTCTGTACCCATATCATTGATATTAAATCATACAGTATATATCACCCTCACATATACTTCCTCTATAACTTCAAGCTTCTGAGTCTCTCTCCTCGCCTTGGAAGAAATCTCTCTCTAGTCTGATAAATGGAGAAGGGAGATAAATTAAAACATAGAAAAGGCATACAAGAAAAATAAATTTTACGATAATATTATATATTAGCATGCGCTCATGCCTTGTGGTATCATCAAATTTCATATGTTTCACGAATGTTATCTACCTAAACGTTATAGATAGGTAATTAATTAAGGTGGAGAGCCGATCTTACTCTGTCCTCCAACAAGAGCACCGGCGGATCCAGCGGCTGAGGTTTTATGGTGGATGTAGGGTGTCTTGCCGTGCAAAGTCTCCGGCGGAGGTCTAGAGTTATGAGTCTCTGGTCCCCTGTAATCGATCTCGTACACTTCCGAATCCGTTTTCTCCGATCCTTGATGATCATGTTTAAAAGTACAACTAAGAACAACTAATGATATATCTTAACAAATGACTGTTTAATAAAACAAAGAACAAACATACCTAGAGCGAAGCAAGACACGGCAAGGAGAAGGTACATGAGGAGAATCACGACGGTCGACTTCATTTTTACTTGTTTATCAAATTTTTGAGTGTTTTTTGCTTTCAAATAAATCCAATCAATGTTTTTCTGTTTTGAATGGTAATCTTTCGGATACATGATGGCCTTATTTATAATATCATGGACTGAAAAAACACGTGTCGTGTTTTCATTAAATATTTACCTTTTTCCCAATTATTAAGTTTTCAAAATAAATTTAAGTAGTTTGTTGTCTTACATTGCCTTAGACATTAGTATCCGATTTTCCTTTAACTATTAACAAAGCCTCATCTGAATTTTGTTTATTTCTTTCTTATTAATGAATCTAATCTGCTCAAATTATCATACAAACTGATTTGTCTCAACTGATTCAAATGGTTAAAACACTCTCCTCCGGTCCTGACTTATGTGTCCGTATAAATATGCAGAAGAGTGTGGCCGGTACACAGAGCGGGACCTTATTAATTATTTGAGCCCTTCTGCAAAAAATAATCATAAATATTTATTTAATTATTTGTTCACGACCGTATGCTATAAGAAAATTATAAATATTTAAAATAGGGAGAAGAACATAAAAAAAGAAAAGACAAGTTCATGTGTAAGGGACAATATTAGCTTTCAGTCTCATGGCTTCCAAGCTGAATTCGTGTTCGATTCTATTCATTTTTTTGTTGCATTGCATCAAAACGTATTTAATGAACAACTGTAGTATTTATTTGCTTCTAAGATCTTTTCTTTTTACTGAATATGGGAAATATAGTCCATTACATATCGGAAAAACAGGTTTTATCTGTATTGGCAGTAACTAACATTGAACGCAAAAACTAATCGAACCATTGATTTCATTTTACAAACTGTCGTTAAGGAACTGGTACGTTAATTCCATATATACACGGAGTATGTAGAAGAAATACATATTTGGTTATTTTGGCGGTGATATAAAAATGTATATATTTTAAATCGCCTACGTACACAAACATTATTGATTGTAGAAATCGCTGGTATGAGGTTGATACACATTATTGAGTTTAATGAAAGAATTGAATGAGGAGATGTTAATGTTATATGCTTCATCTATATCCCCACTTAGTTCTTACAACTGTACATCTCTGTACTCTCTACCTTTCCATTTATTTCAAGTCGGTAGATGGATGGATCGTGCACCCCAAATATACCATCAATATATATCTATATATATATATATATATGTGTGTGTGTGTCTGTGTAGGAATGTGAATATTGATGTCATGTAACATACAGTTAGTTTTTATATAGAATATGAAAGAAAAGCGAGTGCATACTAAAATTTGAGAAAGGAAAAAAGTAGTAATTAAGGATCCCATTTTTCCCGATAAAATTAAAAGAGAGTGGATATACTTAAAAAACATACACGTAAAAAACCAAACAGATTAAGAATATTCGATTTCACAGAAAATGGATGTGTACAATATGGACCAATAATACTCATATCTAAGTAAGTTGACTCCCAAAATCATATATACCTTTTGAAAACGTTGTATTATATTGAAATATTTTATAACCCAAGTACATCCGTACATGCCAAAGTATAGATAGGCTTGACCTTCAAAGAGTCTCATCGTTAAAAAGAAACCTTTTGACTTCATAAGTGGAATTTTCAAAACGTGTCTTCATAATTTTAAATAAAAAACCATGCAAACCCGAACAGCCAAATCTGAGAAGCTAATCTCATCACACCCGTTTCAGTTCAGTCTGGTTTCATCAAATGAGATACTAAAAAAGTTAGAATTTTCAAAATGAAAAGTTGAATTTAGGTAAGAGATGTCTCAGTCTGGGGGATGTCCATAGACTTCAAATATTTTGTATTATTTAGATATATGTATGTGTGTGAGGGAGGACTCCATAAATGATTTTGTCTAACATCTTCGTGGTTCATCTTCAAAAATCATAAATTACAATGGGTCCATATCCATCTCTACAGCTATTTCATGGCTGTGTTTTCTTTGGCGTCTCCTTTTCACACCCACCCATCTCTTTGTTTTTGTTTTTTTTTTTTTTTTTTAATTCATAATATATATGTAATTTGTAACAAAATTTATATGTAACAAAGTTTATATACCTGGAATTATTGTTATTTTGTCCCACGTATTATGAAGTAAACGCTTGATTTATTTGTTTCTAATTTTTGGTCTACAATTTGGTCCCAGAATCGAACTAAAACCCATATACAACTTGGGCCAGAAAAGCTTCCAGTTTTCAGCTAGAAGTAGCTAGATTCATCATCATCATATATTTTAATTTGTTGACAACAAAATCTAAGAAAACAAAGAAGAAAAGAAGCATTGGAAATTTGGAAGAAATAAATTACGATAACACAACTACTCTTACCAAAAAGTAAGGAAAATGCTATGTTTTGTATAGAACGAATACATTATGCATTCAAGAGTTGATATATTTAAATTTTGTTTTTAAGGAAAATATAATTAGTTTGCTTTCTAGAAACACGAAAAGTTATGTTTTGTTGGACTGCTGAAATAAATCAAGTGAAAATAAAACAAATAATATTATAAATCTAGAAAGACTTTTGTAAGCTTTAACAAAAACAAAAGAAGATTCTGTAAATTGTATTGAACATTTCTATGCAAGAGAGATAGGTACACCTTACGCTATATGTGTGGATACAACAAATTGTCAAATCTTGAAATCTGTTATGATTAGTTTATATGGAAGCCCATTATCGGCCCATATTCTAGAATGTTCTAGCTTGTTTTCCAAATTGTACCTCTTCTCCAAGGAAACCTTTCTCTTGTATCCTTATATAAAGGACTCATTACTCATGAATAATATACAACCAATTTCTTTCTTCTCTTGTTCTCTCTTCTTCTATAATACGTTATCAGCACAAGCTCTAACCGTCTGAACTAGATGGTATAGTTTTAGATATTTTTTTTTCCTTGTTTATAGATATTAAGATCCATGTTTATTTATCGACTCATAATTCTTAATATTAAATCATAAGATCACATATATTGATATATCCGATCTCCGTTATCGCGAGCCATCTATATGAGACTTACTGATTCGTTGAGTTTACTCCGTTATTATTCAATCATACATTGAGATTATGCACCACGCTTGCTTTGGCACTTTATATCATGCAATTTCTAAGAGTTTTATAATAACAGATCTGTTCTCTCTATTGCACGGCTGAGTTTTATGAGATCTACTCTTCATATTGTCTCGACACTTGTTTTAATATAATATGAGCTTGATAAAGTTCTATGCATATGAACTTGCTGAATTTTATTTTGCACTCTTTCATTTATTTTAACTGTTCATATCCGAATTCACTTATAAATCTGAATTATATTCATATTGTTTTAACACATAGTTTGCATCAAGTTCACAAAATTAAATATTGGTCATTGAATTATTCTTTTGCACACTATCGCTTAATCCATTATACTGAATACTGTTAGGGTTTATAGACAATTAAATCCCATATTATGCAGTCTCAAATTTTACATATTGTTCTGTTTCATTAAAATATATAATATTCAACACATTAGGCCTGTTAGCCCATTGTTTACACGATCATATTATTTCTGGCTGAATTAAAGACAAATTTTATGCACATGCTTTATTATTTAAGAACTGCTGACATGAAAATGGAATGATCTAGTATTTATATATGTCGTAGCAAGTTTCTTATGTCTTTATACTTTCGTTTTGATATATTATACTCATTGGATTAATTGTTAATTTATTGATACATTATACTCCTTTTGTTAAATCTTAACAATGAGTTAATTATTAGTTATATTGTTAGAAAATTATTGGTATTCACCGTGAGTTTGGCATCTGCTGGTTAATATTCTTTAATTCATTACATGAACAATTTATATGCAGTTTTAGTATTTTCATTCGATTTGTTTGAACATTATCTTGAGTATATATCCTTTCTTTTTATAGCTTTATTATTTTTGACTTGTGCAGCAAGGATATTGATCTAGTATATATACTAAGATTCGTTGATTTATTTTATTGTTAATTACATGTTAGTTATGTTTATAATTTCTTTAAGAGAAATTTAAAGAAAATGTAAAATCACCAGAAGTGATATGATATTAATCTAAGAAAATAAATATCACCAGAAGTGATATGATATTATTCTAAAGAAAATAAATAATCACCAGAAGTGATATCACCAAGAGAGCAATCTAAAGAAAATATTGCATCTAAAACATATAAACCTGAAGTTTATAAATGGAAATAATACTACTAATACAAAATGTTAAAAGAAATTAAAATATTGTTGTCCTGTAGACACAATAGTATAAATATATTTAGTAGTATTTATAAAATATTGTTGTCCAGTAGACACAATAGCAAATAAATTCTTAATGATTTTTAATATTATTTTCTTTTAAAATTAAATTTGTCACCTGAAGTGATAATAAAATAGTACATGTTACTAATATTAATTGTTATTATCATGTTTTACTTATACATTTATGTAGCTTGATAATATTTATTTATTTTATATTTTTATATTTAGTATTTGCATCAAAAACCACATGACCTGAAGTCTATAAGTGGAGATAATAAATATTATGAAGATGTTAAAATACATCAAGAAAATTTTGTTGTCTTGCAGACACAAAAAACATTATCACCTGAAGTGATAATATAATTTGAGAATTTATTCAAATTATATCTTATCTTTCTAATTTTATTTTAAACTAAATTTGTCACCAGAAGTGATAATAAATGGTATATATTATTAATATTTATTTTGATTATGCTCTATTTATTTATATATATACTTATTTTTATTTTTATTTTATTATTCTCTATATGATATCTTAAATTTTCATGAAAGATTACAAGACCTGAAGTCTGTAAATAACTTTTAACTATATAGAAGATAATGTATATCAATAGAGATGCTAAAAAGCATACTCTAAATAATATTGTCATATTGTCCTGTAGACAAAATAATCTTAGACAATTTTACATTATTTTGAAAAATATTGAATCATTGATGAAAATCATATCCAATTGGTTATGATCAATTCCCTGAAGTGAATGTGATATACAAGTAAATGGTTAAAGAGGTTATTGATTTTATATTGGAATTCAATTCGAGATAGATGAACCTGAAGTATCATCATCTCGAGGGGGAGAATGGATGAATCCCACAATCAATAATAAATGGAACATCTAGAAGATTATGTTCACACTCAAAAATAATTGATCATTGATCAAGAAAAGTGTAAGAATCCCAAACTCATAATCCAGAAGATTATACTCAAAAATGAGTAATCTTGATGAATCATATATAAAGTAATTCCAAGGAATTTCAATATACAATAAATGAGGAAAAGTTAAATAGATGTCATATAGTAAACCAGAAGTTTGCTGAATCTAACATAATTCGGCATGAACTGGTTAGACCATTCCAGTTTAAGAATTATGCGAAGTAAAATACAACATGTAAACATTTATTGAAGAACTAGAAGATTCTTCTTAATGATTTCTAATGTGATATTTTATCATAAGAGATTATGATAATACAACAATTATCACTAGCCAAAATAGATTTTGATTCAATTCATTTTCTAGAGAATATACAAGAAACGTGTGGTTTAATAACCCATTTTGTGGACTAGTCATCCTCTGTAAGAAATTTCATTGTGTTTTGTAATGCATCAACAAAATAGTTGTATGTATCAATGAAATAAATTTGCAACCTGAAGTTTGCAAGATGACTTAGTAATGCTAGTGAAATCACATCTTAAGTCTATGGTGAAAGAAAAACATGTTTGTAAGAATAAATGTTGAACATTCAATAGAAAATGTTCATCATTGGACATAATGCACAAGCATTAACTCGCATAAAGCCAACAAGTAACTAAAAGTTCTCCCCATCAAAATTAGTTTTGGGTCAGAAACCTTTGGATGTGCAACATCCACATTGCTCCACCACAGCAATATAAGATGGATCTTCAAAAGAGATTGTAGATGTTGGATATGAATCTCCATTGATAATATCTAGAGCTATCCCTGAAGGATTTAAGTAAGGCTCATTCATAGACTACCATGTTAATGGATAAGTCTTTCCAACATCAGGGGGAGAAAAAAAGGCTGGAAAGAAAAGTAGTTTGAATGAATTATCATTGATCCTCGGACTATAGAATGTGAAATAGAAGTCCAAAAGATAGTTCATTCACAAAACTTATTGTATCAGTTGCCAGATACATTTACTGACCCAAATATAGTGATTGAGTCACTTACCAGCTGTAAATGCTCTAATAAGAATTGATGTCCCAGAAGGACAATATCAAGCTGCTAGTGAGTCTAAAGAACGCATGAAGCGTGATAGACTTGTCGGTTCCAAATATTAAATCCTCGAAAAAGTAAAAGAGCATAAATTGACAATGGTCAAACCGAGGAAACAAATATTTTTGAGTGATCTCCAGAAGAGACATTAAACATGACAAATAAGAAATTCAGGTACCTGAGACAATGATGAGATCTCGAGAAATTACTTATGTCATGTATAGAATAAATGGAACCAGAAGCAAATCGACGTCGTAAATAATATATTTGCATGCAATGTAGCAGTTGATATTATGAATGAGAAAGAGGATCATGAAACAAAGTCTATTGCATTGTGTACACAAAGTAATGATTTGGCCAAATCGAAAAGAAGCAATAGACACAAAACAAAATCTCTTAGAAAGAGAAAAGTATTTGGACCAGAAGTCCTTTCACCTAAAAAGTGTGAAACAAGTGAGTTATAAAGGCATTTGTGCCGAAGAAAATGAGTATGAAGAGATATACTCTCATGTGGTGGATGCAACTTTCAAGTTCATTAAGTCTGGCAATGAAAGAAGAACTTGACTTATACAACTCACTAAACAATGATTTTATGTAAAAGTCCCTGAAGGATATAATCATTAAGAATTAATGATATCATTGTTTTGTTCCCGGAAAATATTAGCTATTCAATCAAATGAAAAGAAATTTGATTCATGGATATAATCACGAAAGTGAATATATAAAGCTAACAAATACCCATGTATATTTATAGATCAAAAGAGATTTAGTCTAAACATATCGAAATTCCAGAAGAATTTCGAAATTAGTATCACAAAAGGAGATGGGATAAAAGATCTTGGAAAGACAAAGTTGTCTTAAGATATCCCAAATTCCCAGAAATGTTATGGCATGATTTACATAAACAATGCTCACATATATTTGGTCCTGAAGTACCATACTTCAAATGCTATTTGAAAAATATGTTAGTCTCTTTCATAATTGAAAATGAGCATGAGATTATATATACAAGATAGATGTTTACAAGAATGTATATAAAAGAGAAAATTTGGCCAGAAGTCCAAATGATTGTTTATAGAAAAAGATGTCATAGACTAAAAGTCTAAATGACTTTCATCAAAGTTATACTTATAGTAATCTCCAAAAGATAGTATTGGAATGCATCTCCTGAAGAATATGCTTCCAAGGGGGAGAATATGATGATATGTGTGGTTGTACTCTTTTTCCTTATCATGGTTTTTATCCCATTGGGTTTTTCCATGAAAGGTTTTAATGAGGCAACAAAGAACACACAAATGAGAAACATCTAAAGAAGTCTTGTCATCTATTTATGAGATCAAGTGAAGCAAGGAGATTGATCAAGATGAATCATCTTGATCCATGCACCAAGAAGAATGGCGATGTCAATGTTCTAAAGACTGTTCAAGTGAAGATTTTAAAGGAGTTTCCATCTGCTATTATCAAGAAGTTCATTCACCTAATCTACACGGATGTTCTCATGAGGGGGAGTAGTTGCGCGCTGTACTCTTTTTCCTTAACTAAGGTTTTTCCCTTTGGGTTTTCCTGGTAAGGTTTTAACGAGGCAGCATCATGCGCACTTAGAAGATATTTTTAGATAATGGACTTCCAAGGGGGAGTGTTATAACTAGTTTATATGGAAGCCCATTATCGGCCCATATTCTAGAATGTTCTAGCTTGTTCTCCAAATGTACCTCTCTCCAAGGAAAACCCTTATCTTGTAATCCTATATAAAGGACTCATTACTATGAATAATACACAACCAATTCCTCTCTTCTCTTGTTCTCTCTTCTTCTATAATAAAATCTACTATACAATTTGTTTCCTCTATACATAAATATCAAATACTAAAACACTTATACTAACACAGTCAATTTAATTTATCTCCTAATCAATGAAAACTAAATTTTAAAATACGAACGATTAATTGAACTAGTCAAATTGACTAATCACGTGATAGACCTAAACCCTACCTTAATTTTCTTCTTCGTTCGGAAGCAACACCATCTTCTCGCCGATCCTCGCCGGCACCGATTTGCTCCTTGTCAACTCCGGCCGCCGTTCAAACTCTACCCCCCTTAATTCTACTTCCTCACTGTCAATGTTCGTCCCCAGAGACCTCGCCGACTCGTAAACCCCGTTAATTTTCACCGTGGCGACTTCCGATTCCGTTTCAGTATTTTCCGATCTAACATTTTGCTCTCTTCCGTTTCGTAATTCAACTTCTCGTTGGTTATTTTCTTCCCAGAATCTGAAAGCCAACGACGAGGATCCGTACGGTGCAGATCTGCTTCTTGTCAACAAAAGGGCGTTTATCGGCGGCGTAGAAGCCGGAGAGACCATTAATTTCGGGATTTTGAAATTCTCTTCTTCCTCTTCGAATTCCTCTCCATTTTCTCCAGCTGATTCTGTTGCCGGACGATGTAATTGGCTTATTGGGGAATCTTTCCCCCTATCGCTCTTCGATTTCGGCCGAGAACACGGAAACGAAAACAATCGAAATTTGGGCCACGGCATCGTTTTGATTTTCCCGGCGAATTTGCTGTAAAACGAAGCGTTTCGGATCCACTCACATCGTCGTCGTCGGGTCGGGTTGTCGCGAGATTTGAGTTGAATTTTCGGCTTCGATCGCTTGACTCGGACCTGACCCATGCAAGTAACCTTTGGAGACGACGGTTCTTGAGTTACCGCCGCCGCAGATTTATTCCGGCGAACGAAGAGAGGACTCGCGCGTGACCTTCCTTTGCTTCGGCTTCTACTTCTGCTTATGCTTCCGCCTTTACTTTTGCTCCTCAGAAACCCCATGAAAGGCGGTGGATATTTGTCGACCCGACCCGGACTCGAAGCTGGTCTCCGGGAAATCATCATCGTCTTCCTTACTCTCTCTATCTCTCTATCTCTCCTGTCTTCTGCTTTCGTTTTGTCTGCTCTTGGACAAAAATTTCCGTTACTTTTTTTTTTTTAATTTAGTTTTTCAGCACTTAATGGATTTAAATAAAATAATCATTTTATTTTTTTGGTCATCCGCAGCAACGGACGAATCGATTTTAGGGTCTTTATAATTTGTTTAATGTGATTTTAATTTTATTTATGACTTATTTTGTTCGACCGCTTACTAGTTCCGGTGATTTACTTCTTAATCTACTTTCGTTATTTAACATTTTTTGAGGTTCCCTAACTAGCATAGATTAATAAGTACACATTCGGTAAACCCAACAACTTACTACTCTTTTAATGTATTTAACTATTCTTTTTTATTAATCTTCTTCTGTGGACTTTGACTGCTTTGGAAGGGAATCTTTAGAAATCTTAAATTATAAATTTGTTGGTGTCATGTTAAGTATGAAAAAGTCCCCTTGTACTTCTGAAATTGGATACTTAATCTACAGAAAGAAACTTGTTACGTTACTTATTGGAATCAAAAAGTAAAAATTAAATTCAAATGGACCCAGTTGCTGAAAGATTGCAATACACTGGCCAATAATAACAAGAGATCACTAGAAAATGATGGTCTAGAAGCAGAATCCATGGATTTTTTTTAGGACATATGAAGTATAAATTTGACCTCGCTTTCGATTATATGATTTGAAGATGACTAAAACATAAAGTGAAAATCTTTTTGGACAACAAACAAAAGCATCACTCAACTCTCCATATCAACTCTTGTCTCCCACTACATTTTTTCCTCACTATCCCATGAATAGATATCAACCCAAAATACGTTTACATGTGGAAACAAATTTTAATACCACCCAACGGAGAAATGAAATACAGCAAATATCATATTTATGTGGATGTTCAATCCAATCCAGCTAAATCGAGTCGAATACCAAGTTTTCGTTTGGCTTCTGTGTTTCAGTAACCTCTAAACATTCGTTTGCGGACCAGAATGAATATATAAACCAAAAACTATACGAAGTCAAATAAATCAGACTAAAGCAAAAGCACATGATATGCAACGAAATTCAACCCTTAAAAAGTTATTTGTCTTCCATTTTGGAACTTTTGTTTGTCCACTTTATATTTAGAAACTTTTAGATATTGATTTTCAAGCACTGATTAAAATATCACTTTTCACGGTTTCACCACGTGTGCATAGAGCGTGGTGAGACATTAGTTTCTACAGAAACGTAATTTAGAGATCCGCTTTAGACGGAGGAAAGTTTTTTGCCGTTTGCGTGTGGTGACAAGCGAAGACATAGCAAAGACGACAATCACACAGAGAGACACGAATCTAAAACAATTCACTCTTTCAATGTGAACACAAAGAAACCTAAACCTCTCTCATTATGTTCACAGGAAACGAATCATATTCCTTTCCATAAACTATAGCGATCTAAAATTCTTAAAGACATTCCAGGAACAATAAGGTTATCTTAATTTGTTAATGTACAGTTATAGGTTTGGTTTTAATCATACAGTAATGGGCATTATGGTATGATCATACAAGATGAAGATTATGCCTTGGTCATTGGATAAATACACTGATTCAATCCCCCAAAACCACAAATAATTTGTTCTCTTTAATTTATGAAGCACAGAAGCACTATTTTCTCTCAATGGACACAAGTGAATACGAAAAGAAAAGGAAAAAAGAGGAAGCAAAGATCACTTAATAAATGTGAAGAAGGTTCTTCTAGTGAGTTTCATGTTCAGATGAGCAGCTATTCTCACCATTGTATTGTAAGTCTTAGATCGCTAAACAAAGCTCTCCCGAGTTCCAGACCTGCAACAGTTAAAGCAGATAAGACCCATTAGCGTAAAAACTACAAGAAACTCAAACAGAATTGCATTTTTTGGCGGCATCAAGAAATTGCTAGCCTAGCCTAGTTCACAGATTATAATTTTAATACTATTGAACAACAGATATGGACAGAACAGAGTTTTTCATGTTTCCGTAAGTAATTCAATCAATCAATCAATCACACTGCTTGAATAAAACTCTCATTGTCTTTTGATAGCAAGAAGATGGATCTAGAACTAGGAGTAGACACTCCTTAGTACAGCTCCTAAACTATGTCAGCTAGAAATCGAGAAGACAAAACAAAAATCAGTACCAAGTTGAGTATCAAGACGTCCTTTTTATCTATCAAGATCGGAAAAGAGTCCAACGAGTAAATCATTCACCATTGCCACCAATGCCATGACCAAATAAAACTTTCAGAAACTGGCATTACATACCAATAACATGACTCGATTCGCATTACCAAAGCTAAAATCAGTTATAGGAATCAACGAAGAATCAGATTCACATTTCCCTATCTGCTTGAGCTAAAAAAAAGTTATAAAAAGCTAAACTTGATTCCCATATGCTTATCCTAAGACTTAATCATATCAAAATCAATGAAACAGTGATGAAAATTTCGACTTACCGAGAATCAAATTAGCCAATTTAATCGGACTTAACATCCATATTCTTCCTTGCAGCTCTCGCATTGTCATATTCAAACTTCAACACATCAGGAATATGCGAAGTGTCCTTAACACAGAGCCACCTCCCCAACAAACTCTCCTCAATCATCGGAAAATATGGATAAAGCACAGAATTCACCACCCAGAACCAACCCGCACCTACAATAGCCCCAAGCAAAGCCCCGGCGAAGACCTGAGCCACCGTGTGGTACCCTAAGTAAACCCTAGAGTACATGGTAACAACCGCTAGAGACCAATGTAGGAGATTGAGAATCCATCTGCTCTTCATCCCGAACCAGAACCCGATCCCTTTACACGCCATAAGGCTGAAATACGTCGCGAAGAAGAACATGAACTGCGAGTGGCTCGAAGGCCATCCGTGCGAATCGCAGGCTTCGAGCAACGTGCAGGTCTCAGGACGAGCCTGCTCCACGGATGTCTTGATAAACTCGTTGATGACCTGCGAGATCACGAGACCTATACCGAAGAAGATCCCTTGAAGTTCACGCCGGAAGAGGAAATGAGAGACGAATCCTCCGAGGCTGATGAAGACCGGGACGAGAGAGATCCAGGCGAGGAAATGCCCGAGCTGATCGCCGCGACGGTACCGGACGTGAGTGAGAGTTACGGCTTTGAGCTGGTGAGGTAAGTCCATTGGGCGATGAATCGAATCGATCGAGAGAGAAGGAAGCGATAGATCCAAAAGGGTTTGTTGTTGAGAGAGAGAATTTAATTGGATTTGGTCTCAGGCTTCGTTTCCGACAGAACAACTGAGAAAGTGACGGAAACGTGGCTGAGAAATGGCCAGACGGTGGAAAGGTTCCGGGAGGACAACATGGTGGATGCGTGACACGTGTGTGTATGTATACTTGAAATGGAGTTATGTTCACATGCCTCACATTACAGTGTACGCAACCGACAAGTTAGAAGTTGACACGTTATGTTAATGGTTTGCCACGTTGGCAAATGCAAGATGCTTCGTGAAATTCACGATAGATGATTGGTCTATTGCGTATGAGATCGTTTTGGAAATACTTGGAAATACCAGGGACTAATTTGAAATTATAGAGAAATACGAGTCGGCGAAAGTTTCGTGTGTTTTTTTTTGTTGTTGCTTTTTTGGTTTCATGGGCGGGCAGGCGCGAATTGATCCAAATTATCCAACTCGTCGATTATTTATTCCGCCGGAGAAAGTCGTTAAACCTTTTCTCGGATGCAATTCTGAATCAAATCCTACTCTTGAAGAGATTAACTGTGCTCGGGCTTCTCCAATGGCAGATGATGGCTCCGCATCTAATCGAAGAGACCCAATCAAGTCTTCAGGTGATTTTATTTTGATTATTTTCGCCTTCGGTTTTGAGCTGTGATTTGAAAATTTTGGTCAAGTGAAAATTAGAGGAGAAGTATTAAGGTATTTTGGTTCTTCTGGGCTTTACCATAAACCCTCGAGTTTGATTTTGGCAGCTGAGTGTTATTTCAATATAAAACTTCACTGTTTTCGTTTTTTTTTTGGTTTCTCACTGACTTGTTGAATGAGCTCTTCTTTTACCATCGATTCTCTTTCATGCTGCAATTTTGAGAGTCATGAAAAACACACATTCAGAAATTTAGCGTTTTTGTGTATAAGGATGGATTTGAACGATTGGACTTTTTAATCGGCGAGATTGATTTTCGATTGTGTTTTTTTCTGGATATGAATTTGTGTAGTTGGGAATGTCGCGGGACAAAGAAGGCGGCAACAAGCTGTCACGGTGGCTAAGGAAAGAAGAGAACTACTGGTTAGAGCAAAGCGGCTTTGTAGGGTGGGTACTAATGGCGATGATGAGAATGCTCATGTTGAGAATGAGATGATGATTGATGAAGAGCAGCCGATACTGGAGGCTCATACTAGTAAAGCCGTGGAAGAGCTCAAGTCTGCTGTTCAATATCAGTAAGTCAATCCTGTCTACTTGGAATTGATCTAGTTTGTCATTTTTCCGTCTTCACTGTTTTAGGTAGTTTAAGTGAATAGTGATACTCAAAGCCAGTTTTATGGAATCTTTTTGCTCGATTTTCAGGGGAAAAGGTGCAATGCAGAAGAGGGTGACTGCTCTTCGGGAACTCAGGCGTTTACTGTCGAAATCAGAGTTCCCTCCCATTGAAGCTGCGCTAAGCGCTGGTGCAATACCTTTACTTGTGCAGTGTCTTTCATTCGGCTCCCCCGACGAACAGGTTTCTTCCATTAGCCTTATATATGCTTCAATGCCATCACTTACTGTAGATTTTGAATATCAATAGGTCCATTTGTAGACATTTCTTAAAGTTAGAGATTATCAAGTAAATAAGATAATTCAAGTAGGTTTGTGATCTTTTGATCTTACTTCTGTCTAATTACAGTTGCTTGAGTCAGCTTGGTGTCTAACAAACATCGCTGCTGGAAAACCTGAAGAAACAAAAGCTCTATTGCCTGCACTGCCGATGCTCATTGCTCACCTTGGAGGTTTGTACTAGGCAACGAAGTCTTTTACCACTCTTTTGTGGGATTAGATTTCTTATGATTTCAAGTTATTTTTTTTAGAAAAGAGCTCTGCGCCGGTGGCTGAGCAGTGTGCTTGGGCGATTGGTAATGTTGCGGGTGAAGGAGAAGATTTGAGGAATGTGCTTTTGTCTCAGGGGGCTTTGCCACCTCTTGCACGTATGATTTTTCCGGACAAGGGTTCAACAGTAAGAACAGCTGCATGGGCATTGTCAAACCTGATTAAGGTGTGAGAAACCTGGCTCGCATTTTATTTCACATTGATTTATGATCATCAAAGCTGTTGTTACAAAGTAATTTCACTCTGAATTAATATAGGGACCTGAACCAAAGGCCGCAGGGCAACTTGTCAGAGTCGATGGGATACTTGACGCAATTCTCCGACACTTAAAGAAAACGTGAGAAAAGTTTCATTTCTCTTAATGGCACCAATTGCTAAACTTGTTGTGATGTCTTGCTTTTTACTGATTCTTGAGCCTCTTACGGGTCTTTTGTGTGCCATTTGATATGCCCGACTTTGCTGGATAATTTGATGAAGTTATTATCGATTGTTGGATTCAGGGATGAAGAAATTGCCACGGAAATTGCATGGATCGTTGTTTACCTTTCTGCTCTCTCAGATATCGCTACAAGTATGCTATTGAAGGGAGGGATTCTTCAACTACTTATTGAAAGATTAGCAACCTCAAATAATCTACCACTTCTCATCCCGGTAACTTTCTCAAACAGACCTTATTGACTAAAAGATACAGGACTCTACTTTGGATTATTTATGAACAAAAATTTGAATTCAGGTTCTACGAAGTTTAGGCAACTTTGTTGCTGTTGATCCCAACGCAATATTAACCATCCTTATCCATGGACAGAACACTGAAGGCGAGTATCTGTTTAACTTTTCTGGTTAAAAATTCCATTACCTTTATCATTTATTTTGTTCAGGATACTGATCTTCCGAGTTAAATTCCAGAAAGTGTTATTGGTGTGCTTGCAAAGTGCTTAAGAAGCGAACACCGTGTTTTGAAAAAGGTCAGTATCACATATCTGCTTTGTTTTTTTTTCCTTTTATTTGAAGCATTCCTTGTACTTATCACCAAACTCAAATTTGTAGGAAGGTGCGTGGGTGTTATCTAATATAGCCGTGGGATCTATCGAACACAAGAGAATGATACATTCAACTGAAGCAATGCCATTGTTACTACGGCTTCTTTCCACGTCACCCTTTGACATACGGAAAGAAGTTGCCTATGTCTTGGGAAATCTCTGTGTAGAATCTGTAGAAGGAGACACAAAACCAAGGATTATTCAGGAGCACTTAGTCTCCATCGTCAATGGTGGTTGCCTCCCTGGTTTTATTGAGCTGGTCAGATCTGCTGACATGGAAGCTGCTAGGCTTGGTCTTCAGTTCATTGAGCTGGTAAGCAGCTTTCCCAAATGGTTTGAGTTTGTTTCTACATAGATGTCGCATAGTCATTTTTGGATCCAAAGTTATGCTAATGGGTTTTGATTTTTTCTTCTGGGTGGTGTGGTTAGGTTTTAAGAGGAATGCCAAACGGAGAAGGTCCAAAGCTTGTGGAAGGAGAAGACGGCATTGATGCAATGGAAAGGTTCCAGTTCCATGAAAACGAAGAGCTGAGAGTGATGGCGAACAGTCTTGTGGATAAATACTTTGGAGAAGATTATGGAATCGATGAATGAAGTTGGTTCGGTTTTAGGGGAAATCCTGTGGGAACAGAAAGAAACTCGGATGATGGAATCAAATGAAACCAGTCGTCGTTGAATTTTGCTTGTAACGAAAGAAAGTGATAGAGAGAGTAGACATCTTTAGGGTTTTGGTTCCTCTTGGGGTTGTTGTTGTAACTTGTGTAATACAGTTTTGTTTCAATGTCTCACCATTTGGGATTTTCGCAAGCTGGCGTACGAGTTTGGTTCCTCTTGGGGTTGTTGTTGTAACTTGTGTAATACAGTTTTGTTTCAATGTCTCACCATTTGGGATTTTCGCAAGCTGGCGTACGAGTTTCTGAGCCTATAAGAAGAAGATGTGCTCATTTGAAAATAGGGATAACACCAACAGTGGTAAATGCTACTGGTTGAGAAAGTTAACTTCTGTTAGATTGATGATTTAAAAAATATAGTGTTATGTTGTTTTGAAATTCCAAACAAGATTCTTCTTGCGCAAATTTTCGAGAAAATGTAAGCTAAAACTCCAGATAATTGTTGTTTCACGCAAAAATTTATAACAAATTCAACGTTTTAATTTACTGTAAATCGAATTTTGGTGATATATACAATAAATCATTTCAAGCTTGATGAAATCGATTTATGACCTATACCAATACGACAACTCTTTTATTAAGTGAGAATCACTTCTGACTAAGGGCCTGATTGGTTCTCCCGCTACCACCCGCAAACGCAGCGTTTGCGGTTCGTAGCGGTTCTCAGCGGTTTATAACAATCACGACAACCACTTTGAATCGCTCTATACCACTCTGTACCGCTCTATATCGCTGAAATCAAAAGCTCCTTTCCGCAAGCGTTTGCGGTTGCGGGTGGATAATAAAAAATAAAAAAAAAAAAAAAAAACACAAACTTATATAAAATCCGAAAATAAATAATAATATTTATTAAAAAATAAGATTTGGATAATAAAATCACAATATAAATAAAAAATTAGTACTTTTAGTCAATATTCATTAAAATCATATAATACTTATATATTTATAAGTTCTACAAATCAAAATTCTCTTGATAAATATTCTTTTCATACTAATACATATATATCTAATAAATAAAATTGTAAAATAAATTTAATTTTCACATTAAATATATATTTTGAAAATAAAATCACATTTTTATTTAAATTATAGAAATTAAAAGATAGACGTAAGTATTATACACATATTATTCTTTATAAAAAATATTTTTAATTATGTTGAACCATAAATTTAAAATTTTCATTATAATATATTTTTGATATTTTTATAATTATATAATGTGTTTATATTATTAATTTATTGTTTAACCGCTATTGCATCCGCAAGTGAACCAGTCATAAGTAACCCGCAAACGCATCCATTTTCAATTGTTATGCCAGTCGTACAAACCGCTTAATAACGCTACTAATCACAACCGCCCGCTTCCGCAAACTCCGCACCCGCAACCGCAACCGCAGCGGTTAAACCAGTGAGGCCCTAAATCACGTTTTTTCTTTTTCTTTTTTCGATGTTAAATATCGTTTTGATTTTGTATTCATAGTTCAATTAGTGTTTGCCTTAGATTGAAATCGTGAGTATTGATTAACACAACAAGATTCTTATTTTTTAAAACCTGAAACAAGATTCTTTTAGGTTTTTTATTCGCATTTATCCTGGATATTCATTTATCAAACCAAACACATGACCAACGATTTAATTAATCTACCAAAGCTCGCTTGTAATTAATTAATTGTTTTTAGACGAAGAGCACAAAGGTCAGAGGATGAAGCTGGTTTAAGACAACAAATTCAATTTTGAAAATAATAAACAAATGCAACATAATCTGTAACAATGGTTGCGTCGTTGTCGTCTTTTCGCATTCCCGCTCCATTTCTCTGCTTCTAGGGTTTTTCTTCCTCCTCCTCTAGCTTCTTCGATTTCGCAATAGCTCTCTTTCTCTTCTGGCCCTTCTGCGTCTGTTTGCTCCGTAGCGTCGAAGAAGATTCTGGGTAAGCTTTCGTTTCTCTCTCTCTTTTTGATCTTTGGTCGTACATTTTGGTTGGGATTTAGGAGTAATTGCTGTAAATCCGAAGCTATTGGTTTTATTTTTCGTTCTTCTTCAGGTGGGAGCTTAGAAAGATCTGGGTTTTAGGGTTTCTACTAAGATTTGTGTTCCTTTGTGCATTTTGGTTTTTGTAGAGAAATTGACAGAATCTGAGACTGTTTTCACTTGTTCTTCTCTCTGGTTGAGCTCAGAACGAATTTGGGTCTTAGGGTTTTCACAAATTCTGTGAATTTTTGAAATTTGGTTCTAGAAAAAAGCTTGACTCTGTTTGTGCTGTTCTAGGTGAGAATTCGGAGGCAAAGCCATGACAGGAAAACCATCAGATCTTCGGGACAAATCCGGGAAGAAGAAGGTGTTATCGGCGTCAGATCAAGAGGAGTTGTTTCGTACAAGATATGAAAGTCTGAAGGAGGATCATGAGAGTCTGAAGGAAGATTATGCTAGTCTTGAGGAAAGATTCAAGCTTGTGGATGAAATGAACGACATGTTGAAGTTGCATCGGCAGAGTCAAGCTAAGGATGTTGAGCCGGCGAATCCTCGCTTGCTCAAGGATCTCGAGTGTGAGAGTAGTGAGAAGAGCAAGATGGTTGAGAAGATAAAGAGGATGGAGAGTGAGAGAGAGGCTGCGAAGGAGAAAGAGGAGCTGGAGAGGCTGCGTTTTCAGAACAAAGCTAAGGAGCTCGAGGCGGCAAACCTACGCTTGCTCAAGGAACTTGAGAGGGAGAGAAGCGAGAAGGAGAAGATGATTGAGGCAATGAAGAGAATGGAGAGCGAGAGAGAGACTGTGAACATGGAGTTGAGGAATAAGACCGAGGAACTCTTGACTGCGAATGAGGAGAGGAAGAGGGCGGAGGATAAGGTTGTTGAGCTATCAGAGAAATTTGTCGACGTTGAAAAGGAATGTGCAGTCGTGAAGTCGCTCTATGATGCTGATATTGAGAAGCGCACCAACAATGTGGCTTTAGGCAATGATGTTATTGAGGTTGATCATACAGCGAACCATGTGGGTTACGACGATGACGTGATTATGTTGGATGACTTTCATAACGCCAACAACGCTATGACAGGTACATGTCTGTTTTGTTATATGTTTAATTGAGTAAATTTGCAAAATCTATTCATGTGAGAAAGACTTATTCTCTTGAATCTCTTTCTTTGTATGCAGATGCGATTGTTATCAGCGACGATGAGAGTGATGCTGTGAATGATAATACTCAGAGAGAGAGCAACGCAATCCCAGAGAGCAACGCAGTGCCACAATTTCCTGTTGATGTAAAACAAGAAGAACAAAGCAGCAATGGAGCAAACTCATCACAAGTAACTCCTCCTCCTCCATCATCAAACAAAACTCGCATGTTATCACCATCTTCATCATCATCATCATCATCAGACTCAGACGGGTATCTATTCTTTAAGGTTCCGGTTAAAAAGCCCCGTGATGATTTGAACAAGTCTTGAACCTCTTCAGATGATGCTGAGAAGAGAGAGAGCGAGAGAAGAAAGTGAATTAGAAGGTGCTCGCTCTTTAACATCTTCCATGTTGTAAACTAATATCTTATCACTCTCTCCGGTGTGTTGTTGTTTTGTTTTTGGGTTTGTCCCGGAGTTTTTAACTATTCGGAGGAGCTAGAGCAAAGGTTTACATCTTGTGACTAGGTGGATATTTTGTTTGTATGTCTGTTTTTAAGCACTACTGAAACCGTATATTTATGTACGGATTGTTCGGCTATATATCAAATCGGTTCACCATTATTTATATAAAATGCTAAAAGCAGTGACATTTGAATCCTTTAAAACGCCATTTGCATTGTTCATAGTTGTATTAGTTTTAGAGAATTAATGTAACACTCCATAAACAGAAACAAATTTTGTTCTTTGCTGCTCTTGAATAGTAAGGAAATTTGAAAATAAAAAGGGAAGAATTGGCTTCAGTGATTGATTTTCCAATCGCATTATCATCCTCTGTGGAAGAGACTTCACAATTAAATCAAAATATTCTTAGAAATAAATAAAGGCTTATTTTAAATGGGTTTTCAAAATAACAAATTTGATTCATCGTCTCTCTCTCTCTGCTTCCGCTTCCCAGTCACCACCACCACACTCGCTCTCTCTGTAAAACTCCTTCGTCTTCTCTCAAATTCCTACCGAGCAATTCTTCGATCTTCATCGCCTGGATTTCGTTTCTAAGCGTAAGTTCTCTCTATTAGTCCTATATTTCGCAAGTGTTTTTTTTTTTTTTTGTCGATCTCGTTCTAGCTGTAGAATCTTCAGCTAGATTGTTCGGGATGTAATCGTACAGTTTTAGGTTGAGAATCGAAAATCTGTTCCGATGCTTTAAGGTAGCGGATTCCGTTGCATCGGATGCGTAGTCCTAATCGAAATCTGTTTGGGATGTAATCGTAAATTTCTGCGTACATAATCTCGGAATTCGAAGCTTATGAGCATCGTTTGAACTGCGCAGTTTATCTGATCACTGAAAATGGAAGACGACGCTGGAAATGGAGACTCTCGGAAACGCATGAAGCTATCGGTAATTTTTTCTGACGGTTTTGGATTTTTTTTCACTGAATCTCGTGATGATATCTCAACTGTGGTGGATCTGATTTTTTAGTAAATAATCTGGAAATTTGATAGGACGAAGAGGAGAAAGGAGATACGAGAGATGGAATGAGCCTTGATACAGTTGATAATGAAGAAACTGAGACCACAAAACTTGTTGCTTCTGATGAGATGGAGCTTAACATTGCTCAGATTCTCGATAAGATTGAGAGCTTCACTCAGACTGTAAGCTCCTGTGATGATAATTTCCCCTGCAGTAAACGTATTTTCTTGAGTTTAGGAAGGATCTTGATATGATTCTGTTCATGGATTGTGCGTCTTGTGTAGGTGTCTAACATGCTGGAATCAGGGAAGACAATGTTCAAGGACCTCAGTAACGAATTGGAAGAACGTTTGATCATGTGAGATTGAAAGAGACTCCTAAATGGCTCTGTGTTATGCCATATCTATACACTCATATATCATTTCACGTGTGAACAGGATACACAAGGAACGTGTTGAGAAATGGCAGGAGGAGATCAGGGAGTTGCGCTTGCTTGATTCGTCAAACGAGGAGACTGCTTCCCTCTTACACAACGCTCGATTCCTGATTCAGAATCCAAGCATTGAGCCTTGAGGTAACAGTCTCGAAACCCCGTTAAAGAAATACTATTAGCCATTACGAAGAACAGATCTTGTATTCTGTCCAATGGTGTAAGAAGCCATATATATTACCTTAGATCAACATATGGTTGGTTGGGAAATTTTAGATTTGGACCATTAAAATACTATATGATGCTTTGCTTTTTAGTAAGAACAATCTTATCATGAACCTTGTGTTGCTTTAATCTCTTATTAGAATTGAGGTGAATATATGATAAAATGACTCCTAGACGGCTAAGCCCATCAAAGTGTTCCTTGAAACTCAGTCATGATGGCTTAGGGAATCATAGTGAATTTTCAGTGGTTTATTAAGAAAATGACTGATGACCTACATTTCTCAATGAAAAGTTCAAATGTGTTATCATTAGTTTAAATAAACACCACTAATTAAATGTTTCTAGAAAGCAACACCATGAGTTTATGGAAGCGGTCACATTTTCCGAATCTCGCTTTAGCGTATTATCTAAGTAATATATACGTTGCTCTTTTAGTCGATTGAGTCCCCGAATTGGAAAAAGTAATATTTCTGGTTCCATCAAAATCCAACTACTCCCTATTCCTTTTTAAAAGTTCTTTGTTCAACTCAAATGCATTAAAACTCTCCTGCTTTAAGCAAATTGTATACAACATCTAACACAACAACCAGAAATTGTGTGTCCGTGGGTTAAAAAAAGTTGAAAACATATTCACCAGGGATGTATGTGGGCCAATTAAATTCACTCGAAGCCCAGAAAAAGTATGGGTTATTTATGAGAGTCACGTTTAGGTGTTACTGTGTTACAGTGTTAGCCATATACGTAGTAAGAATCTTCTACCGTTGCGTTATTTAACAAAACGACAAGACATTATGTCGGGTCGTTACCAACCTCTCTGGCTTATCTATTTTTATCTTTAAACGCTAACGGCCCTGACTATTTGCATGACCCACTGACGTTGCAGATATGCCAAATCAATTTTCGGTTCAATTTTGGTTTTACCTGCTCTTGTTTTCCAATTTCTACCGGTGTATAAAACTATAAATAAAATAAAATAATTCAGTTAGTAGGTCTAATATATCTATCGATTCCCATACAGATTTTTTATTTTAGCTGTTGAGCTTAGTCTTCGTTCGCCTTTTAATTCAGCTTTCTCGTTTTAAAAAATTGGTTTAAAATCGTTTTTTCACATAGTTTGGTTTCGGTTAATCACCTTGACAGAAGTAGACGTTCCTGTATAATTTTTTGAAAACAAATTAAAATTACGGATGAATTAGTTTACCGTCTACCTGATTTGATCCGTTAGCTACAAATCAAAGTATGAATTAATCTAACGGTCACTGTAAGGTTTAAAAGTAGAAGATAAAAACATATGGGGTTGTTCACACAAATATACATTTGACTTGTTAAGTAGTATAAAATGCAAAGACCAAAAACAAAGTAGACCGACGGGGAGAACAGTTTCATAATGGCTAAAATTAATTGCCTTTTTTTTTTTTCTTTCTCCTAACGAAGAAGATGTCAGAATCATCCATTAGGTGAAATGTCCAAATCTCAAATTAACTATCAATTTTGGCGATACCTATTTATATTATAAATCATCAGAAGCATATTCTTATATATATACACATACTATGATATGTTGGTCGACAATATCATATGATTACTTTAAATTATCAAATGTAACGGCTAGTTCTCGTTTATTTAAATACATGGCAACAGCTTTATTATTAGAAGAAGAAAAAAAAAAAAGAGAGAAGACGCCACATGGAGTTATTGGACAATTTGAAATGCATTTTCGTTTTTTTCCTTTAATAACGAAAATTATGAGTAGACTCAAGACTGGTACAAGCTGGCCACTGATAAGGAAACCTTTTGGGTTTATCTCCAAAAAGTCAATGATTTGTGCAGATAGCACTTAATCCATTTGATAAAATTAAAATAAACTCGTTCAATCATATTTGTTCATTGTATGTCAATTGTCAAACTGGTCTTTTCGCGATATAATAAAACTATCAAATATAACTGTGAGATTGCTTTTGCGATCGATTTACGTTATTATATACCATTATTGTCCTAATAAATATACAGTATGTTGTTGCATAAAAGATAAGCATAAAATCCATAGTTACTCGTTAACTGTAAACGTTAACCTTTTTGGGGTTAATTTATACATGAATTTCAATATAATTATTTTGTTTCATGATAAAGAGTTATATAATGCTCATTGAAATTATACTTAGCAGTGTGGGGTGGATCTGAACATAAAAAAATATGATATGGTGAACAACGATCAACTAATTTTCTTGATTTATCACATCCAGAAAATATAAAGTATGTTATATGGTGGGCTTGTTAGAGCATATTTAAAATGATTTAAAGGCTGTCTCACTGGTGGATGTAATTTGTTTATATGTTTTGTCGGTAGTAGTTATGTAAGCGTGTATAAAACTCAGGTACCTTATAGGCTTATACGAATTACGCAAATAAACAATTTCTATTTTGATGGCAACAAAAATTACGATGTTAATTCTATAAACAGTTCTTTTTTTTTGAACAACATAAACAGTTCATATTTTAACGACATTGGTGAAAGTCTGAAAGGTACAGTGTTATATTTTACTCTAACGAAGACGAATAAAAATTCGTACTGAAAAAGACGAATAATAACTTTATTCCAATGGTTTTGTTTTATTAGCTGAAGTAGATGACCTGCCTTGCTGGATAAAGTTATTTTTCTAATTCGAAATTTAGATGGTCACTGTTACCGATCCCATAATATAATTTCAGAAAATGTCAAATTCCAATACAGTTTCAGTTTACACATTTTAGAAGAATTTTAAAACATTGAAAAAATAATTGTTAATGAAACTTAAAGAACAAAACTAATTAGTAGTATCAAGTTATCATTACTTTTTTCTATAAATCAATTAACAGTTTATAGTAAAAAGTAAAAAAGAAAAGAAAAGGAAAAGAGTGGAGTGGGCCCCACAAAAGCGGCCCAATTAGTGGCTTCACGCACAAACACACACACACACACAAACACCGTCACAAATACTCTACGCACAGCTTTGAATCCATCTGTCTCCTCTCTCTCTCTCTCTCTCTCTTCGCAATAATGATAATGTGAAGAAGAGAAGAAGATATCTTCGCACCTCAGCAACGATCCAAAACTCACCGATTCTTAGCCTTTTCGTCTTCTTCTCCGATAAGCTCACACAGAAGCGCGTTTGAGTTGGGTGGACTCTAAGTTTTATCTTTGAAGCTTTCCAACTTCTTCTTCTTCTACCAGATCTGGTGTCACTGTCTATATAGCAGGTACGAGCTCTGTTTCTTCCTGATTCGAAGTCGTTTCAGTTTCAATTGTTGAGTTAAATTGAAGAATTTAGCTCATAGATATCGAGATCTGGCAATAATTGTGATTTTCGTGGTTTTAGGTGACTGTTGAATTACTTGTATTAGCAGAGTTGCTAATGGGGAGTGTTATCGATATCACTAATCTTTGAATTGATTTCGTTTTCATTTTCCTCTGTGAAGGATCACATAAGAACCAGTGAGAGATGGGGAAAAAAGCAAAATGGTTTTCTAGCGTTAAGAAAGCTTTCAGCCCAGATTCAAAGGTATGAAAGTTTCTGAATTTCTCCTTTCTCTATATATGTTGATGCAATTCAAATTGACATCTTTGGTGTTTAATTAATGTTTTTTCAGAAGTCCAAACACAAATCCCCCGAGAGCCCAAATGGTGTGATCTCCAACGCTCCTTTGGCGGATAACTCCAGACAATCTTCTTCTCCTCCTTCTGCTCCTCCTCCTCCTCTTGAGGTGAGAGTAGCTGAAGTGATTGTTGAAAGGAACAGGAATCTTTCCCCTCCTTCGACAGATGTTGCAAATGCTACAGCGACCGATATTCCTCTAGTTCTTCCATCTTCATCTGCTCCTGTGGTTACTCGTCGTGCTACAGCCACTCGGTTTGCCGGAAAGTCAAATGAGGAAGGGGCTGCAATCTTAATTCAGACTATATTCAGAGGCTATTTGGTATGTTTTGGTTATATAAACCCTTTTGTTTTTCATTTCCCAACTTCCCATTTTATTGGTCTGTTAAAAAATGAAAAGAACAAAGCTTTTAAGGGGAGGAAAAAGAAAATCTCTTTGTGGAGTATTATAACCTTATCTTTATAACATCTGACTATATATACAGGCGAGAAGAGCACTGCGGGCAATGAGGGGTTTGGTCAGACTTAAGTTATTGATGGAAGGATCTGTTGTTAAACGGCAAGCTGCAAATACTCTGAAATGTATGCAGACTCTCTCTCGTGTACAGTCACAGATCCGAGCTAGGAGAATCAGGATGTCAGAAGAGAATCAAGCTCGCCAGAAACAACTCCTTCAGAAGCATGCCAAAGAGATAGCTGGCTTGAAGGTTTGTCTCTCTCTCTATGATTATGTTTTCTCATTTTTACTTGTATTTCGTAATTCTAGGTGAGTGGTGATAAGAAGAATAGATTTCTACCTACCATTTGGTTGGTGTATTGTGTAGGATGGTTTCCGCTTATTAGTCTAGCAAGGGTCAATAGATGATATCTCAGTTTCACGAGCATTACTATTCATTAGATCAAAACTGATGTTAACTTACACTAGATACTTGATCTATTGTCTCTTCTTTTCTACCTGGAAATGATAATCTACTAATCTTTGAGTCCTCTTTGCTAATAGTTTCTATTTATGTATCTGCTTTCAGAACGGGGATAACTGGAATGATAGCATTCAGTCGAAGGAAAAAGTTGAAGCGAATCTGCTGAGCAAGTACGAGGCAACGATGAGAAGGGAAAGGGCATTGGCTTATGCATACTCGCATCAGGTATTCTCATCATAACCTAATGCTAATTCTTTGGAAAGATAGAAATAGAAAGTGAATACAACCGTTAAAGTTGTATCTTTGGCTCATTTGAATGATGTGATGATCTGCAGCAAAACTGGAAGAACAATTCGAAATCTGCAAACCCAATGTTCATGGATCCAAGCAACCCGACATGGGGTTGGAGCTGGTTAGAGAGATGGATGGCTGGTCGGCCATTAGAGAGCTCCGAGAAAGAACAGAACAACGACAATGGATCAGTCAAGAGCTCTCTTAACCGTAACGAAGCCACAAAATCTGCAGTCCGCAGTAACTCAACTCAGCCAAACACTCCATCTTCCGCAAGAGGCACTCCAAGAAACAAAAACGGTTTCTTCTCTCCTCCAACTCCCTCAAGGCTAAACCAGTCCGCCAGGAAATCAAACGACGACGACGCCAAAAGCACAATCTCGGTCCTGTCCGAGAGAAACCGTAGACACAGCATCGGTGGCTCGTCAGTCAGAGACGACGAGAGCCTCGCTGGCTCACCGGCTCTCCCGAGCTACATGGTGCCAACTAAATCAGCTAGAGCCAGGCTCAAGCCGCAGAGTCCACTAAGTGGTACCACACAGGAAAACGATGGGTTTGCGGACAAGGCATCGGCCAAGAAACGTCTCGCTTATCCGACTTCACCTGCATTGCCTAAACCGCAGCGGCGGTTCTCAGCTCCTCCTAAAGTGGAGAGTGGCGGCGTCGCCGTTACCAACGGAGGAGGCAGCTGAGGTATTTGATATCGTCTTATTTGATATATTTATTTTTTCCACTTGTACGAGAGAGATTGTTGTCTGTTTGTTATGTATTCCCTTTTCAGTTGGTAAATTCATTTGTGCAGTGTAAGCAAGCGCCTGTCATTTATTTTTTTAATACAATAAATTTTATTATTCGACGATAAGGTTTACCTTTTAAATTCATGTAATTTTATCTCTTCTTTGATGAACATCCGTTTTTAATTCCATGTTTGAAATAGATATCTTAGGTTGTAATTTGTATGCATAGAACCATTAGCGTGTGTATGAGAGACTCTGGACAAGAAAGAAGGAATTGACTTTGACTCACTAAACCGACCTTAATATAAGAAAATCGGGAATATTCTCACAAAACCGACCTCTTGCCCACGCAAAAAGATAAAATTAAAACGAAGAGGCAAATTTCTCTTTTGCCCCATTATTTTCCTCTCGAAGAACCCTAAATCCATACCCGCATCCCCAGTTCGATAGAGAGAATCGGTAATCGGAGAAATTATCATTCGTCTAATCCGATTCAACTTTCTCGGAATTCCTTCTTCGCTCGGATCTACGTGAATAATGGTAAATTTGTTGGTCTGTTCTGGTTTCCGTTATCGCTGGACGATTGTGGAAAATCATTCCGTGAAATTAGAGCGTGAATAGACCATGGTTTCCGTTTAGTTGTCTTGGAGTAGATTAGGGTCACAACAAATGGATATGATCCATCTGTAGTTCTGTGATGGCACTTGTTCGCTCGAATCTACGTGAATATTCTGAATTTTTCTCTCCTTGATCATTATCGCTGGACGATTTTGCAAAATCATTTGGTGATTTGGGTCTCTGTAATAACAGTTGAGAAAGTATCTGACGTTGCTTCTCTTTTGTGGGTAACACAGGCGACACCAATGGTTGCAGGTGCTGCTGTAGCTGCAGCTGCTCTAGCTGGGAGATATGGTATAATTGCTTGGCAAGCCTTCAAGGCGAGGCCACGAATGCCTAGAATGCGCAGGTTCTACGAAGGTGGTTTCCAAAGTGCAATGACCCGGCGCGAAGCTGCTCTCATTCTTGGTGTTAGGTGTGTCACGCTTTCTTAAACCTCTTTCATCTCTTTTTTTTGGTGCTTTTCTCCTCAAATTGAATTGTTCTCGAGTGGCTTGACGGAGAGTTTGTTACATAACAGGGAAAGTGTTGTGGCGGAGAAGGTGAAAGAAGCGCACAGGAGAGTGATGGTTGCAAACCACCCGGACGCTGGAGGTAGTCACTATCTCGCTTCTAAGATCAACGAAGCCAAAGATATGATGCTTAGCAAAGCTAACAATTCTGGTTCTGCATTTTGATTGGCAATTCTAAGCCCCAATGATACTCTTCGTCTTCTCATTTGTTTTTGTTTTCATTTCGTCATGTATATCATTATTATATGGTCACATGAAAGCTCTCGTCTCTTTTTCTGGATGTATGTTGTTCTTGTCTGTGAGTTTAGTCCGGAAATGGCAGCAAGAGAAGTCTGCCGTTTTATTTTGCCGATTAAGAAAACGTTTAACAGATGAATTCCCTCAATACTCAAAAGCCAGAAAATTGATTTGTGCTAAAAAAAACAAAACATGGTCGTTAAATAAGTAAATTATCTTCGTTTTCGTTAAATAAGTAAACAAAACATTCGTTTTCTTCGATTTGTGCTACAAGCTCACTGTTGAAATCTCTCCCAGATTCCTGAGCCCGAAAATAAGTAAACATGTTTAATCTTTGCAAATTTTAAGTGTAACTTACTTTTCACATCGAGTAAATAATACAAAAGCGTTGGTATTGCATCTGTAACGAAAAACACTTACCAAAATTGAGTAAATGAAACAAAAGCGTTGGTATTGGCATCTCTGATTTAACAAAAAACACTTATCCAATTGCTGTAAAAACGTTCTTAGCCATTGCAAAGTTAAAACAGAGAGCAAAGTGGATAGCTCAATAAAGTACAAAAAACACAACAAGACTAAATTGAAGAGAGTCCAGATAACAATGATGAAAAGACTAAGAGACAGCTTAGTCGACTTCCTCGATCTTGGGACCGGCACCGCCTGAGGAAGGAGGAGCTTCATCATCGTCCATTCCGCCGGCAGGACCACCTGCTTCGCCACCTTGGTACATCTTTGCGATGATCGGATTGCAAATGCCCTCCAATTCCTTCATCTTGTCCTCAAACTCGTCCGCTTCTCCCAATTGGTTACTTTCAAGCCATTGGATTGCCTCCTCAATCGAGTCTTCAATCTTCTTCTTGTCTGTTGCCGCAAGCTTCTCTCCGATCTTCTCGTCACGGATAGTGTTCCTCATGTTGTAAGCGTAGTTCTCAAGAGCATTCTTGGCCTCGACCTTCTTCTTGTGCTCCTCGTCTTCAGACTTGTACTTCTCAGCCTCTTGCACCATCTTCTCAATTTCGTCTTTAGACAAACGACCCTTGTCGTTAGTGATTGTGATCTTGTTCTTCTGCCCGGTGGTCTTGTCCTCGGCAGAGACATTGAGAATACCGTTGGCATCGATGTCAAAGCAGACAGTGATTTGAGGGACACCACGTGGAGCCGGAGGGATACCGGAGAGCTCGAACTTCCCGAGGAGGTTGTTGTCCTTGGTTCTAGCTCTCTCACCTTCATAGACTTGGATCAACACACCAGGCTGGTTGTCTGAGTAAGTGGAGAAGACCTGTTCCTTCTTGGTCGGGATTGTCGTGTTTCTCTGGATCAAAGTGGTCATAACTCCACCGGCGGTTTCAAGACCGAGAGAAAGAGGCGTCACATCCAACAGAAGAAGGTCTTGCACTTTCTCATTACCTTCACCGGTAAGAATTGCAGCCTGAACCGCTGCACCGTACGCCACAGCCTCATCAGGATTGATAGACTTGCAGAGCTCTTTGCCATTGAAGAAATCTTGGAGAAGCTGTTGAACTTTAGGGATACGTGTAGAGCCACCAACAAGAACAACATCATGGACTGTGCTCTTGTCCATCTTGGCGTCTCTCAAACACTTCTCAACAGGCTCCATACACTTCCTGAAGAGATCCATGTTCATCTCCTCGAATCTGGCACGCGTGATTGCAGAATAGAAATCAACTCCCTCAAACAGAGAGTCAATCTCAATTGTGGTTTGAGCAGTGGAGGAAAGGGTTCTCTTTGCTCTCTCACAGGCTGTTCTCAACCTCCTCAGAGCTCTTGGGTTACCGCTGATATCCTTCTTGTTCTTCCTCTTGAACTCTTGCACAAAGTGGTTAACCATTCTGTTGTCAAAGTCTTCACCACCAAGATGAGTGTCTCCGGCAGTAGACTTCACCTCAAAGATACCCTCTTCGATGGTGAGAAGAGAGACATCAAAAGTACCACCGCCAAGATCAAAGATCAAAACGTTCTTCTCTCCAACGCTGGTCGCCTTCTTGTCAAGACCATAGGCAATGGCAGCTGCGGTGGGCTCGTTGATGATACGCAAAACGTTTAAGCCAGCGATGACACCAGCGTCCTTTGTGGCTTGACGCTGAGAGTCATTGAAGTAAGCAGGAACAGTGACCACAGCGTTCTTGATGGAAGAGCCAAGGTAAGCTTCAGCGATCTCACGCATCTTGATCAGAACCATGGAAGAGATTTCTTCGGCGGCGAATTGTTTCTCCTCTCCTTTGTAGTTGACAACGATCATTGGCTTCTCTGCAGGTCCGGGGATGATCTTGAAAGGCCATAACTTCATGTCACTTTGGACTGATGCGTCACTAAATCTTCTACCAATCAACCTCTTTGCATCTACAAATCAACCAAAAACAGAGTTTAGTCAAACACTCGAAGCAAATTCACAAAGCAAAATCAATCAATGGACGTCTGGAGGTTTTTCGATATAATCAAAAACAAAAAATTCTCAAATAAAGTAAACGAGTGTCCATGAAATCGAATCCGAAGAGCTTATCAGTGATCAATCTAGACAAAGACAATCAGATTCAACTCAAATTCTTTGTTAAAGCCACTAGATAAACCCTAAAATCAACAAAATCAGAGCAGCAAGGTGGATATTGACTCCTTAGTTATACCCTAGCAAGAGTACTTATGGGTACAACGCAACGAAGTCATTCAAAATCGTCTATGCAATTAAGAACTTCATATAAACCCTAAAAATAATGCGAACCAGAGAAAGAAGGGTGGAATTACATACCGAAGACGGTGTTAACCGGGTTCATGGCGACCTGATTCTTCGCGGCATCACCAATCAACCGCTCGGAGTCGGTGAAGGCGACGTAAGACGGCGTGGTTCTGTTACCTTGGTCGTTAGCTATAATCTCAACACGGTCGTGCTGCCATACTCCGACACAGGAGTATGTAGTACCGAGATCGATTCCGATTGCTGGACCTTCTCCTTTACCCGCCATTGTCACTCTAACAAAAAATCTTTAAGCTGAAAGAAGATTTTCTAAGTTGAGACGAAAGGAAAATTTTGAGCAGAGAAGAATAAGTTTTTGATTTTGTGAAGGAAAGTGGGTGGAGGAGGCTCGTGTTTATATAAGCTAGGGGGCTTTGTTGTTTCGAGAATGTTCGATGAGGTTTTTCTGACCGTTCGATCAGGTTTTCCTTTTCCCTAATTCTTTCAGGCGAAAAAGGAAAAATTGTGCAACAGAAAAATATATTAATTGCCACGTAAGCTATCATTGCAGAGTCGTGGGTCCCATTAATAATTGGATATGAGCCGGCCCATTAATAATTGGATATGGGCTTGCAAAAGCGTTATTATGGAAGGGCTTCTCTAATTTAACGATAAACATTTTGTTCTCACCATGTAAATCTCCTCAAATCACAAAATTTATGTTATTACTGTTACGAAAAGCTTAATCAAAGAAATTTAATCATATCCACAAATAAAGGGTGACAAACTTTTTAAACAAAAATTCATCAGAAAATCTCTTGAAGCTTTTTAACTGATGGTATATTATATGATGGTTCCAAAGAAACAGGAGTATATAATACAAACAATAATAATCTTTCTGAGTTCTTAACACATGGACGAGATGCTCACAGTAAATGCGTGACTGTAGCAGAATGCAACATGAAATTGGAACAAACGTAACATCCATCGATTGAAAACGAAACCTTAAACGAAAAAGAGAATCAAATGGAATTTGTGAAAAGAGAATTTCGTAAACAAACAAAAAAAAATGGAGAAAAGAAAAACACGGGAGAGGATCAAAACGCCACAGTGGCACAAGACAGAAGGTGAATGCGTCCACCAGTTTCACTGCGGTCCAAGGTATATAAGATCTTGGACCATTCTACGGTACCAATAAGCTCTTCTCTACTTGGTCTCTCAAACGAAATCTCAGCACACCAGAGATCTTCATCTTTCGAAACCCACCCAACTGTTAATCTTCTTCCTTGGCCTGGATCCGCCAAGGAGAAAAAATCAAGTGAACTCTGCAGGCCTTCAAGTCCCTTAACTTCCCTCCATATCGGATTTTCCTCGAGATCACACCATTCTAGTGGACTACCAATCAGTAGACATAACAGGCAGCTTCTGAACAATATCTTCTCTTTCCCATGAAAGCAAAACTTCTTTTCAAAGAAAAACGTTTCAATTCGTTCACCAAAAAACGTCATCAAAGTCTTTTGGAAACTGACATCTGGTGTGAGTGTGGTGGGAGGTAATGGCTCCCAAGTTTGGGTCTTTGGATCATAAATCTCTCCCCAGCTCTCGCCCGTACAGAGCTTGCTGCAACCTCCAAACACATAAATTTTCCCGTCAATAAAACCAGCCGCTGGACTTACTCGAGGAAACCGCATTTCAGGGAGGGTACGCCATTGGCGAGATCGACAATCGAGGAGATACACTTTCCTGCTTACTGTACGATCTACCGTTCCGCCGATTACGTAAATCTCAGAACCGGTTGAGACGACGGCTGGGCGTTTGGGATGTTGGTCAGAAAACGATGGGATGGATATCAATTTCTTCTGCTTTGGAATCGGGCCAACTGTGAACCAGCAAGGATTGCTCGGATCAAACTGTAAACAGAGATAGTTGTACTTCTCTGTTTTTCCGATTAAGGTTCGTGTGGCGTCTAGCTCAGGTGAAGCGAGGAGTGACCGGAATCCCTTGGAGACGAGAGATACGGTTGGATGATGGCATCTCGAGATACGAGCTAGAACATTGAGAACGACATCGTACGGTAGCGAAGAGAAAGACGCCGGAGTAGGAGACTCTGATGATATCTTCATCTCTTCCGTCGTCGTCATTGTCTTCATATTGCTTCTGTGAGGTGCGATTTAGGGTTTATGTGCTTCTCTGTTTTCGGCGTTTGGGAAGTGTTATGTGATATACAAGGCAACGATTTTGAGGGATACCACGTCACCATTAGTATATCAGAACCAAAATAAAACTTTGGATAATTTCTCATTCACTACTCTTTGCAATGTAAAATAACATTCTGCTTTGTAACAAAAAAAACATCCTAATTTTGATATCTGTAGTATTCAACTTCTTTACCTTTTTTTTAAACTCTTTTGTGGCTGTTAGTGAATAGTAACAATGGTACTACTGTTTAAAGACTCACCGTCTCTGTTTCGACTAGAGTAGTTTCCTTTGTTTCTTTCACTTTCTCGAGCTGGCCTTTGGGTTCTCCGAATAAGGCGTAGAAAATCTGTCTATGGCACTCATCGCAGAAAGAGAAGAAGGAGAAATGACCTTCGTTTGGGATCTTATGTACTGTTGCTTCCGGAATCATCCTGCTTATGTACTCACTCATCGATGGTGGACCAACCCGATCCTCCATTCCCTTTATAAGGACACACAAAATTAGACTATGTTAAGATGATACATTACATAAGACGCTTTACAAATTAGACTATGTATATTGTTGTATGGTGCAGGACTTACCTGCCATATGTGAATGGGTTTTCGAAATCCGACTAGTTCACATTCAGCTTCACTGTACATTGACATGAGCCAAGAAAGGACACCATTGGTTGTACATTTCTTCTGTGTGCGGAATTCAGAGAGACTAAAGCCCCAATTCGATACTTGAAGCACGGCTTCTTCTACATATGGTCTTGTGATTCCTTGACGGACAGACTCCTCCACATTCCTCTGGTGAAATTCTTGGAAAACTGGATCTTTGGTTAAAAGTTTATCCTGGAAGAAAGAAGAAACAGAGTTAGCAAATACGACTCAAACTTGCTGGCATTGTGATCTACAATGGATGAGAATTATACCTTATCTCCTAGTGATAGTGACATCCACTGATCGAGATGATCAAGTTTACCAGAGAGGAAAGATCTGCGGTAGAAGAAAGGAAGAAGAACTGGAAACCGGCGTGCTAGAAAGTACATGAGTTTCCTCTTTGTTAACCATTGATCCCATGTCTTCCCCATCTCTTCCTTGGACATGCTTGGCTCATAAGGATTCATCACCGGAGCCACCATTGCAACTCCTGTAGTTTCACAAACCCAAACCCAATAAACAACAGTATAGCAGATTTCGTCCATGTTTTCTTGCAAACCATCACAGTACCAAAATCATGATTGGTATTCTAATGGTTTGAAATGTATAAGGCAATATAGGAACTTTGTTTAATACCTGCAATTTTCTCGGGGAAGTATTTCATTGCAGCCCACGTATGCATACTACCAGTAGAGTAGCCGAGTAACCAGAACTTGTCATCAATTCCAATAGCAGCTGCAAGGTTAATCAAATCCGAAGCAGATGAGCTGAGGTTTCGACCTCGATGAGGGTCACTCTCTCCAAACCCTGGAAGATCATATGACACTAAACGGACACCGTACTCCACAAGCAACGATTTCTTCACTCCAGGTATGCCTGGATTAGGTGACTCTTCAATCATTACAAGGCAAACTAAAACGTAATGGGAGGAAGTAACTGAAAATGATGAAAACGAATTGGATACCTGCAAGTCGAGAGGAAAGAAAAGAATGAGGAGTCACTAAAGAGTATCTTGCTCTTTCCGCTGAAACACCTAGCTCTTGGTAAGCCACATATCTACCATCCGGAAGCTGTATACGGGCTGCACCGGTAGGATGTAATCGCAGTTTCTTTATCACTGGCACTGGTCCGTCCTGCTCCGGACTAAAGCTTAATGCTGCACTTCAAAATTGAATATGTCAATGCAAGGAATCAAACCTTTGCACTTTTCAAGTCTCTTACATTACTGTTACTTAAAGCTACATCTAAGCAGAAATGAGTTAGCTAGAGACGACTGAGCCCATAAATTCCTTGAAGATACATCTCAATACTCAGCATTCTTCTATAAATTTGTATAACTGTTCAGGGCTTGACATTGCTTATACGTCAAAAATTTACTAAATCAATCAACAGTTTCGATTCAACAAAAACTGCATGCATAAGAATTAGCTACGAATGCTAACTAAGCTCAGTTTTCGATTGTGAATGAGAAGTACACAGAAATAATGAGCCAATTTTGCAAACTGATTACCTGCGAGTGCTAAGAGGAAAACGAAGAAAATCACAGGCCATGCGTGAATCGGGTCACGATCCTCTGGTAAGTACTCATTCATGAAGTTTAGCTTCTTCGAAACTTTAGCCGCCGGTTTCCTAAGCTTCCGGACGACGAATGAGTCCTCAGTCACCACCGTCTGCTGCACAATGTCCTTGACTCCTTTCGCGAGGTCAAGAAGCATCTCTCCCCATGATTTCATAAACCCCGCCACTTGATCTTTCAATGTCTCCCTTGGTTCGGATCCGGATCCATCCACCGACGAGAAACCCGATCTCTTTGAGCCGGATTCAGTAGCTGCCGTCAAATCGATCGGCGCACGGTCGTATCGTAATCCGGCGTCGACGAGACTCGCCAACTCTTCCTGCCACGTAGGCACTCCTCGAATCTCCTCCATTTTCTCAACCTCTCGATTTCAGTAGCATCAATCTCCCTCACCTCAACCTAAATCCCTAATTCGAAATCTAATCCCGAATCCTTATCCAAACAAACTCTTCGCAGCAAAACCTGTACATTCAGTTATAAAATAAGTAGACGAACATTTAAAGAGAAGATGCGCGATAATGAGCTGCTAATGACACCTTTACAATGCGTGAGTTTCAAGCTCTCCATTTTTTATATAACTCGAAAATTAATTCAGTCGCGAATCATATCTCTCTTTTTCTTTAAGAAAGCGAAAGGAGACAAAAGTTTGTCTTACCAAATGACGTAGAAACAGCTTCGACACACAACAACACTATGGTCCGATTCAAATCTCCACTTTTTATTTTATTCTTTCATCGTCTTCCTTTTCAATATTCTCCATCGCCTACTCGATTTGACTGGTTAAGGTTAAAAAAAAAGTCTCAGTCCGCCATTGACGAGAAATCTCGAGCTCCTCTCTCTCTTCTTAATTTCCTCTTTCTTTTCTATTTCTAGCTGGTGGCGCATTAATAAATATGGACCACTGGATCAAAATCGCCTTTTTGAAATAAACGGTTTTCGTTGGTCCACGTCGGTTTGCCGTGGTATCGACGGTTAAGTGGTGGGGACCGGCTGAGCCAGTGAGTGTCGCGTGGACGGTTTACTCTTTGTGTGTCCCTTTTACCCGTTACAGCCGGTTTCGTAAGTAGTACGGTTTATGCTGACGTGGTGGAACTTATAGGTATGGTGGGGTAGGTGCACGTGACTCGTCTCTAAGAGGAAAGAGGTAGTTATTCCCTGTATATGGCTGTATAGAACAAGCCTATACGTATACGTCATCTGGACCGTCTGTTAGATCCGACGTTTAAGACTAAGAGCAGCTAAATAAAATGTTTTAGGCAATTCTATGAGCCCAGTAAGTTTTACAGTATCAATCTACCAACTTTCATGAGTTTTTGAGTCTAGTCTCGACCTTGTAAGTTATATTTGTTGTTTTCTAAATCAGATATTCTCTCATGTCTCATCTCTAGATATGTAGCTGATAACGCACTTATTATAAATCCATAACCATCCAAAATCGATGCTTAGAATCCTTAAGATCTAACCTTGATTCCTTTTCACAAAGATAGTTGTTATAACTTAGTGAGAATCGAGTCTCATCACAAAAGTCAGCTGTTCTAAACTTTGAAAATGCCTACAGTGTGCATCTAATTGGTCAACTTGTTGCTCTGTTTAGCTTTGGGGCAAACATACTTGAGGCTGTAACTTAGAAGAGAAGGTCCAAAGGTGCTGTATTTCCCGGAGCTGCTGAAGGCAGTCTTTGCGTCTTCGCCTCTTTTGAACACCACTTTGGCTCTCTTACCTTTCTTCATGATCTGAGTCTCCGATTCTCTCAGGGGACCGTAACGGTTAAATATGCTGTTCAGTTTTTCTTCCGATGGAACCGAACCTGAATCCGCAAACTTGAGGATCAGTGCATTGGGTGCTGAAGAATCTGCAGAACAGTCTTTGAGACCGGTTTGCTCTTCCGAGCCTGAGCCAGTTATGTATTCCTTCACAGGCAAGATCTGCTGTTCCGAAGAAACTTTCACATCACTGACATTACTGCAAGATAACTCCTCAATGAACTTTTCAATATCTTCATAATCTGAGGGGTCTACGCTCATTGATTCGGGTATCTCCTTTCCGCCTTTGGCATTGTGAGGGTTCGAGAGCATCTCATCCGAGGAGTCTTTCACATTCCAAGTTTCTGATGTTTCAGTGATACTCGCCTTCTCTGAGTCAAGATTGAGACTGGTGCAAGATGTTTCCGTAATGAACTTTTCAAAATCTTGATAGTTGGAGTGATCTAAGCTGAATGATTCGGGTATCTCCTTCGCAGAGTGAATGCTTGAGAGCATCTCATCAGGAGAAGAAATCTCTTCATGTTTAGGCTTGTTCTCGACTTCCACTTTTGAAGCAGTCTTAGAATCACCGCAAGGCTTCACTGCAGGAGTTGAAGAACTCATCACGCTTTCCATTCTCAAAGGAACAACTCCAATTCTAAAACACGGTTCAGCCACTTTCTGCAGTTTATTCCCCACAGACGAATTGTTTTCCTCATCTGAGTTTTTCTCAGACTTACGCTTCTTGCCAGAATGCGACTTCTCAACTGATCCGCTCTCAAAGACCTTGTTTGCAACAATATCGGACCTCTTTTCTTCAGTCACATCCTCAGAAGCAAAACTTTGCTTGTGCTCAGCGTTATCCTTGATATCAGTCTTTCTCTTTTCGGAAGACATTTCTTCATCCGTATTAGGCTCCAGGAGAGAAGCTAAGGGCGCTGCAGATTCTTCCGGCCTTAGGTAGCTTTTCCATTGTTGAAAAGCCAAAAACTGAGCTTCGTTAGTCACAAGCTGCAGCTTATCAGTCTCTTCATATATAGGGAAGCAAGCCAAATGCTTCACATATTCCACAAGCTTTGCAGGTTCGAAAAAGGTAGCACCTGACAACTTGTCTCCACCGTATCTCACGCTTGAGTCCTCTCGAATTCCAGTATTGATTATGTGCTGAGTCTTGAGCTTGTTATAGGCTTCCTCCGAGACACAGGCGCAGGAAAAACCAAACTCCACTCTCCTTGAAACCTCTTCCAAAGCACAATCAACAGCATCGCGAAACTGTGGCGAGTTACTCTGCTTGTCCATCTCTGAGAAATGCTGATGAAAAGGCTTTATCATGGTTACATCATTCCAAGCGAAACTGCAATCCCCAAAATACGAAACCAAGAAAGTCCCCTTCTTGAAGTACTTCATGGCGCTCTTCGATGCAGCAGATGCATCACACACCTGTCCAGGCCACCATGGATAGCTCCTTACTTTACCCCAAACCAAATCTGACTCGGATAGATTCAGATCCTCTTCAGCTAAAACCACACCTCCTCCTTCATTCTCAAGTTTTCGTTTTTGCTTTCTCGGGCCATCTAGATCTCTCTGCTCGCGAAAATCATCAGATTCTGCATCGGAATCATCCTCAATCTCACTTCCAAAATCGGACTCTCCATCTACGGAATCCGTTTCCCTCTTCAGTCCACGTAACCCATTTCTCTTTTCAAGCCCAGCTAGCTTCACTGGTAAGGACTCATCAGCTAGGGTTTCAGATGTCTGAGCAACTCCGCCCCCAAAACTCGACGCATTGAGGCCAATAATAGCGTCGGAATCCGATTCGACTCCTCCCGGTTCTGTAGACATAACGAGCACCCCCAAACAACCCTAGAAACCGGAGAAGAAATCAGCAAAGTTTTGCTTTTGAGTACACTTCCATTGAAGAAGAAATAAAACACCACTTCATTCAAGAGAGAAACTAACCGAAAATACAGAGAGAGAGAAAAAAAGCGAACGGAGCTCCGGTGACCGTGACGACGACACAGTTCTCACTTCTCCGGCGACGAGAGCTCGATTTTGGGAAATAAATGAAGACAAGTCCAGATAATGAAGTTCGCGTTTTTTTATGGGGGTTTACGAAGGAGCTACGTGTACGACAATGAATCGGCCACGTGACAAAGCGCTACTTGCGAATATGTTGGTTTTCGAATATAATCGTCGTGGATAAAAACAGTGGAAAGTGGTCAACGAAAAATTCAACTAAAACTTCTAGATATAAAATAATTTCATTACAAAGAGAGAGTTTCAACATATAATGAAATAGATAAGATAAAGATAAAGATAAAGATAAAGATAAAGATAAAATGTTCGATAAGATTCAAAGACTAATGAAAATAAATTGAACTACTGAGCTGAGTCTATCATAATAGATAGTTAACAAATCTCCATCTCCATCACTATTACTTCAAACACACGGTTGTATTGAAAGATAAGTAACCTCCCAATTAATCATTCTCTTATAATGTCTGCCAGTAGAAATCGCATGAACCTCATAGGTTCTGCCTCAGAAGTTGGAAACAGCCAAGGAATCACCCAAGATTTCGGTTTCCAGATTTGATTCATATTCACATCGCCTCTGTTCGACAGATACATCCTAAGTAAATCATCCTGGTAAAACATAAAAATAATCTATCATAAGAACTTATAATTTTATTTTTTACCAAAAAAAAACTCAGAATTTTATAAATAGACATGGCTTTTAGATTTTATATACCGGAATGATGAAGGAATCGACAATGTCAAGTTTAGCCTTCTTCAAACTTGGCGAGTTTTGTAACAGTTTAGCTATACCAGGAATAATAGACGCAACATCAACCACAGCTTTAACAGTTAAAACTTCCACTTTGAGTGTCGGAAAAGGAAGATTACAGGCCTCAGCAAGTGATAAGATCTAACAACAGAAAATTTGCAAATGCATTGTTAATATATTGACTATCGAAAACGCATTACTCAACAATGTGTCCAGAGTGCATAGCAATAACAAACAAGTATATTTTGGCGTGTGTTTATGCACTTCACTTATAAATAATCCTAAACCAATAAAATTAACAACTGATTATGTGAAAGAACAAGCGTACCTGAAGAAAGACGGGCCCAAAAGTAAGCTTCTTCGCGTTGTGCAACATTTTTAGCGTCTCCAATATCATCAGTATAAACAAACCAATTTTATGGCATTTAAAACCACAAAAGTTTTCAAGTAGGGTACATGTAATTTCCATGTCAGCTTCGATTAAAGAAGAGACATTTACCAAACCACATTGATAAAAAGTGTGATTCAGTTTCAAACAATGGACATGTGGTGCCACAAGCTGCATTGGTCTCGGCATTGGTCCCTGAATCTCTATATCCAATCTCCTTAAGTGCAGAGATCCGCTAAGATCAAGATGCTCAAGATTCAGACAGTCATGCAACATCAAGCTTTCGAGCAGTGGAGAACCAGACAGGATCTTAGTAAATGATTCATCGGAAAGTTTGCAGAAACTCAGAAATAGGATCCTTAGAGACGTCCAAGAGATGTTTTGAACGGTTGCGAAATTTCCCCTGTCTACGGAGAGTTGCGTTAAAGAGGAATTGGTGAAAAAGAGATCAGGAAATTCATAGTTCCCAAAGCAAGGATCACGGAACTCCAGAGACATCTTCTCCGAAATGCCAAACTCGATCAAGCTATCAACCGGGGATTTGGTTGCAGTTGGTAGAATAAAGGACTCTACGCATACACCTTCCTCACTGTTGACCTCATCGCTGATACATAGATGGGAACTCGTGATTCTGAGAGCAGAGTAGTGGCGAGTTAAGGTTTCCATGATCGCGTTACGCTTTCTCCTAAGGAAATCGATGGAGAGAGAAGGTGTGCCGCACCATACATGCTTCCAACGCGTGGACAGTGTAGAGGTTCTGATGGCGAACTTAGTCGGAACAAAGGACAAGATAACATGGAGGATCGCGTCCGGTAAAGAGCTGATGAAATCTGCACCGTTGATCACTTTGTCTTCGTTGGGAGAAGGAGAATTAGAGTGGTGGCTACGGTTACCTTCAGCTGCTGTAGCGCCTTCTCCCTCTTGGAGGAGAAGATTGTCCGCCATTGCTTTAGGAGTCTCGTAACGAAATTTTAGTGGTGGTAAGTTGAAACCTATGTTTGAGTTTCAATCCTTATCACAAGATATCTTAATATATAGACACATATGATGATGAAGATATTTGAACTAAAGATGCGCGCAACGTGGTTGAATCACATCCAAAATGATAGCTTAACATATAAAAATGTAACACATGATTATTTGAAGATATCTTTAACATAAAATGAGCGCAACGTGGTTGTAACATGTATGATTATGAAGATATCTCAACGTATTTTAAGAAGATAATTCAAAAGATACCTTGACATATAAAGATGTAACACATATGATTATTTGAAGATATCTTTAACATAAAATGAGCGCAACATGTATGATTCTCCGAAATTATCTCAACGTATTTTAAGAAGATAATCCAAAAGATATCTTAACATATAAAGATGTAACACGTATGATTATTTGAAGATATCTTTAACATAAAATGAGCGCAACGTGGTTGTAGATTATCCGAAGATAACTCAACATATAAAGATGAACACAATGTGGTTGCAACACATATGGGCATAACATGGTTGGTTGTAGCACATATGATCAGAAATGTTAAGATAAATAGTTGCAACGAAATTATTAGAAGATATCTTAATAGACAAAGCTGAGACGTATGATTGTTAGAAAACATCTTAAACATATACAGATGTGCTCAACGTGAACAATTCAGTATCGGCCAATGAACATTTTTGATCAAGGTCATCAGCCAATGTGATTACAACGAAAACATATGATGAAAGCAATAGAAATAATCAACTGAACAAGTCTCCTAAAAATAAATCAATATACAACTAATCTTGACTTATAGATTCAGTATACAATGTTGTTTGAGATTCAAGTCTAATACATTATGATACACATACTTAACAATGGCTTTTGCTTGAACAATTGATACACTTAAACATTATGAGAAAGTGGTGGATACATTTTGAACATGGCTTTGCTTGATCAGAATGAAGACATTGTTGTTGTGAGAAAGTGTCGTAGCCATTGCAAGAAGCTCATCCAAACCTGATGCATCAAGATAACCGACCACGAGCACAACCATTGTCTCTAGACTTTTCGTATTTCTCAGCAAAAGCTCCATGAACGAAGCCACAAGATTGGACTCTGCATATTTACCCACCAACATCGATATCGTCTCGATGGATCCTGGGAAGACCGCGTCTTTCGATCTCCAACATTGACTCTGATTCAAGCTGTGTACACGCAAGTAATTGTTTAGATGCACTTCCTGCAAAAACAGAGCAAAAAGAGTGTCAATTTTCTCTGATTTTAACCGATATGTGAAACAGAACAAAACAAGTTTCCATGGTAATTGGTCAAAGTACCGATATGATGCTGCATTTGACGGTGTGTATCGTTAGCTTTCTCAGCCCAGGTGAGTTCTGTAAAAGCTTCGTTATACCGGGAATAACAGACCGAACAATCATCGTTTCGAGTGTCAAAGATTCCACCTTTAGCATCGGAAAACGTACACCACACAGCGCCGCAAGAGATAACATCTTCAAGGCAAATACGAATACAGTTAGAGAAAGCTATGTGATTCGTTCTAGGCCTTAGAGAAGTGTGTAACAAACCTGAAGAAAGGTAGCACCAACAGTGAGCTTCTCCACATTCTGCAACTTTGATAACATCTTTACCACATTCCCTTGAAGAAAATCAGCCGTAAGGGTTCCAAGATCGGAAAAGTAAATGTTCAAGTTAGCTTCGACTAGAGAAGAGACATCCACTAATCTACATGGCAATCTCGAGTGTCTCAATCTCAGAGAATGGATATGTGGTGCCACAATCTCCGTCGGGCCGAGAAACCAATCGCTTCGATCCATCTCCAATCTCCTTAGACGCGGTGATTGGCTCAGATCAAGACACCGGAATTCATCGCAGTACAGCAATTCCAAGCTCTCAAGGCAGGGACAACCAGAGAGAATCTTGACAAGGGATTCATCGGAAAGCTTACAGTAACTCAAAGACAAGTTCTTTAGAGACGTCCACGACACGGTGCATCTCGGGATCATGACGACGGATCCAGAGTCGACCAAGAGTTGCTTTACGGTGGAGTTTGTGTAGAAGAAATCGGGAAAACTGTAATCCCTAACACGAGTGTCGCGAAACTCGAGAGAGAGCTTCTCGGCGTCGTGGGAAATGGCGAACTCGATCCAGCTGTCGACAGGTTGGATCCTATTGACTAAGCTTGTTCGGAGATGGAAGCTCGCGATTTTGGGAGCGGAGAAGCTGGCTAAGGTTTTGTTGATCGATCTAGCTACCACTCTGTGGCTATCGATGGAGAGAGAAGGCGTCTCGCACCATACGTGCCGCCATCGCTTGGACAAGACGGAGGTTCTGATGGCTGACTTGGTCGGGATTGAGGAAAGGATTAGGTGGAGAATCGCGTCCGGTAGAGAGCTGATGAAATCGAAACCCTCGATTGAAATTGAATCGCCGATTGTTCTGTCTTGGTTTGGAGAATCAGACTGGCGGCGGCTAGGGAATTTCACGGTGGCAGTGGCGCCGTTTCGCCGCCGGGAAGTTTCAGCCATGGCCATCGAATCTCAAAAAGTATATTTCTGTCTGGTTATTACATGTAAAATTCGGACTCATTTTCTAAATACAAAGTTTTGTGGGACTATTGACCTCAATAAATTTAATCGACCGGTTTTCACTTTTCAGACATATAGTTGGTACACTTTGTGTAATAAAATTGGTTTTACAAATCAACTACAGTATACACTAGATTTAATAAATTCTATAATACTTTCATGATACAAATTATTTTGTTAGCACTCGTAAGTTACAACTTGGAAAAAAAAACAATTGAAAGATTTTAAAGAACTTGATATATTCTTAGTTAACCAAAAGCTATTTCTTGCAAGAAGGCTGCAACAATGAATCTGAGACTCACTGTTGCGGTAGGGGAAAGATTACAGGACAAAGTGATTACCAAACAGAGAAAAGAAAGCAACAAAAAGAAAGTAAAGTTGTTGTTTTGTAAGAGAATAACATAATCGGAAAAATACTGATGCAAATACTTAGCGTTTGAAGACAATGGAGACGTTATTGTTGTTGGAAATCATCTGAAGCAACTCTTCAAACCATTCTGCATCATAAGAGCCGATACATCTCAACCCTACAACCAACGTCTCTATTGTGTTTGCGTTCCTCAGCAACATCTCCATGTAGGAAGCCACAAGTTTGGACATTGCACGGTTACAAGATTTTATCGTCCCATTATACTCGATTAATTCAGGAAACGCCTTATATTTTGATCTCCAAATTTGATTCGGATTCAAGCCTTGTGAATCCAAATAGCTGTCCACATCCCTATCCTGTACGAGCATAAAAGGTTATCCCAAAGCATACTAACAATACATGTGATTTTTACAAAATATCAAACATTATAGCCTAACAAAAAGGGAAAGGCATGCTTCTTGGAATGTTCCTACTTAATTATTATGGTCTTACTAATTATATACAGGAAAATAAAAGAGGTTTCTGGTAATAATACCTTTATGTCGGCAAGGTCCGTTGCGTGTGCTATTAGCTTCTTTAAGCCAGGTGAACTTTGTAGTAACCTTTCTATACCAGGAATAACAGATCTTCCAAGAACGGTTTCAAGAGTCAAAGTTTTGACCTTGAGCGTTGGGAAAGGAACACCACGGAGCTCGGCGAGAGATAGAATCTAACAAAACAAGATAAAAAAAGGTCAACCTGATTAATGAATCATAACAAGAAAACTATATATATATATATTAGTTATTTAGCATTGTTAAAAAACTAGTTATTTAGCATTAGCAAATTTAAGTTTTTAAGGCGTTCATATATATATGCTTGCAAAACGTAGAGAGGCTTATATATTAGAGGTGGTTATATATATATGCATTTGGCTTTAAGTAGAGAATGCAAGAATGGGAAACATACCTGAAGAAGGTTTCCATGAAGAGTAAGCCTCTCTACGTTTTGCAATTTGGCTAGCATCTTTAGCACCATTTTTTGAAGAAAATCAGCATAATACAATGGAGATTGTAGGTGAAACAAGAAAACGTCAAGGGTAGCGTCGGTCAAAGAAGAGACATCCACCAAAGGAAATAGTCCCTCAGAGCTTCTCATACTCAAAGAATGGATGTGGGGCGCTATAATCTTCATTGGTCCTGCCGTATGATACAATTGATATATCTCCAGTCTCTTCACACTAGGTGATTTACTCAGATCAAGACGCTTAGGTAAAGCATCACAGCAAAACAAGCTCAAGGTTTCAAGAACTGGACAGCCAGAGAGAATATTAGCAAAATATTTATCATAGAGACAACAATCTTTCAGTTTCAGCTTCCTCAGGGATTTCCAAGACACTGTGCAGCTTGGAATGATATCAATCTCCGCGGATATGGTTAGTTGCTCTAAAGAGGAACTCCGATACAAGACATCTGGGAGACTATGAGTCTCCTTGCAGTTGACTGACAAAGACAGATTCTCCACGTTGCGGGACATAGCGAACTCGATCCATCTATCCATTTGTGGCGCAGAGACATCAGACTTGGTCACGCGAAGATGGAAACTCGTGAGTTTCGAAGCCTTGGAGGATATTAGGGTTTGGTTTACGTCTCCATCCGTCGCCGTTCTTCTAGATTCATCAGAGTCATCAAAGTCGAGACTATGTGTCCCGCACCATACAGGCCTCCATCGTTTGGACAAGACGGAAGTAGTGATGGCGATCTCGGTGGGAACAAAGGAGAGAATATGGTGCAGGATCTCATCTGGCATAGTGCTGAGGATATCAACACCGTCGACTGTTTCGGCGGCTTGTTTGATTTCGTTGATAGAATCGGAGCGGTGGCTAATGATTCCACTAGCGGCGGTGCTGCCACCGTCTCCGTCTCGGGTCTCGTCCTCCATCTTTCGCTTTTAGGGTTTGGAAACTAATCTCTCGTCTAAGAATAATACTAGTACGGTATGTAAGCCTTGAAAGTTCGATATATATAATGTGTGTGATGGTAGATTTAAAATCAAAAGTTATTCCTTTCCTAATTTATCACCAAATTTCCTTAAAATAAAGAGAAATCTAGTATGGAGAATAGTTGTATGTGTTAATGATTTGTGTTTGATGATGTTTACCAAACGAAAGAAAAAACAGAGTATATATTGTAACGAAACTTGTAATCTTGTACTGATAACTTGAATTTGTTACAACTTTTTGTGATATAAGAAACAGAAACTTGATCACATATTTATACAAATGAAAAGTTGTGTTTAAAAGACATAACTCTTTAATCTAAAAGACATGACTCTTTAATCTAAAAGACACAATTCTTGAACAAGACAACTTAACTTGTGGCTCTTGATGATTAAGTAACTAACTAATATGCATAGTATATAAAATTTGACTCCTTTTGTAAGTCCAAGTTTCTGTCGAACTATTGACCTCAATAAATCTAATCAATCTGTTTTCAAAAATATAATTGCTACTTTTGTGTAAAAAGGTACTTTTTATCATCAATTATATATTACAATCTTTTGTTATCGGAAGTTAGAATATGTGGTTTAACTTCGAAAAACACTGACGCAAATACTTAGCGCTTGAAGACGATGGAGACATTATTGTTGTTAGAAAGCGTCTGAAGCAACTCTTCAAACCGTTTTGCATCGTAACGGATATATTTCAACACTACAACCAACGTCTCTAGTGTGTTTACGTTCCTCAGCAACATTTCAATGAACGATGCCACAAGTTTGGACATTGCCTCCTGACGAAACTCATATGAGGTAGGAAACAACTCATATTTTGAACTCCAACATTGATCCGGATTCAAGCCTTGTGAATCCAAATAGCTGTCCATGTCCCTATCCTGTATAGAGCATAAAAAAGTTATCCCAATTCGTGTGATTTTTAGAGAATATCAAATACTATAGCCCAACAATAAGTGAAAGACATTGTTCTTGGAATGTTCCTACTTAGTTATTATGGTCGCACTATAAAATACAAGAAAATAAAAGAGGTTTCTGGTAAAAATACCTTTATCATGTCGGCAGGGTTCGCTGCTTTTGCTATTAGCTTCTTTAATCTCGGTGAATTTTGTAGTAACCTTTGTATACCAGGAACAACAGATCTTGTAAGCTTGGTTACAAGAGTCAAAGTTTGGACACTGAGCGTTGGGAAAGGAACACCACGTAGCTCGGCGAGAGATAGAATCTAACAAAATCAGATGAAAAGGTCAAATTAATTTGTAAATTTACCAAGTTGATGTTTACAAGGCGTTCATATATATTATAGGTGGTTTATACACACATATGCATTTGGCTTTAAACAAGAAAGTTTGAGCTCTTAATTAAGTAGAGAATGCAAGAATAGTCGACATACCTGAAGAAAGGTTCCATCAAAAGAAAGCCTCTCTACGCTTTGCAATTTCGCTAGCATCTTTAGCACCATTGTTTGAAGAGAATGAGCCTTGGAATTAAAAATAAAGGGTCGAAATCTAATGCAAATGTCAAGGCTAGCTTCGGTCAAAGAAGAGACATCCACTAAAGTGAATGGTGGTTCCTCAGAGCTACTCAAATTCAAATAAAGGATGTGCGGCGCTATAATCTCCACTGGTTCTTTATGCTCTAGAGTCTCCATTGGTCCTGTATGCCTTAATTGATGATATATCTCCAATCTCTTCAGACTCGGTGATTTACTCAGATCAAGACGCTTAGGTAAACGATAACAGCGATGAAAGTTCAAGCTTTCAAGAACTGGACAGCCGGAGAGAATATTAGCAAAAGATTCATCTTTGAGAAAACATCCAGTCAATGACAAGTTCTTTAGGGATTTCCAAGACACTGTGCATCTTGGAATCATATAGAAACCGATGGTCAGGCTTAGTTGCTCTAAAGAGGAACTAAGATAGAAGACATCTGGGAAACTATAATTCTCCGCGTGTGGGTTGACTGATAAAGACAGTTCTTCGACGTTGCGGGACATAGCGAACTCTATCCAGCTATCCATTTGGGATACAAGGACATCAGGCCCGAGGGTCATGTGAAGAAGGAAACTCGTGATTTTCGGAGCCTTGTAGGAAATTAGGGTTTGGTTTATGTCTTGAACCGTCCTCGTTCGCCTAGAATAGTCTTGAAATTCGAGACTGTGTGTCCAGCACCATACATGCCTCCATCGTCTGGACAAGACGGAAGTAGTGATGGCGTCCTCGGTGGGAACAAAGGAGAGAATATGGAGGAGGATCTCATCTGGCATAGAGCTGAGGATATCAACACCGTCCACTGTTTCGGCAGCTGGTTTGATTTCGTCGGGCGAATCGGAGCGGTGGCTCACGATTCCACTCGCGGCAGTGCTTCAACCGTCTCCGTCTCGGGCCTCATCCGCCATCTTTAAATTTTTAGGGTTTGGAAACTAAGGTAGAATGTGAGGTTATGTTATTTTAAAATCTGTAGTGTTTTATTTATTTATATTAAAGCAAATTTGTAAAGTATTGTGAGTCGGCATTATTTACCCAATGAATTTGTGCCATGTTATTTTTTTAGCAATATTTTTCCCAAGAAGAAATAATTTTCCAAGTGAAACTCTGAAATTAGAAATATCAAAACTTTATGAAAAAATAAGGCAAATTACTTTACATCTAAAAGTAAGATATCCTCTTTTTTTTTGTAATGTCGGCAACTACATTTTTTATCCCATAAATTTTAAGAACACAGTAAATGATGACTTTACCCAAGACAAGAGGTTAAACAGTGGTTGAGATTCAATGCAAAACGTACCACATGATTTCAAGATTCACTAAACGTCAAGCCTTGCGAATATTTAAAGTAGTTGTGAAGATCCTTCTCCTGTTGAAAACACAGCGACCATTCCCCACATGTACCAAACACAGCGATCTAACACCAAGAAAAGATTCACTGGATAATATTTGTACAATATCGTTTATATACAAGATTCCAAAATACTGAACATGTGGGAATCAATTTAATAGAACAACTACAGTTTCAGCTGTGTGCATCAATTTCAAATTGTGAAAGGTAATATTAACCGTTGGTATTTTTGAAAAGTTTTTGCTTGATGGCATTTTTGAAAAATGTGTAGCATTTGATAAAATTGCCAAAATGTATCACATTACACTTATTGGGCCATAATTTGATTGGTTTTAAAACCTAATTAAATGGCACAGACCCAGTTTTATTGCTTAGTGTCTTGAACTGGCCCTTCTATCATAAAAGCTAGTCAAATGATGCATTAGCTCCTTTCTAATCTACGATTGGCTGTCTTCTACCGATTCAGCCTATCAAGTAGTTTTAACTTTTAAGTAGGCCGGCTTTGAGATGTCGTTGTTGTTGTAAACCTGTAATTGAGCTACTACATGCGGAAATCGTGGAGTCAATCAATTTATGAGTCTCGCAATTTTGGAACGGCAGCCTATAGATAGTAGTTGGAAGTTGAACACTCTTTTCTTATAATAAAAAGTATAAAAACAAGTCATATGGAGTATATAATACGTTAATCGATGGTAAGAAGCAAGAACAAATCATATGGTGTATATCCTTTCATAATTAATAATGTTTTCTTTTTGCATCACACATTTTATATTCGGGTATTAATATTGATTGCTTTCAACCATTACGGTCGAATCATAAATAATACGAGCTACCTTTTTGCACCATGAAGTATCTCTTTAATTTATGTTTATAGATACGAAGTATACACACGAGCATAAAAAGCCTAACCAGCTGCAGATCTTGACTCAGGTCAATGATCATTAAAAGTCCATCCATATCTACTTTTTACGCAAACTCCATCCATGAACTGTTTACGATATTTATTTTACGATATTCATATTACCGTTGGGTTTGAAAAAGCACATTTTTTTTATCACTTTAGTCACATAGTTAATTTGTTTTTTGTTTTTTTTTTGTAAATAACTTTATGTTCCTTTTAATAGAAGAGGATGATGTAAAGCCAAATTCACAAACTAGAGCCAAAATGGAAACTAAAATCCACAAATCGATGATCGCCGGAGTACAGAGCGTCATGCCGGTGGAAGTGACGCAGCACCGGAAAGTCCGTTACATATCCGTCGGAGATCCCGTCGGAGTAGGAATATTCCGGCGAACACTAAACATAGTTACGTATTACAAGCAAGAAGGTGATAGTGGTGAGAGAGGGTGGTTAGTCGCCGGGTGGATCAAGGAGTCCTTAGGGAGAGCCTTGACGGAGCAGCCGATGCTCTCCGGTAGGCTGCGGAGGAGGGAGGATGGTCTGGAGGTGGTGTCCAACGACAGTGGCGTCAGGATGGTGGAGGCAATTTTTCCGGCGAGTTTGCCGGAGTTTCTCGAAATGGTGAAGAGAGACAAAAGCACCGAAGCAGAGACTGTCTTCTGGAGAGACATTGATGAAGCTGATCCTCAGTTCTCTCCATTGTTCTATGTTCAGGTAAACTAATCTTTTAAAAGTATAAATTTTTATTCCAAAAATACCACAAAATTGTTTTTGTTCTCTAAAAATACCACAAAAACTAAACTTTAAAATACAAAACTAATTGATTTTCCTATGTATTTGTGTTAATAGGTGACTAATTTTGAGAGTGGTGGATACTCAATTGGGATAAGCTGCAGCATCCTAATAGCTGATCTCATCCTTGGGACAGACTTCTTGACCAAATGGGCTCAAATCCAAAGCTCTTTAGCTCATTCCAAAACAACATTCAAACCAATCTTTCACCTCCCTTCTCTCAAGCAAGACCTTGGTGTTTTCCTCACTGACCTCACTAGGTCAGCCTCGGTTCTCGACCGTGGCGAATCCGTAGTGTCACTAGCCTGCATGAAAAAAGAAAGTGGCGATGTTTTCTTGTTCATCAAGGAACATGGCTGTGGCGAAACTGAATGTGATGATATTAAGGTAGAGATACACTCGAGAGGTGAAGCGATTAGCGATTGCGAATGTACCGATTTGGAGGAGACAAGTGTCGGAGTTCTCAATGCAAGTTTAGCGTTTGAGGAAAGATCTGAAGGTACTTCGTGTTGGGTTGGGTCTGTCTCAAAAGGGCTTGTGTTTCTTGTCCCATCTACTTTTGGAGGTGCCAAGTCGCTTGTCAAATTTATTTTCGCATTGCCAAAAGAGTAGTTACCATCATCAATGACATCATTGTTTAATTTTTATTATTATTATATATATATATATATCAATATATGTGGTTTAATTCGACGATGGAATAATGTTATCAATTGTGATGTAACTCGACGATGCTATAGTATTATAATATTCACACATGAAGATATATAAATTTTATAAAAATGCTGTGATAACGGAATCTCCAAATAATATGATAGTTCAACTTCAACCGATCATTTAAAATGCAAAACATTGACATATATCTGAATTCGAACCTTATTGGTTATATGAATTAAATGATAGATTAGATAGAAGATTGGTTTAAATATCGCCTTAACCTGTTAGCATCAGTTAATGCAACTCGCCCCAAATTGGATATGTAATAACGATATTCACACATTACCGTTAGGTTTGAAAAAACACATATTTTTTATCACTTGGCTACTTTTGTTTTGTAATCTGTAGTCTTTACGCTCCTATAAATTGGAGAGGATCATGTAATCATGCAAAGCCAAATTCACAAACAAGAGCCAAAATGGAAACAAAAATCCCCAAATCGATGATAGTCGGAGTACTGAGCGTGGTGCCGGTAAAAGTGACCCAACACCGTAAAGTACGTTGCATATCCGTCGGAGATCCTGTCGGAGCAGGAGTATACCGGCGGACACTGAACATAGTTACGTATTACAAGCAAGAAGGTGAAAGTGGTGGTGAGAGAGGGTGGTTATTCGCAGGACATTTCAAGGAGTCCTTAGGGAAAGCCTTGGCGGAGCAGCCGATGCTCGCCGGTAGGCTGCGGAGAAGGGAAGATGGTCTGGAGGTGGTGCCAAACGACAGTGGCGTCAGGCTTGTGGAGGCAAGGTTTCCGGCTAGTTTGCCGGAGTTTCTTGAAATGTCGAAGAGAGACAAAAGCAGAGCTGAAGCAGAGTCTGTCTTCTGGATAGACATTGATGAAGTTGATCCTCGTTTCTCTCCATTGTGCTATGTTCAGGTAACTAATCTTTCTTGTACTTACAACTTTATTAAATTTAATTTCTTCATTAAAAAAACAAAACTATCATCATGGATTACATTATTTATCAACCTAATATATTCTGTTAATAGGTGACAAATTTTGAGAGTGGAGGATACTCAATTGGGATAAGCTGCAGCATCTTAGTAGCTGATTTCATCGTTGGGACAGACTTCTTGAACAAATGGGCTCAAATCCAAAGCTCTTTAGCTCATTCCCAAACCAGACTCAAACCAATCTTCCACGTCCCTTCTGTCAAGCAAAACCTTGACATTTTCGTCACTGACCTTACTAGGTCAGCCTCGGTTCTCGACCGTGGCATATCAGTCGTTTATCAGGCAAAACCGTGCCTGAAAATGTCATTAGCATGCATGAAAAAGGCAATTGTAACATGCGAAAAGGCAAGTGTGTATGTTTTCTTGTATATCAAGGAACATGGCGAGAATAGTACTGAATGTGATGGTGTGAAGGTAGAGGTACGTTCGAGGGACGAAGCGATCAGCGATTGCGACTGTAACGATTTGGAGGAGACAGGTGTTGGAGTACTGAATGCGAGTTTAGCGTTTGAGGAAAGATCTGAAGGTACTTCATGTTGGGTTGGGTCTGTCCCAAAAGGGCTTGTGTTTTTTCTTGTCCCACCGACTTTTGAAGGTAACAAGTCGCTTGTCAAATTTATGTTCGCGTTGCCAAAAGAGTAGTTAAACTTACTATCAATAACATGATTGTTTAATATATGTGGTTTGAGTCGACGACCGAGTCAGGTTATCAATTGACAGTTGTTATGTGTAAATCGACAATTGTTATATCAAAATCTGTTGGCAAGCAAAATAAAAAGTGGATATTGGGAACGACGGTGTAGTTATCTTATAATTATAAAACCGAATTGACATTGCAACTTCTAATGAATACCTAAAATACAATAATGAGGTAGGAAGTCTCAACTGTGTGGAATATGAATGCATGATTGGGACAAATTATTATTTACTTTATTTTAACGAAAAAACATGCTTTGATTTCACAAATTTCAAAATTTTGCAGTCTAATTTCTCACCCAAATTAATAATATTATAACACTTCTAGAAACCCATTTGTTTTTTTTTTATGTACAAGTGTTTCGATAAAGTGAAGTCCAAAAGAGAGATTCTTTCATCTTTCCTACTTCTACTGATTATTCTTTTTTGTACAAGATCCTAAAAGAAGACGCAACTTCAAAGCCATCTTATGAAAAAGAAAACAAAAAAAAAAAGAAGAAGAAGAAGAGCTTCCTCTTGTTTTGCTTCCAACAATCCACTCTTCTCTCCTCAGTCTCCTACCGCTTCTGCTAAATCTTTTTTTACACGAACCTAACTTAAGAGAGATGGAAGGAACCTTGACCTTCTGTTATGGCATAAATCAGTTTCTCCTTCATCTTTTCCTGCAAAACACAGACACAAGCAAAGAAAAAAAAAACACAAGTGAGATCGATCCTAAAGACCGGCTTGCTTGTCCAGAGAGAAGCTGGAGTGGTTAACAAAGAATGAAAAGAGATGTCACTTTTGAAGAGTAAGGTGGAAGCTTCAGGTAATTGGCGCATGTCATCACACTAGGCAAGTCCGCCTCTGAAGAATCGCTACCGTGCTGTTTGATGAAACAAAGCAATGATGAGCAAAGAGAGTGAGAGAGATTATGCCATAAAATGTGAGAAACGGAGAGAGGTTTGCAGTAGCATTGAACCTTGCGGACAATTGTTAGTTTGGGATTGAGAGACGCTAAACCGCCAGGAGGTAGCCGAGGACATCCTGTTACAAATTGCAGAAAGGCTCTCTGTTGCTCCTTGTCAAACTCATGCAGAATCTCCAACAACTGGTATACAATCAAACCATTTTAGTTTTGATCCACGAAAACAGAGAATGCAGAAAGAAAAAGTAGTTTGATTTTGAGCTCAAAAGAAAACCAACATTTTCAACTGGTGGGCTGCTAGAAGTATATCCATGATCAAACTTGATGTGATCCAAGACTTCATTCATCTGCAAAATGAGTTGAATTCTATTTTCAGCTGATGAAAAACAGTAATCAAAATGTAATTTAAGAATCTAAAGGTTTACTTACATTGAAGAGATCGCGTTCTCCACACAGCATAGTTTCCACCTCTTCTTCATTGAATATCCGAAGATGTTCAATAGAGAAAACCTGAAAGCATGTGTGACAAGATAAGAAAACTTGAATCTATAAGAGAAGAAAATAGATAAAGAGAAGAAGGCTACGTACTTTGTTGAATCCAGACCGAAATGCTTCCACTTGTTTTTCGATCCCATCACATACGGTTGCGTTGACAATAGCCTTGATATATTCCTCGAGATTATCCAGATTTACCTAGAACGAGAAGAAGAGTATTATAAATCCACCTGTTCGAGGAACTCAAGCAAGAGATTTGTTCACAGAATTGAGCAACTGCGTACGTACCATATCATCATCAGAACGGTGACCGAGATCATAGTCCGTGTACCCAGGTAGCGTAAATTCAAGACAAAGGTCCTCAATACTTGCTCCACGGAAACTTAATTCCTGTGCTTTTGCGGAAACCTTTCTCCTACGTGCAACGGCTTGCAATTCCACCAGTGTTTTACAAAGCTCAGGGTCGACGAAGTGGATGTCAAACGAACTCAACTCCTACAAGAAAACATCCATGTTAGATTTTCGAACAAATTCTGAATGAGATATTCATATGCAAACGAGAGATGCTTAAAGACCCCAATTTACCTGTCCGAGAATTAGTTTATAGAAGGCTTTGGAGAAGGGAAGGTCTAAGACTCGTCCATCTTGTAGAGCCTTTGCTACCACTGTCCCCAAGAGGACAAATTTCTTCAGCACAGTAGGAAAAGCAGCTGAGGCACATGACCAAGGGCGTGGAAAGAGTCCTGAAGGAGAGGAACTACGATCACTCCTCCACATACCAAGATCAGGGTTTTGAAATGCCCTACTGACAAGTGTATAGAACTCCAGTGTTGGCCCAAGACCAGTTCCGACTTCTTCATCGTATTCAACCTCAATGACCACCTTCTGGTTGCCGTATAACTCCATCATCTGTGCAGCAGAATCTAGAATTTTTTCACGGAAAGCTAAGAACTTTTTACGAGGTAAACTAGCAGTTGCTGGGCGCCCTTCACGCCCTTCACCATGACCACTTGAACTGCTAAGGTGTTGTGGATGATGATTGACTTGCTGTGAACCGAAGGCTGCAAGTCGGAAGTATTTAGATTTAACTTCAAAACTAAACAGAAATGGGCATGAATCCATTAGTTCAGTAAACCATGGTGGTAGACCACAGGTTGACGCAGCAAAAGAATCACGCAGCTGCTGCTCTAACTTCTCTGTAAGCTTCGTGCTAACAAATTCAGCATATGGCACAGGACGAACCTCCACCCTCAGATCATCCAAATTCTCCAGCCTACCTTCTCCAAAAGCATTAATCCTTTCTTGACAAATCAGGTGAAAGAGAAATCTGTTCATGCCCTCCAGACTCTTGAGCAGAAATAGTATGTCATAAGCAGCAGGATTTGTCCCTTTGAGGCGCAAAGCAAGTCTATGAGCAAACAAGTAGGATAAGAACGCGTGACACTCATCATTGTCCATAGATCCCAGAGGATTCGGAATTTCATGTGAATCCGCAAGTTGTGGAGCCTTTTCATAAGTGATGCTGTGGGATGCACTCATCTTTGAACCGTCGGTACTTTCAGTTTCTGATTTAAACTTGTGCAAGAGAATCGCCTGGTATACAGTCACAGAGCGTTCTAGTTCAAGCCCTTCCAGACGGAACAAAAGCCTCGGTAGTGCATCCTCCTTTTCTGATGAGGAAGAATCATGTTGTACTGAATCATCGCATGGCCCTGGAAGCTGCTCCGGGTCTTCCTCTTGAGATACCTTGATATAAACAAGATAAATTTAGTACAAATAACCAAAACAGAAAGCTTGAAGAGAGGGAAAGATACCAAGGAAGAGAACTTCTCAAGTAAACCAACAACAAAAACACTACCTACTGCTCATCTTGAATTCAGAACTGCTACTTGTGGAAGTCATGAAAGCGAGATTAACGTTAATGATGAAAAAGTAACAGCTAATGGTGGTGCAGCTAAGAGTAAAAAAGTCCACTACTTTTATTCCATTTTGAATATTTCCACCATCTAGAATATCAAGTGGAAAGAAGAGAATACAGTTTCTAATACATTATTGCTTCCCCTAAACTCATACTGGAAAACGTTTAAATCCCTCTTAATTAAAGCAAAACCTGAAGAGAAAAGAAAGGTTGCACATGCTACTTCTGTAAGCCAAAAGATTAGAGGCATTTTAGTAATTACCTGCGACTCAGGCGCATCAGGACTGTCAATCTCCATATGACTTGAGCTTTCACCTTGACAAGATATCGAAGTTGACTGCAATTGAGAAGACTGACACTCTATAGCTTGATCTTTTGCTTCGATGGAATCTAAAGGTTCCAAATGCACTTTAGGCCACATGTATTGATCGACATCATCCAAGTAGCAAAGTGGGTCAACGGTGACAAAGTCTTTGGAGTGATCACGCAAACAAGTCTCCCCCTCTGCTTTAACAAAACGAACTCTTAGGCTTGGATAACTTGTGTAACGTCCATTTGGAACAGCCGCGAATGAGTTCCTTTGCTTCATAGTTTGGTTTAGGACAATCGGAAAGGTTTCTAAAGAAGATAAGGAACTTTGGAGCTTCTGTACTAACACGGACGAAGTTGCCTCGCCATCAGACCAAAGTAATCTTGTGAACATTTCGAATCTCTTACCAACATATGGTAAGCTCTCAAATTCAGGATCCGCTTTGCTGAGCTTCCTTTGATAGAGTCCATTAGACAGATAATTTGCCAGTGACTTTACAACTCCACTCTTTGTAAACTCAAAAGTGGACACAGATTCCCTTCCATTCAGCCTTTCCCCGATTTGATTCCATATTGAGAAGAATTTCTCATCATGGACATGTGCATCAATGGGTACATTCATCAAATCGTTAAGTGCCACCGACAAGTTCTTGAGGTTTCGGAGGACATCTGTCAAGCCTTTCTCAGAGTCGAATACCTCAGGTCCAAAGAACCTCTCCTTGATACGTGTTGCAAGAATGTAGACAGAATCATTTTCAATCTTACAAGTTTGTGAAGAAGAAGCAAGCGCAAAAGACTGGCACAAGCATTGCACGCTCTCTTTCGCAACAGGCTTTTGTGAAAGGTCAGCTGATCCCCTATCAGAATTTAAGAGTGCTTCAATAGCGAAGAAAACACCCTCCTTTATAAAGCAATTCAAGAAGGTATCTCTGTATTTCTCAAGAAGCACTTCAGCAATCTGTAGCGCTACAAAGACCACATGAGGATCTTTCCTTGCCAAAACGCCCGCCAAAACACTGTAGCAACATGAAATGCACTACCATTAGCTAAAAAACAAAACGGTTAGGACAACATAAAGCTCTTCAGAAAATATTACAAAACAAAATACCTTGAAATGTTAGCATTCTTCAGTAACTCAACAAGGTCGTATGACTTACTCAAGCAAGTCAGCTTGTGAATTGCTGATAGGCAACCATAAGAAACATATACATTAGCTCCAGAATTGAGCACCTACAAAGAATACACAAGTTACGTCATACTCTTAAAAAAGAAATAACCAGGAACTTTACATGTACAGAGCATAAAATTGTTTGACGGAAATAACCTGAATCATAACAGGAAGCATGTCATAATCGGAGAACAAAAACCCTCAAAATCACCAAAGAAATTGAAAACCCAAACATGAAAAAGAGAAATTACCTCGACGATGTGAAAGAAGCATCCAACCCCTAACCAACGATCCGCTGCAAAAATTAATCTTTGAACGGTTACGAAAATTGAAAAACCTAAACAAATCGCGATACATGAGATTTAGAAACCCTAACCTTGACGACGATTGAGAAATCCAGCCAATCGGGTCGCTTTCAGGAATCAAGCATGTAGGTTGCTTCGAAAGGAAACAAACAGAAAATGTTGGGAGAAAATCGCCGAAGAGTCGATCGAGAGAATTCTGCGAAAGAAAAAATGGAAACGGAGGAGAGGAAGAAATTTGGGAGAAAAGACATAAACTTTTTTGTGAAGAACTGATGAAATAAAAATGGGAGAGGATTTTTTTTTATGTACCCTTGCGTTTGACAACGCGTTTCTCAACGGTTATATTTTCTAAATGAGTCGGTTTATCTGTGGACCAAACAGGTCCTTGTATTTTCAAAATATCCCTTAAACCAAACCGATTCTGCATCTTACCAGATTAACATCACTTGATTTTGGGAGTTTCGATTTGAGAAACAACCACATTTTTCAAAATCATATTGTTTCTTCACCAACGTCACATTTTCCAAACCGAACCGGTTCTGGGTGTTACAACCAAGAACAACACATGGTCTTTCCTTTTTTTTATATAAAGGATTTTCAAATAACACGGTCTTTCCGTTTGGGGACAACTCCAGTTTCTCTTCCTCTAGGTGATTTCAGGTCCTTCTCGTCTCCATGGAAGGTGTTAAAATTTGGAAAAAATCTTGCTCTTCAAAAAATAGAACAGGATTCTGGAAAATCACCTCGTAATTTCCCAAAGTCCCAGCATATATATACTAGGTTTGAAGCCCCGCGCAAGCGCGGGGTTGTTGTGATAGTTTTTCTGTTTAATTTTATTTATACTATTTGATTTGAATTATGATGGTTTTGTGTTAAATTTCATGTTTTTGTTATGTTTTGAGTTAACTCAACCACTAACACTAAAAAATGAATAATTGTTTTTTAAATTTATTAACACCCTGCTTTATCTTGAGTTTTCTATTTTTAAAATTTATCATGTTATAATTATTATGTTTTTTTACTTCTATTAGACTGTAAACATGTATATGTATTTGATTGAAGGTTAAAATTTATAAATATGTATATGCATTTGACTGAAGGTTAAAATTTGTAAACATATTCTTGTTTCACTATAATTAAATTTACATATAAAACTTCATTTCTATTTGTTTAGAAAAACAAACTCTAACTCTAATTTTTCATGAGCTTTCTATTATCTTAATTAATTTATATTCAACTTTTTAACTTGTAAACAAATTATAACATCTTTAAATAGGATAATCCTTTGAATAAAAAGGTAAATATATACTATTTGAAGTTAAATATTTCTTTACTCCATTTCTATTTTATATTTCAACTTTTTGATAACTTTTGACATCAAATTATCACATACTTTCTATTAATTAATTAATTTATTTGTGTATTTTTATTAAATATGAATAAATGTAAAGAAATATGAATAGTCATATATTTAATAAATATTTTAAATACAATTTAAAGTTTTTGTGCTGATGTGGACACTCTAGATGGAGAGAGCAACTCCCTAATTATATATAAGATATATATATATATATGTACCATGTTCCACACACGGATATTAATCTTATTTACAGTCCTAATCTGTAGTATTAACTCATCTAAACACGTGTATCAATTTCCTTTTGTTCGTTTATTAACCTTCTACTTACCCTTAATTCTGTCAGGAGCGTAGTCCTATATTCAACTAAATCATAGTTTAAAATGTTCCACGTAAAGTAATTTACTGGAATCATTTGGTAAAAGTTAACATGCTAAGAGAGAACGCAATAGTACATGATAGAGGGATTAAATGTTCCGAGAGGACGCACACAACAGTTGGTATTAACTTGAAGGTAATAATGTTAGAGTTGGCATCATCGTAAGCCGTTGAGGTTAGCCAGAAATATAAATTGACATAAATCAAATTAGTTGGACGGTGGAGGACGATTACGAAAGAAAAAAGGACTAGTCTGCTACCATTATACGACACAAAGCTAGGTGCATTAAACACGTGCATGCAATTGAAAATTTAAGACTGGTCCTGACTCCTGAACAATTACGTCGGATGAAGCATTTTGAATAATTAAAGATACTTTTTCACAACTCAAATAAGTATTTTATATGCGGTTCTCAAAACTTGATGTTTCATGATTTTTTTATTATTTTTTTGGCTCTAGACATAATTATACGATTGGAAAAAAGAAAATAGGAAGTATAGTACAATAATTGTATAGTCAAAAAGGGATCTTAGCTTTTTTTTTTCTTTTGTTTCGTATACGAGGTCCCATATTTCTTAAACAGGACCAGCACTAGATGGATTTAAGGACGATGTAACATTGGCTCTCGCGTAAACATCAGCCAAAAAGTTGCGCAAAGACACAGTGATAATTTCGACTTTGAAGTTGTCGTTGATTCTCTCACCAAACACATTTGTACATGTTGCTGTTATATATACGGAGAGGTCATATTTAATGTCACAAAGCACTGATACAACAAAATACAATACAAAACACACAAAAGTCTTGTCTCTTCTACAAAATGGCGGAAAAATACGACCGTGCCGGTGAGGTAAAAGCATTTGACGAGAAGAAAATCGGTGTGAAGGGTCTCGTCGACGCCGGAATCACACAAATCCCTCGCATTTTCCACCACCCGAATGTCACCGTAACAAACCCCTCTAAACCCTCTTTGACTGTGGTGATTCCAACGATCGATCTCGGTCTCGGTCTCGGAGGAGGCACAGTCACACGAGAGAGTGTGGTTGCGAAAGTGAGAGACGCGGTTAGGAAATTCGGGTTTTTCCAGGCGATAAACCATGGGATACCGATTGATGTCATGGAGAAGATGAAACGTGGGATTCGTGGGTTTCATGAGCAAGACCCACAAGTGAAGAGAGGTTTTTATAGCAGAGACATCAACAGAAAGGTGAAGTATAATACGAATTTCGATCTTTATACCTCTCAGGCTGCGAACTGGAGGGATACTTTAACTACTGTTATGGCTCCTAATGTCCCTAGCGCAGAGGACTTACCAGAGACTTGTAGGTAATGATTATGAGAACTCTTGTACTTTCCAAGTTTTGATTAGAGCGAATAATGATTCTGTGAATATTTCAGGGAAATTTTGTTGGAGTACTCAGAGCGAATGATGAAGTTAGGAGAGCTAATCTTTGAGCTTTTATCAGAAGCTCTTGGTTTAAAACCAAACCACCTCAAAGAACTGGACTGCGCAAAGAGTTTGTCCTTGCTCTCTCATTACTACCCACCTTGTCCAGAGCCTGACCGAACCTTTGGCATCAGTTCACACACAGATATATCTTTCATCACTATTCTTCTTCAAGACCACATCGGAGGACTTCAAGTCCTCCATGATGGATACTGGATCGATCTTCCTCCTAATCCCGAAGCTCTTATCGTTAACCTCGGAGATTTCTTACAGGCAACAAAGATATTATCCATTCGTGAATTTTGTTTTTTTCTTAATACACGAATCCATATATATTTTGACAAATCTCAATAATCCGTGTAATGGTTTCTTTTTCGCAGCTTATAACAAACGATGAGTTTGTAAGTGTGGAGCATAGGGTTTTGGCAAACAGAAGTGAAGAACCGCGGATTTCGATCGCGTCTTTCTTCATGCACACCATAACAAATGAGCAAGTATATGGACCTATCAAAGAGCTTCTTTCTAAACAAAACCCTCCCAAGTACAGAGACACCACCACCACAGAATTTGCAAAACATTACTTGTCTAAAGGACTCGATGGCACATCTCCTTTGCTCCATTTCAGGATCTGAAATATTAAAGGTGGACTTTAAATGTCAGAGGTGCTATGGAGTTTCCACGAAAATATTTAGTATCCAATAAAATTACTAGAATAAATGTGATAGTATATGTCTGATTTCACATCTGGTCTCGTGTATCCATTTGCCTATAGACTTAAACGATCAATATCTTAAAACGTTTATGATTATCTATCACTTGATAATCATTCAAGACTTGCAGTAAATGATACTGCATCTATCATCATGTGATATTATAGTTGCAAGAAAATAAATCATGAGCAAGTATTATTGCTCTGTACGAAAGCCAATATTACTTACAGATGTTGTTCAAAAGGAAACGATTGATTTGGATTGCGCTGAATGATGCATCTGCGATATAGCTGTGTCCCTTTCAGCTTCTTCCATTACTCTAAGTTTCCTGCATAACAACATGTTTATGCATCGGTTACTATCATCAAATTGCATATATCCAAGGGAAAGGAGGGAAATATATATATATATACCTTGGAGGGACAAAACCTTGACTACTTTCTTCTGAGAGGGCTTTCTCTAATCTCTCCTCGAAACTTGTTGCGTGCCAATTCACTTTCTGGTCCTGCATCAAGAAAAAGTAACTTCTTTGTGTACAATAAATGGGAGGAGATGTGAAGAAGCTAAAGAGTTTCTGAATGAAACAAGAGAGTACCTCTTTGTACTTGTTTGTTGAGTTTGGTATTCCATTACCATCCCACCATTTGGGTGAGATTTGAGATTGCTCTTCCTCATTCCAGTGAGCAGCAACCATTCCTATGATAGGCCTGTCCCCATGAGTTATGGTGGATAAAGCTTCCATCTTTGTGTTACTGATCTCTTTGCTCTGCTTCACTCTAGGAGAAATACTAGTTTCACCTATCTCGTATTTCTCATCTGAACTCTCTTCCAAAGTTTCTGATGTGGGAGATTCAGTTTCTGTATTCGCTTTGCAAGCCTGCACTTCAGCTTGTTCTACGCTCTCCTCTGAATCTTCAGGAATGTTACATATAGAGGAATCTTCAGTTAAAGTGGAAGCTGAATGCACAAACTGCGACCTGATTCTTGGTCTTCCCCTTACTTCTGGGTCCAGATTTGCAGGAAAAATGGTTACAGGAGTTTGAATTTCATCACATAGCTTCAGTGTCGTCGGATTATGCGAGGTTGCTGAGATATTTATTTTGCTAGGCTTCTTAGGTATCCTTGAAGCGCTTTTCTTGGAAGAACTAGAAGGGTAAGGTTGATCAATATCCAATTCAAACCGCACTGACTTTGTCTTTCTCGTAATCTTTCCAGCTTTGAGTGACACCTTGCCGGTTCTATCCACCCCATCCCTGAACGAAGTACCAATGCTTTCTTGGCTTTCTTCACCAGCATCACTGAATCCAGCAGAGATCCTTGCACAACTTACCGCATCGGTTAAGCAACTGATATTGACAGAAGAAGAAAAAAGAGAGTAAATTCCAGATCCATGAAACCTCTAGAACTTCTTGCATAATGTAAGAAACATGTTAGGATATGCAGTCATGCCCAACGCTCCGCTGAAAGAGATATTTGCTAAGAAAAGTAACATCTAATACTCCACCTGCTAGGAGTTTGCTCTGAAACCTCTTCACAGGGTTCATCTGTTTTCTCATCCAAGTGAAACACAGCATCAGAGTTACTGGAAATCAAGGGATGAGACTGGGGAGATCCAAACTGTTTTCCACGTTGAGGAGTTTCCAGTTTTTCAGCTGCTTTTCTAATTTCAATCGGTGTCGCAGGTGTTGTGCCGCAAGCTTTAAGAAATTGAGCCTGTAACTACGCAAGTAAATCAGAGACGGTTAGCTTCTCATTTTGAAGGAAATTGCAATCAAATTCTATTAGTAGCAAAAAAATATTCTCGCCAGGTCTATCAAGACTATTTAACTGCAGGAGAGTAACTCACAGGATACTACGGATAATTTTCTTAAGTAGAGATGAAAACACTATTGCAATTAAGCATAGTTCTACACAGCTGCATCAATGCGACTATATTCTTTACAAATAATTGATCTCTAAACACCAACACCTGAAATAATCGAATATAAGATTGAAAAGGAGAAAAGAAGAAAAACAAAGCCAAAGGCTGTGAAAACTGAAAAGTACAACGCATTACAGAAACAAAGCTCTAGATGACCTCAATAACAAACAAAAAACAAGAGCTTTAGCTCAACTGTCACATAGCAAGCAAAATAGACTTGAAGTGTCTCAAGCAAACACAGTGGTAGATCAAACATAGAAGCTAACCGTGATGGAATCAAATAATTCTTAGGTATAATATGAACTAACAATAACAAAGCTCTAGAAATAACATAAAACGAATAATCCATTCTTCTCATTCCACAAGCGCTTTAGCTCAAGTATCACATACCAAGCAAATGTAAAACATGAAGTGTCGCAAGAAAATTATAATCCTAGACTCCGAACTACAAATGAATGGCAAAAGCTTAACTTCAGAATCCCAGTAAAGTCGAAAGTCCTAACAGATTCTAGGTGTCAGCAACTTGATGGTGATAGACAAAAATGGAAGCTAACAGTGATTGGAACCACATAGTGCTTAGGTATCATTTGATATTAACATACCTTATCCTTCAGATCTTTGCCAATATGCATAGAATCCAAATCAGAGACCTCTCTGCCATGAGAAGGCGAAGAATCTGCTTTCTCTTGAAAACAAACCAAGAAATAAGTAAGACCTTCTTTCAAACCACGAATAAAGATACATCAAAGCACAGATTCAATACCTTCAGAAAGAAACAATGCTGACAAACGATTCTTCGAGTCATGGCCTCTCTGAAATCATGAAGAAAAAAACGATGTTAACACCGAAGGATTTTGTACATAATCGTGGTCAGGAAAGTTAACAAATACAAAATTCAGCTCAAATTCCTAACATTAAGCTAATAATCAACACCGGAAATAGAAACTTTTACAATCGATTCCACTTCTGAGTTCTGAGAATCGTAACAGCTAATTTGAGACTTAAATTGAACGAAATGAAACGAGAGAGTTACTTTGGACTCGACGCGAGAAGGATGAGAGACGGAATCACTCGCAGATTGCGATTGCTCGTCTCTGGCACGGAAGCAATGAAAGAGACAACCCATAGCTCTCTCTCTCTCTCTCTCTCTACAAGCTGAGCTGTGGATAAAATCCGAGGAGAAGCCTCAAGCCTGCACCGCCAATTTATGGTCCGACTCAGTTATCAAGCGTTATCATATCAGTATTTGAAATTTATTGGTGGCAAGACTGAGGAACAGCGATGGAGGAACCTACAGAGATTTTCCCGAGAAAAAAGTGAGTGAGAGAGAAAGAAAGAGCTGGTGGGTCTGAGTCGTTTGTTTTCAAATTTGAAATCCCAAAAGGGCTCGCGAGGGAACCAATCAGATTTGTGTGAGCTTTGAAATATTAAAGGTTCGTACGTGTTTTCACACTCGCGGGCGCGTGTAATGAAACGTGGATCGATCTGGTCCGTTCGTTGAAAACATGATGTGTTTCACTGTATATGAATTTTATATGTTGATTTTTGATTTTGAGTAAATTAATCCAACAATAATGAGCAAACTTTATTTTATAGGAAAATGAAACTATTTTCATAAGAAATATAGAATGAGTGTTTTATCATTCAGTTACACGTTGAAAATGTTTAAGATAGTTTTACAAATACTCATTGGAAAATTAGGGAAGATAACAATAAGAAAAACAATTTTTAATTTACTTATGAAATTGTGCTTTTGTGACGCTTTTGAAATTGCTGACAAAAATTATAATTCAAGTCAAACTTCTAAACAACTTTGGTTAGTATAGTTTACAATATTTTACATTGTGTTAAGTAAGTACATAGTAAATAACTTGTCAGGTCACACATTACTAAAATTACATATTTGCATGAACAACATTTAGTAAACTTATATTATTCTCTATTTTCTAACATAAATTTTACACGTGTGGTATAGTTTAGTAGCTAATTTAACATAGCACAAAGAAGTTATATACATTAATCAATTTAAATCATGTATACTGTAGATAAATTTAACCAATCTAGAGCGCAAGTAATGGGCCTTAAGAAGAAGTCGGGCCGAAGAATATTCTTCCGAAGTACCTTTTTTTCACAATCACAACATCCAATTTCTGCTGACGAGATTATTTTTAAAACATTTTATGTAATTACCGAAAAAGAAATGAGAGAAAAAAAGAAAAAAAAAAGAGAAGGAGAAGGCGGTTTATAATGCAAGCAAACTTTGGAAAGGCAAATCGAACAAAAAAGGCCTCTTCCCTGAATCTCAGAAGCCGTACCGTTTCTTCGCTCTCTAGTGTTTCCTCAGGTACAGAGACAGACAGAGCAAAACCCTAAATAAGCGATGGGGAACAAGAGGTTCAGGGCTGAAAATGCAGGGAAGCCAACTTCCGTCGAAGCTACTAGAATTTGGGCGTCCAAGGTCATCGACGACTTTCGAGCTTCCGGGAACGAAGGTGAGTTATCTCCGGGAAACGAAGTCTTCTTCCGATTAAACTGATTTATATGTCTTTGAGCCTGAAGATTGATTATACAACGCTCCAAATTGCGAATGTTTTAAACTGTTCGATTGAAATTTCGATTTTTTTTTTCCTAATTAAATTTGATTGAATTTTATTGCATTGTGTAGTTTACACGTTTGAGCATAATCTTTCAAATAGCGAGCGTGGCGTAATTCATCAGATGTGCCGGAAAATGGGTATTCAATCGAAAAGTTCCGGGTGAGTCACTGCCTTCATTGTGCTTTATAGTGTTTTCTGGTTTGAGAAAGTATACGACCTTGAGAGTCTTTTGGATATGATTATAGGCGTGGGGATCAAAGGCGGCTTTCGATATATAAAGGCAGGCACAAAAATGGAAAGAAAGATGAGAAATCAAATAGAGAGAAGCTTAAATGTGTGTCATTTCCGCCGGAGGCAGATGCTATTCTTCAGGAGTTGTTTACTCACTACCCGCCTTGTGACGGAGACACTGCCGCAACGTCATTCAACAAGTACTCTGGGAAATCCGGTAAACAAGGGCAGTGGAACGATGATTTTTTCCGGAAACCGAAAAGTAGCAGTGAAGAGATCCTTGAGAAAGTGGCATCTCTGAGTTCTAGGCTTAGGAAGGATAAAGCTCTTCAGGAGGTTAGAAAAGATAAAAGCTCTTCTGGTTGAGAAGTTATGATTCATGACAAGTAGGGGAAAGTGAAAATGAAGTTGTTTTTGTTGGTTTATGTTGCAGATCTCTAAGCTGCGGTCAAAGCTTCCCATCACATCTTTTAGAGAGGCAATTACATCTGCGGTGGAATCCAATCAGGTTCTGTGATTTTTTTTTATATATTATGCTTCCAGTGGTGATTTCAACTGCTAGAAAAAGAGTTCATTGCATATTCTTACTCTAAATGCAGGTTATTCTCATTTCTGGTGAAACTGGTTGCGGGAAAACTACTCAGGTGTGTGTTGCCCCTTGTTTTTTTCTTAGTTCGGTTCAATAGAATCATTTTTTTAACAAATATTAGTTATTCATCCCTTGGATCGATGGTCAGGCTGTCAACTTTCTTGTCCAGTTTATGCAACTTTAAATTTTAAAAGTATGTTGTGTTATAAGGTTTTGCTAAATGTGAGTCTGGAATGTGATATTGTCCATGGAAAAAGTTTTCCGTTTGAAATTTCCCTCAATCTTTTCATTCTCGAGGTTTCTTATGTGCTTTCCTTGTGAATGTTTTAGGTCCCTCAATATCTTTTAGACCATATGTGGTCAAACAAAAGAGAAACTTGTAAAATTGTTTGCACCCAACCTCGTCGTATCTCCGCTATGTCAGGTTGGTATTTTTCTTATTTAGCTACTTATTCTCGTTGATCTGTTAAAAATTTGGTCCAATGCTCATGTATGCTGTAATCTTCTAATCCCTTGCTTAATGTTTTTGGTTCCTATTTTGAAGTATCTGAAAGGATATCCTGTGAAAGAGGCGAAAGCATTGGAGAAAACATTGGTTACAAGGTCAGTAATCTTTGTAGGTTGACACTTGCGATTGTACATGAATGGTTGTTGTGTTTGAATATTATAGACAAGTGCACCATTGACTTTATGTTGCAACTCCAGGTTCGACTGCAAAGCAAAGGTGGAAGACACTCATCAGTTGTTTTCTGCACGAATGGCATCCTCCTTAGGGTGCTTGTTGGCAAAGGCTCTGCTAGCTATGTATCCGACATAACTCACATCATTGTGGTACTTGACATCTTGCTTAATCCGCTATCATGTGTTCATTAAGTTTGTGTTTCATATATATGATGTGCTTCGTCTGACAATTAAATTGCTTGAAGAAGTGGTAATAATGAAATTGTGAACGGTCACTGTAGCATACCTTCTTCATATTGTTTGTCATATCATATTCTGTGGTTGTCTACACTAATAGTGACCTGAATGTTTACTTTGTAGGATGAAATCCATGAAAGGGATTGCTACTCCGATTTCATGTTGGCAATTATAAGGTAGACTACCTAGCTTTCTCAAATATTGAGTCTCTCAACCTATCAACGTGTTTATCAAACTAATCATCTACGTGGCCTAAGAAACGGATGTTAAGGCTATTTTTAATTGTTAGCCACCACAATTTATATGCCATACTTGTGCACATGCATTTAACTTCTCTGAAGCTGCAAGCTATGATATTTGAGTGAATGGCAGAACTCAAGCTAATTTGCAATACTTTTTTTTTAATC